TTTAAAGGTGCTGGTGTTCATCTGTGATGGTTTTTCTAACCCGAGCTCATTTTCTGTGTTTTGGTTTAAAGTTCCTGATGAAAGTTTTCAAACATCCAACAAATCTGTATTTTAATAATTGAAGCTTTTTTGACCTTATGAATTGTCTTTTCTCTGAACATGAACAAAAACGATCAATTTAAAAAAGACGAACCTTCAGGATTTGGTTTTTCAGACTAACATCAGTTTTTAGGAACTGAACAGGAACGGTTACTTAAAGGTTTCTGAACGACAGACTGTTTGTTAAATAAAGTTAAAAACCATCTGATTCTTTAAATCCTGAAATGAAGAGAAACTCAGGGACTCCTTTATAATTCACATTTACATACAGTACATATATAATCCTAGGTGTGCACGCAGACATGCGTGTTCTCTGTGTGAAACACGATAACCTCTGACCTTTCTTCAGAGCGTGGCTGTATCAGTGAAGACATTATCAGGTTTGGTCTAAAGTGCTGGCTGTCAGCTCCAGATAAAGCCCACAACTATCAGGGGGCTTTATGACTCCTATGATACCCTGTGCATGACTTCATTGTGTCTGGACTTTCAGCCAATGTTTGCTCAATCCCACTGACTGACAGGTCAGTACACTGGCACAGATGGAACTGCACACTGAATTAAGAACTAGACTGTGATGTAAGTCTGACTGCTGCTGCTGCTTTTAAAGGATAAACTTTATTCACTGAGTTACAAACAAACCTGCATGTAAGGCTGTGAACCTTTGCTGGGAATCAAACACGTTTGGTTGACGATAAAGTAAAATATCATTCACACGTTTCAATCCTTTTAGATTTTGGCCTCGTGCATCATGGAGTTTGGAACAGAGAAGCTGATGTAGTTTATAGATATTCAGATAATTGTGGAGGCACCAAAATCAATCAATCAGTCTTTACTTATAGAGCACTTTTCATACAAAACTGATGTAGCACAAACACAGCAGAGGAATAAAAGAAACAAAGAAAACCCAGATCTACCCTGAACCAACCCCTCAGTCCCACCCCGCGATCTAAGAACAACAGAAACATGTACCGACCATGTTAAAACTAAAGATGAGGAAACACTGGAGGTTTAAAATCCAAAATCAAAGTAATATAAAATGAAATTTAAAAATAATTAATAAAATTAAAGAAGAACAACAGTAAAAGAAACTCAAATAAGAGCATTAAAACAGCTCAATAAAAGACGGTCCTGTCATTAAAACTAGAAGGGATAAATGTTAAAATATTTAAAAGTTAATGAGATAAAATGTAGTTAAAAGTGAAACTAAAAAGGTACGTTTTGAGTTTGGTTTTAAAATCATTAAGACAATTTCACCAAATTTAGAGAGATAATCCAGAATAATCCAGAACTCAACCTTCATGTTCGTTTCAATATTTTACATCCTGAGAGGAGAAAAGAAAAAAACACAGATTCACAGAAGAGTCGTCGGAATCATTCCCCCAGTCTTCAAACTGGTTATTATGGGATCTTTAGTTTCTACTGGGAGTCTCTAAAGAGGAAGAGAAAAGGTTCTGTTGGGTTTTCAGTATCGGAGACGTGAGTCAGGACATTTCTTCTCTTCAGGAGAGCACATGAACAAACCCCGAAAGAGGGCGGAGCCTAAAAGGATGCATAGTCTGAGCCTGTGTGTATTGACGACCACCAATCACATCAGCTGACGTCATTCTATTTTTAAACCGATGTCCACAATGACAGGATTACTGAGCGGTTTAGGCCAAAGAACAAAATAAATAATTCAAGTGAGATCCTGAGATTGAAGAACTTTGGTCTCTTGATCATCAGACTAACATCAGACCAACACCGTCCTCAGGTTTTATGAACTCTCATCCGTCTGAGAGGATTATTCATGTGTTCAGTGTGTAACCAGATTCATCAGTTTTAAAACAGAGATGTAAAGTCTTCGTCGTTATCACTTAAAGCTGAAGTTTGCAGATCTGCTGAGTTACTTCAGCCCAGCCGTCCGTACACGTGATGAGGAACCTACAGATAACCACTGATTACACAGAACCAAGCATTTAGTCAATACAGAGTGTCATGTGGGCACGTTATCATGCTGTCTAATCATGCACCTTCAGGAAACTACATGCCCTATTATCCAGACTGCTTTTCAACTGTACCTAACTGTAGGTCCTGACAGAGTGGATTCAGAGCTCCCTGTGGATTAAACCCTCGACCTTTATGCTGAACCATTGATTGGGCAAGAGTACCTGCAGCTGCCCCACCGTGGGCGACTGCACATGTCTGTCTCCTGTGATGAGGGTCAGAGGGTTTAAGCCACTCATCAGAGGCATGACGATGTGCTGCTCTCTCGTGAAAACATACATGATAATCTCACTGAATTGTACTTGATGTACCTCCTCCTCCTCCTCCTCACTCCCACACTTCATCTCCCTCTTCTTCCATCTACAGTCACAGAAAAGCTAATGAGGGTCTTATTATGAGAGCACAAAGAGGGGCCGGTTCAGACCGCGACACAGACATTAAAAAAGACCGACAGTAAAGGAGGTTTTTCTCTGCAGACAGACTGACAGACAGGACGATATTTAGTGGGTCTGACTGCACTCAGAGGTTCTGAAGCTTCTAGTAAGGCCCGAGTTCCTGAAGCCTCAGCGACATGGATGTGGGGCTAAAACAGACCAAAGTAAGAAAAAAGAAGTTTCAGTGAACTTCAGGTAAACTGTACTTAAAGTTGAGTTTTTATGCTCTTTTCAGAGACATATTTAACTTTACTTTTACTTTACTAAAAGTCTAAATACAGTTAAACTGTTGATCAAGATATACTCAAGTATGTATTTGTGCCACTGACTTGATCAGTGAATACTTCCATATATATCTGTTTAAGAGTATACTCTTAGTACCAACCAAGTACATAGATATATATACTGTGACTGAAATAACAGCAGACCAAAAAGGGAACTCTAAGTTTGCTTCAGAGTGGGCGCAAAGATGGCCGAGCAGGTTAAGCCGTGTCTCATGTTGGAGACCATGGTCCCTACAGCGGTCCTGGATTCAATTCCAACCCCCCAACCCCCCCACCCTGTGCTGCATGTCACCCCCAGAGGTTTAACTTGAAAGTACACTGGTAGTGTATTTGTATCAGTGTAAAAAGTATACTTTATAAAGTTTACTCAAATGAAGTATCCATTCATGAAAATGTACTTGAGGTAAACTTACTCTTGATGAGGGTACACACACACACACACACACACACACACACACACACACACACACACAGTCTTTTTCTACTTAACAGACCGTTTGATTCAAGAAGGTTCTAGAAACTCTCATCATCCCTCAGAGTGTCTCCTCCCATTACACCCTCATGTCCACTGAGAGCCTGTTTAAGACTGTCTTTCTGTCCCATCATATTGACCCATCGTTAAACAAATATATATATAAATATTTTAACTCATGACTATTTGAAATGTTTGGTGAGAGCTCCAGTGAAAAGAGTCCAAATAGAAAAGGAACATTGAGAGTTCAGGGGCTGAAGCCCCCTTTGGACTCTCTCTGTGTACATGTCTGTGAGTGCAAACACTGTCCGTACCTGACAAACTCTTAAAAGGTGCTGATGGTCATATATTGCAACAGGCCATTACACAATGTTCAGATGGAGTTATGTGATCGATAAACTAAGAAGTGTTAGAACTTACAGGGTCTGTCAAAGCTGCAAAGTAACGAACACTCAAAATAAAAATAACACCAGAAAGAGGAGAAACATACTTGATAAAAAAATACCCATAAACCCGCGGTTGAGCCTGTTTATGTGCTCATGACAGCCACTGCCAAAAAGCAGGTCCAGTTTAAACAAACATTCAGGCTCTCCATGAACCTTTGAATCTTCGTTGATCAAAGTTCATCATCTAACCTACATCAAAGTTTGTTTTCACTGTTTTCATTCAACCTTGTGAAAGCAGGAGCAACAGCAAGCATTCGTAACTCTGGAACCAGGTACTGCAAGTAAGTACTTCCATTTATTCCCACTGTGAGGATCTGCTGAGGGATGGAAACGTGAGCTGGCATCTCCACACAGACACATCAGAAAGTTATGAAGAAATTAAATTGGACTAAGACATTCACTGACACCATCAGGCCCAAGCTAAAGACCAGTCCAACATTTACATAACAGGAAAAACTGCCTCAGAATGGTCTTTTTTTAGTCAGCATCATCAGCTGATAAGTTTATCACCGTTTGATCTGGAGCTGGGACTTTGTGTTTGGAGCACGCCTTGATCACTCACTGTTAACTAATGAGAGTCTATCAGTGACCCGATTCAGCGCTGCTGGAAACCTGAAAACTGTGAATTTTTACTGCAGCTGGATGGTGGACATGTCAAACTTTCTAATTTCATCTTTTCTCAGTTGCTGTAAAAATGGATCCAGTGACAAATGAAAACTGTTGTATGGTCTTACAGTCTCCTGGTTTTACCCTTTTTAAATGATCTGTTCAATCAATGCTCCAAAGTCATCAGAAATGTAGTCAAATGATTTTTAAAATCTTTTATCTAACCGTCTACTTATCTTAATTGATTAATTCAAAAATTGATGACACTATGAGACGGCCTCCACAGATAATGCCTGAAGTATATCAATGATGATAAAGGCGGCTCTAAAGACATCTGCATATCTGCAATAAAAGTATTTGCTTTAATCCTACTGAGCGTGGGTTTCAAAGGCCTCTGTGTTTAAATACTAATGACAGTGAGAAATTCTCCAGTTTCACTCGATTTGATCAGTTTTGTAAGCCTGTGCTTTGTGACATGACGATTCTCTTAAACCTTTTGCCTTTGTCCCTCCACACAGGAGGGTGGAGTGGACTTTGAGCATTCAGAGCACTGTCTGTGCCTCCCAGTCCTCTGTCAGAGCCCAGCTGAGAGTATAAAAACCCTGATCTGGAGCTCAGAAACCAGTCTCGTCTGAGTACTCGCCAACAATAAGGAGAGAGCTTCTACGAACCCATCATGGGTTACACAAAGCTCTGCCTCTTGCTGCTTCTCAGCTTATCTGCCTTGGCCTGTAAGTAGACCCAGAGGAACCTCTCTCTGAAAACTGGGAGAAGATTCTTTTAGTTCTTTTGGGTTTTTTTAATTTTCAGTTTGACTTTGTGTGATTGCTCCCTGGAGTGCTAAAATTATCCAGTTAAATATGGTTTGAATGAGAATTTTTTATAGTCATAGAGTTGACATGTATCATCTGTAACAGGTCCAATGAAAGTTATTTCCTTTTTTTTCATATAAAGTCATTCTTACTGTCTTCAGTCACATCCAACTTACCGAATTTATTTGACTTGTTGACAGATGCCCAAGATGAAGATCTTCCAGCTGCCGTAGAAGAAGTTCCAGCTGCCGTGGAGGAAGTTCCAGTGGCCCCAGAAGAAGTACCAGCTGCCCCAGAAGAAGTTCCGGCTGCCCCAGAAGAAGTTCCGGTTGCCCCAGAAGTAGATCAACCTGCCTGCGTGTGTAAGTAAAAGACCAGTCTATGGGATCATGCTTAGTGTAATTTATTCCAGTACACACAGTTACAGAAGTTCAATAGGAGTTAAGAGATTGTCTTTGTCATTGATTTTCTCATCTAGTGGGTACAAGGTACAAGACCCTGCACAAGTATGAGTACTTGTATGAAGCTGAATCTCTGAACGCCATCAATGGAGCCTCAAACCTTCAGAACGGACCCAAGGGTTCTTGTAAGGTAAAAGAAAGCTCTGAAGAGATGATATTTCTCTCTTCCCAACCTTTCCAGGAGGTTAGATGATACAGAATATATTTCTCACTCACAGGTCGAAATTGAAGTTCCTCAGAGTTGCAGTTACATAGTGCGCACCACTGGCTGTAGCCTGAGTGAGGTGGTCAACATGGACGCAGAGGGCAACGCTGTGTTCGGTCCCGCTGCCGGCTCTGATGCCTTTGCTGCTGAAATGGAGAAGTATGTTCCTTCAGTGTGTTTTCAATAAGTGATCAAATCCAGGGGCTGAAAACCGCCTTTGTTTTAGGATGAAATGATCACTTCTCCAATCTCCTGCAGATATCCTCTGAAGGTTGTGGTGGAGGGTGCATACGATGTGAAACTGTACCCTGAGGACGGTGAGACAACAAACATCCTGAACATCAAGAGAGGTATCATCTCCGCCCTGGCTGTCCCTCTGGTGGAAGAGGAGAAGAACAAGATCATGGTACATTCATTTACACAGAAAGGGATACTACCTAGTCCTATTTTTAGACCTTTTGTGGGCTCACCCCCAACCTTAACCATGATTTGTGCTTTAAACACAAGTGTCTGATTATCACTTACAGCCCACTATCCATGGCAAGTGCAAGACTTTTTACACCGTCAATGCCAGAGAAGACATCGCAACTGACATCAGCCTCTCCAGGGATCTGTCCGGATGTGCAAACTTTGTCCCAATCCGAACCCACACCAATCCCTTGGCACTTCTCCCCAGCATGGTAAGACCTCCAGACCTTAGTATCCAGGGTGCTGACCTTTACAGGCAACAGCACTCAGGTTTATGGCAAATACAGTCCTAAACAGGTAACAGGTCTGAAGTGCAGGAAAGAGGTCTACGGTTGTGAGAGAGATGTTTTTGTTTGTTTTTCTGTAAAGGGGTACAGATGAGGTCGGTATGAGTGTAGTAGCATCAGAATCAAAGGACTAAAGGGGATATCTCCTCCAGAAACTCAAACTCGGTGACATGAAGTCGGATTAAAATCCCTTTTCAGCGCTCTAAACTTAATGTGATTGACAAAGGATATCTTAAAAGTGCAGTGCTCTATTTTTAAATCTTGTTTCCAGTGAACCCACCATAATGTTGTGTTTTTCATCTGCAGCACTACCCTGTTTCTAAGCTGATCAAGAGCACACAGAGTTGCAATTACCAATTTGACAATGAGCAACAGCACATGACCTCTGGCTCCTGCACTGAGAAACACATCCTCATCCCCTTCTCACACAAGTAAGTCTTACCTTTACAGAACTGACGAACTGTCCCTTTAAATCTGCACGTCTCTTAATATGTTGTCCTCTTACAGGGGAGAATACGGAGTTACCAACGTTGGAAAGCAAAAGCTGACCCTGGGGGCAGTTACTCCTCACAACGAGAGAGTCTTTGAAACAAGTATGTCCTTTAATTCAGCAGCGTTGGTTTGGTTGATGGAGGATTTGTCCCTGGAAGCAACGCTGACTCCTTTTGTCCTGTATCGTAGGTAACATTGTCAAGGGTCTTCACATGGAGACTGTGGAGGACAAGAGTGTCATCCAGGATAAAGATGCAGGTCTGAGCCTCCTGGGAGAACTGGCCGCTCTGCCCTTGAACGAGGGTGACAGGAGAGCTGACCTCTTCCACAAGCTTGTCGCCATGGTCCGTGGAATGAAGGCCGAGACCTTGAGTCCCGCCATTCCCGAAGCTCTTGCTGTGTCCAAAGTCCTGACCTACCAGGTCCTAGCCCAGTGTGGAACCCCTGAGTGCAGCAGTGCCATCATGCAGATCTTCAGGACCCTTGATACCTCCTCAGTTGAAGTTGATGCTGGAGTTTTTGCTTTGGGACTTGTGTCCAATCCTTCTCCCCTGCTGATCAACGACATGCTGGAGATGGCCCAGTACAAGCCCAGCAAACCCATCTTGTATGCCCTGAGCAATGTGGTCAAGAGGTGAGTGACTTTCAGAACTCTGATCCAGGTTTAGAGTCATATTTCAACATGTCTCCTCCTTTCTTCTACATCCTCCTCCAAAGGCCTGAATTTTTAATCAGTATTTCTTCTGTCACAGATACTACAAAGCTGAAGGGAAACTGATCCCTGAGATCCATGCTGTTGCTAGGTTTATGGCTGGACAGTTGGGCGACTGCTCTGGTGACGCAGAAACCACTTTCATGATTTTGAGGGTAGGTACCTTTTCCAACAATCCAACACTGAACGTATGAGGAGCACACGTATCAAACTTACATGAACATAAAGAAACAGTAGAAATGCAAAACTGTCTCTCAACTTTCAAAGCCGTTTTCTGGTTTAGGAACGATTCATTATATTTAGAGATGGGGCAGATAAATCAAAGATTCAGTACCTTGGACACTGTTAGGGCCCCTCAAGACAAACAAGCTTTGGCTCCACTTTACCAGAACCGAACAACTGAAATCCACATATTTAGTTGTTGTTCAGCCTCATGTAGAGGTGGATTGATGCATGTTTGAAAGTAAGAGACAGAAAGTTTGCTGCTCCAGATCTCCAATCAGTTACACCACTAGGCAGAAGAAGCATATTGCAGCATCTGGATTTTGGTTCTTCTTATTGAACAATCATCTTTTTTAATACCAGGTCATTGGAAACATGGCTGCAGCTCTTGGACCTGCCAGTCCCGCACTCAGAACCGCTGTGATCCAGTGTGTGAACCACCCTGAAGCTACCCTGCCTGTGCAGCAGGCTGCCATTCAAGCATACAGGCTCACCCCTGTCCCTGAAGAGGCAAGTGCAATTCCTACAACTGCTGAACCCATTACAGGACTGATGATCCAGACTGTGTCCTCATGTTGTTGATCTCTGTTGGTTACAGGGCAGAGAGGTTCTCATGCAGGTGCTTCTCGACAGTGAAAGCCCAATGCAAAAGCGTGTTGCTGCATACCTGGTTCTCATGAAGGACCCCCAGCCCTCTGAGCTGGCCCAGCTGGCAGCTGCCCTCCCCAATGAGCCAAACGACCAAGCCAAGAGCTTTGTGATCTCCCATGTGACCAACATCTTGTCCTCAACTGAGCCAGAGACCCAAGAGTACATGATAATCACTTACATTTGAATTTTTTTAGTCAATTGTGTGCTTTGGTGGTCTTCAAAGTCTGTAGGTCAGTGGTTTAACTCTTAGATGTTTTCTTTTTTAAACAGACTGAGACAGAAGATTCTGGATGCCCTGCAGGGTAATGAGGTTGGGCCCATCATGGACCTCACTAAGTTCTCTCGCAACTACAAGATTGGATCTGTGGAGGGCAACGTGGTCTTTGAGGGTACCAGCTACCTGCCAAAGGAGGTCATGCTTGACATGACTCTGAAGGCTTTTGGCTTTGACATCGACATGGTGGAGGTAAAAAAACGAGCTCTATAAATTCAAACTGTGCTCTGAGGTCGTATTGATGTGAGCTCAGTAGTGAGTGAGAAAACTGTCCCTTTTTTCAGATTGGTATGGAGGGAAAAGGATTTGAGCCAACTGTTGAAGCCCTGTTTGGAGAGAATGGTTTCTTCCCCGACACAGTCCTGAAGGCCATGTACTTTGTCTCTGACAACATGCCACTGGGAGTCAGTGAGGTCCTGCAGAGCGTCATGCCCGCATTGAAAAGGGACAGGATGAAGAGACAGGTATGCAGAGCAGTCTGTTTGGTGCACATAACGTACGCTCACATCTCATCAAACAATGACCCTGTTACTGTAAAGGAAATCTTAAAGAACAAAAGTATACCTGTACTTTTAGGCAACCCAAAACCTGCTGAGAGACATCGGACGTAACCTCAACAAACTTGTGAGGGACCTGAAAACAACACCGTCTCCTGAGGCAATGGTTTATCTGAGACTTTTGGGTAATGAGCTGGGGTACCTGAAGACCAATGAAATGGAAGAGATGGTCTACTCAGCTGCCATGATGATTGACAGCTTGATGAAGATGTTCCCAGCCGATGTGAGGAGACTTTTTATATTGCGTTTGAAATAGAGCCACTGATGATGAAACAATCCTTTTATTTCCAGGATTAAAAAAAATAAAAAACACTTTTATCACTTTATTTACAACAGCTGCTGAAGGCGCTGATTTCCACCGCTGACAACGCAGTCTTTGCCCACTACATCTTCATGGACAATGAATTCTTCCTGCCCACTGCCACTGGTGTGCCTCTGAGGATTGCCCTGTCTGGTACTTTCACTCCTGGTGTCCAGGGTGGACTGAAGGTTGCTGCTGACCTGGTGAGTATGAAACGATCAATGCTGATTGTTTGAACTCAGATTGATCTTCAGGGTATTGAGGATATGTGTCAACTGTGTTTCTGTAGAGCGAGATTGTCTTCAAGCCTTCTGCTGCTGTCGAGTTCGACACTCGGATCGGTGCATTCCTCCCTGAATACGTCGACTCTGTATTAGAGATGCACACCAGCCTCTTCCATGAGAGTGGCATCGCTGCCAAAGTGTCCTTTGAAGGAAGCACAGCCAAGCTGACCATCCCTGCTCCAATGCATCCAGTGAAGGTCTTGAAAATAACGTAAGTTACAAGAACAAGTGAATAATAGTGAGAAAAGAAACATAAGGCAGCTGCACTGTGATAAGATAAGTAGCCTTAAGGCATTTTGAACAGGGGAAATCAAATGATAGGTGCAGGTTTTATGTGCTTTTATCAGTGCAGTTATGGCTTTATGGAGTGATAGGGGGTACTGTTGTTTGTCTTTTGGAACAACAACTACTGAGCTACACTTGAAATCAGCTCATGTTATGTTTACACTTTTCTACATTTGAAATACAGAAACTATCTGGTAGCAGTGAGTGGATCAACTGTGTGGACCATCCCTCCTGTGGTGACAGACAAGGTTGATGTTAGTGAGTGCACACCTTTCTTTGCTGGAATGAAATACTGCAGTGCTCTGCAGTACACTGATGCTTCCTCCTCAGAGACAGCACCCTACTTCCCCTTCACTGGAGACAGCAAGTGAGTGAAATTGTCTGATCTGCAGGCCAACAATTTTATCTCTTATGATGACTTCTTTGTAATAATAAGCTAATTAAATTGATTCTCCAAACAGATTGGCCATAGAGCTCCACCCCACAGGTGAGGTCACCGAGTATACAGCCACGATTGCCTACGAGCTCCTGAGGGAGGGAGAAGAAGGCCGGCAGAAGGTGGACTCTTTGACACTGGTTGTGAGGGCTGAAGGTAATAAAGAAAAGTTAAAAATCTTCAAATTTGTTTCTGGCTGAATTTGAACATGAAATTACTTCAAGATGAGTTTTTTCATTCCAGTCTATTGTTTGGTCAACAACAGGTGCAGAGCCAGCTGAAGCCACTGCCCTTGTGAAGTATAACAGAAGGAAGAACTTTATCACAGCCGACCTCCAGATCCCAGACTACGATGTGGAGGCTGGACTCAGGCTGGGTGTTGTCGATGGAAACACCAAGGGCAAAGGAACTCACTCCATCTCTCTTGACTTAATCAACAAGAACATCCCTCAGCTCTCCCTGGTCGGCCGTGCCAGGTAAGAAATCAACATAAAAAATTAATATCATCATCATCATTTTTTATATTATACTAACTGGATGACTTGTGTATTTTTCAGCATCATGGCCATGAAGGACGCTAAGCTTGAAGTCCAAGTTATTGTTCCCTCACTCAAAACCGATGCTACAGTCACAGCCAACCTGAAGCGTGATGAGGAAGCAGCACTTGTGCTGAAGAGTGATATTAATGTCATGGGTGCCACATCTGAGCAGGAAGTCTCCCTGAAATATGGTAATTTTCATGTCACCCTTTTCTCATGAGATTTTACAACAATTCACTCTAAGTTCTCAGAGATATACTCATATGTGTTGTTCCCCAACATAGCCATGGATGGACAACAGTTAAAACTTGGGATAGAAAATGAGGCATAAAACCATGGGGCAGGCAACTTTGAGGCAGATTCACTGAAATACACAAGAAATGAGGGTTATTTCAATTGTTCCATGTTGTTGCAGATGGAGACAAGGTTGAGCTGGAGGTCAAGTCCGATGTGCACGCTGAAGCTGCTATCCTGCCTGAGATTTACCTGCCAGAGAAACTGTTCTTGAATACGTAAGTGTGGAAAAACTCCTTCAAAATACTCATAACCCAAATATACTCCACGTCATTCATATTTTTTTATACGTTTTGTTTCAAACAGCGAGGCCAAGGCTGTCTACTACTTCAACAATGAGCGCCTCATCCTTTCTGTTCCCCTCCCTCTCGGAGGAAAGTCAACAGAGGAGCTAAACTTCCCACCAGCTCTGACCACACCAAGTGTCTCTCTGCCCGCATATGGACTAGAGATTGCCTCTGTGGAAATTCCCATCCCAGAGATTGTTGTTCCTGAGAGCCTTACCTTGTACGTTCCTCTTTTTGGCAAAGCTGAGGTTGCCGCAGCAGTGAAGAGCAACATTTACAACATTGACGCTTCAATTGCTGCCGGCAAAGATGTGGTGGAGGCACCAAGCTATTCAGCTAAGTTTGATGTGACAGGAAGCTCTCCTATTGACATCCTCTCAATAAAGGTGGAAGGTAAGTAGCAGTAGATGAGAATTTTGGATGTATCCAACTTTTTGCTTTCCTTTTTGTTGCGATGATGTGTTGTTCAATTTTTGGTAAAAAAAATGTCCTGTTACATTTTTAGCCTTTCATTGATCAACAAAGATGGATAAATATCTTAACTTTACTCACAATTTTAGAGTTGAATCAGATAAAACTACACTTCACAATTTTATCATGTAACTGAGTCTTTGTATACGAGTGGGTAAATAAAGTAGGGTTATGTTACCAAACAAACCGAATATTAATTAATAGAAATCTTGTTTCCTTTCACCAGGCTCTGGGATGTTGGCCATCACTGATGCCATCAAGGCCAACCTGAAAAGCTCTTTGGTCCATCAACTTATTGAGGCCAATGTTAACATTGTTGAGGAAGTCACCATCGCAGACAAAATTAGTGTAAAATCCAGCAGCAAGATTGAAGCCAAAAGCCCCTTGGGTGTTACTATTGCACTAGAGCACACTGGTGTGGCAGGAGTCAGCACTGAAGAAATCTCTGCTGATAGCAACCTTGAAGGAACGTGGGAAGCTGGACCAGCACAAGGAAAGGCCACAGCAACCCAGGCAGTAATCATCGCCCCATTCAAGCCAGAAGCAAAGATTGATTCTACTGTTCTGATTGACTCCAGGCTTATCAAGGCCCAGAATACCATTGCAGCAACCCTTGCCGGTGGTGAACTGTCAGTTGTATCAAACACCAACGCTTTTGGAGACATTCTGACACATGCTGCTGAGCTTTCCTTCAAGGAAAGCAAGCTGTCACTGACCTCCGATACAAACGCCCTGGCTCTTGGTCTGAAGATCAACAACAAGGCCGAGGCCTCTGCTGGAGCAGGTGAAGTTGTCCTGAGAATTGAAACAAACACTGACCAGAGTGAAAACCGTGTTTACTCTCTGCTGACTGCTTCACTGGATGTCAATGGTCTGGCAGTAAACAGTGATGCCACCGTGAAGCTCCTTGAGAATGAGGCTATTCACAAGGCTGCTCTGAAAATGAGCAAAGATGGTTGGATCGCAAGTGGAACCACCACCCTCCAGAGCCCTCTTGCCCTGGAAAACACCTTCAATGCTGAGCTTGCTGCTTCAAAGGCTTCTTTGACCATTAACAACAAGGCTGCCATCCAGGACATTAAGGTCGACAATGCCAACAATCTGATCATCACCCTGTCTAGCCTTGACTTCAACTCAAAGGCTGAAGCTGTCGTCAGTGAGTATGCCTCATACACACATGACATCACCATCGACCTCAAACCCGACACAGCTGCTGCAAATGTAAACAACAACCTGAAACTTCTTGGGGCCGATGTCATTAATGAGGCGAACCTCAAAGCTGAGCTCTACAAGATTGATCTTACTGGAAGCCTGAAAGCCATCTATGGTGAGGAGGAGGTCAAACACGCCTATGAGGTGAATTATGCTGATTTGGCAGCAAGCGCTAAGTGCAGCACGACTGGAAAGCTCTTAGGAACTCACATGAGCCAAAATACTGAGCTTGAAGTTATCGGTCTTGCAGCCAGGATCGCCAACGACGCCCGCTTCAACTCACAGCCAGTACGCTTTGACCAAACCATCCGCTGCAGCGTTGCACCTTTTGATCTCAATCTTGACGCCATCTTCAATGCTGATGGAGACATTACCATGTATGGAAAGCACAGCGCCCAGCTCTATGGCAAGGCCCTCCTTAAAGCACAACCCTTGGCAATTGCAAGCTCACACGAGTGCCGAGCATCAGTGACCCAGCAGTTAGATAGTGGTCTTTCCATTGAGACAACATTGGACAACAAGATGGACAATGTTCTGTCACTTCAAGAGCAGAAGAGCAATTTAAGAATTAAGGCCAAAGTGAATGAGCATACCCTCAGCCAGGACTTAAGCATTTACAACACTGCTGAAAGAATTGGACTGGAGGCTTCTGCCACCATCCTCACAAACATCCTCAATGGCGACTCCGAAGAAAACCAGGAAGTCACCCTTTCAGGCTTCCTGAAGTATGACAAGAACACAGACAGCCACGCACTCCAAATCCCATTTGTTGAAAACTTGCCTGCCTTGCTTGAAAGCATCAAGGGCTTAGTCGTGTTGGTGGGAGAGACTCTGCAAGGTGTCATCAGCAATGAGGAGGTAAAAGCTGCAATTGAAGCTCTTCCACAGTATGCTGTTGACTTTGTTTCTCAGCTGAATCTAGAGGAGAAAATTAATCAACTGAAGCAGTATTTGAGTGATTTAACTCAAGAGTACGCTATCTCCATGGAAGATGTTGAGGCTTGGCTAGCTTACCTGAACGCAACTGTTGCGAAGATACTCTCAGATCTCAGTGTTTACATCCAGGGCATTGCTGGTGCAATTACAGAGATTATTACCACTGGCACCATTCCTGAAACCCTTATTCAGAAGACCCAGGAGCTGCTGGATGTCATCGCCGAGGAATACGACATCAAGGCCATTATTATGTATGTAATTGATACCATAAAGGGTGTGGTTGAGATCATAGACCTGGAAAAACTGAAGGGCAGCAGCATTGAAATCCTGAGTGACATTGACGCCACATATGCAATCAAGGCTAAACTGCAGGCAGTAATTGATTATTTGAGGGAAACAATCGAGACCTTGGATGTGCCAGTAGTTGTTGCTGAGCTGAAGAATTACATTTCATCTATTGACTTGAAAGCTCGCATTGATGAACTTGTGAGTCAGCTCCCCTCTGAGATCTTTGGTGCTATCAAGGATGTGATCGCAGAAATTGCTCAGGATCTTGACATCCTCGGTAAAATCAATGCAATCTCTGCCTGGATTAGAGAGCTCATTGTAAAGTATGAGGCTGACCAAAAGGTTCAAGCTATCTTGGAAAAGTTAGCAGAACTCATCAAGCAATGGAACATTGAGGAAACCATCAAGGCCATTGTAACAACAGTAAGGGATGCACACCTCCCTGACCTATTAGTGCAAACCCTCCAGAACACCATTGAGTACTTAAAAACAACTGATGTTCCGTCTATTGTTCAACAATTGAATGCAATCCTTGAAAATGTTGTGGAGAATGTGAAGTCACTGGAGTACAATGATTTGGTGCATATGGCCAATGATTGGATCAAGTGGGCCATAGATAATGTGAATGACCTGATTAAGACTCTTGAAATCCCCAACAAACTTGAGGCAACAAAAGATCTTATCAACCTTGTGCTGTCCACTGCTACAGGCTTGATAGAAAGTGTCAGGGAAATCAAAGTCGCAGAAATAATCAAAACTGGCAAAGATTTTATTGACCAGGTTGTGCTTGTTAACCTTAAGGGATGGGTGGACTGGGTGAAGCAGGGGATTGCAAATCTTGATGTCAATGCTGAGATTGCATCTTACTTGGACTTAGTTAGCAAATACTATGCAAAGGTCCTCACCATCATCACTAGCCTGCTTACCAATGTGATTGAGACTGTTCAGAGCATCTTACCCGAACAAAAAATCATTGGCGAGATTCAGCAAATCTTGACTGCGTTCTTAACTGAACTTAAGACCATTGAGTTGAGCACACCTTCCTTCTCACTGCCTCTCACTGATCTTGTTGTGCCTTCATGGAAGATCAGCTTAGAGAAGCTTGAAATTCCAACACAGCTGGACATCCCTGAGATCACCATTCTGGGTACCTGGACAATCCAGGCCACCACAATTTCCACTGATGACATCAAGCAGACAATCATTGCAGTTCTTGATTGGATCTTAAATGCTGAGATCGCAATACCTGACATGGATGCTTTCTTTGGGGAACTGACCATAAACCTCCTCCCTGCCCTGCCCGAGATAGCCCTGCCAGCAATCACTCTGTCTGAGATCTCACTCCTTGCCTTACCAGAAGTTCCTGTAGAGAAGTTTGTCAAGTCTCTTGAGCTTCCTGAGCTCAAACTGCCGACCATCCCAACTGAGATCATGGTCCCCTGCTTTGGTAAACTCTATGGTGAGGTCAAATTCAGCTCCCCCATTTACACAGTGAGGGCAACTGCTGAGCTCCAGAACTCAACTGAGAGTGAGGTGACACCTACATTCACCGGATTCCTTTCAGCTCAGGGAGCATCACCAAGCTTTGAAATTCTCAATTACAACCTCGACTCCACTGCTCGTTTGGCAATCCCAAAAATGAGCCGTATTGTTGTGGCAGAGACTGTTAAACTAGCCCATGTTGCTCTGGGAGTTGATCATCAGGCATCCGTGTCTCTCTATGGCCTGTCAGCTCAGGCTCAAGCAAAAACCACCCTCAAGGTTACCACCACACCTTACACGGCAGAACTCATCAACACAGCCTTTATTGGTATTGAAGAAGGAATGTCTGCTTCTGTGGAAACAGCTTACAATCATGCACTGAACCTCCCACTTTTGGAGCTCACAAGTGAGGCCACTGCTAACCAGAAAGCAGTTGCTCGCCTGGATGGCTACACCCTCACCCTTACCGTGGACAACTCTGGCACTGGCAAGATAAATGCTGAAGATGGCAACCACAAGAGCAACTTGTATTTGTCACTCACTCCCAGTATTGTCACTCTCACCTTCTCTGGAGACACAGACTCTCCTCTCTTGAAGATGAAACAGCAAATCGCAGCTGAGATTGGTACCTTTACTTACCTTAAATTTAATATCCGCAATGAAGCAGAGGCACCAATTATCAAGAACAGTCTTTTAGTAGCATCTGGAAATGCCAACCTTTATGACCTGAAGGTCGAGCTGAAGGCAAACCATGACGCAGAACTGATTGGTGCAATCAGTGGAGTTCTGTCCAATGGAATCAACATTGTAGCTCAACCTGTGGAGCTTGTTGCTGAAATCCAAAACAAAGGAAATGCCAAGGTGAACATTCTCGAAGCTATTATTGCCAAGATAGATCTGCAGAATGATTACACAGCTGTGGTCAAACCTGCAGGCCAACATCTCAACACAGTAGCTTTGGCTCGTCTAAATCAGTACAAAGTATTCTGGAATGTAACTGTTGACAATAATGAGAACGAAGCTGGCATCTTTGTTGCCTTGGATGGTGAGGCAAATCTTGACTTCTTGACATCCCCCATCAGCATTCCTGAGCTTGATCTGCCTTTTGTTGGCTTCCATACCCCTGCTATCAGTGATCTGAACTTGTATGAGGAGACTGGGTTAAAGGACATTTTGACCACCACTGAGCAGACCTTTGATGTTGATGCTAAGGTTGTTTACAAGAAAAGCAACCTGATCACAGATCTAACTTTCAAGTCTGCCATCATTAACCTGAATGTCAATGCTGCGCTGTCCATGGAGGATGATATTGTTTTACGTCTGGGAGCCACCACAGCCTCTGTGTATGAAAGTCTAAAAGCTAAACTTGATGGTACCACAAGTCTCACAACCACAAGAGGAATCAAGCTGGCCAATTCCCTGTCCCTGGAAAATCCTCTCATTCAAGGAACTCATGACAGCACCATCAGTTTGAGCACTGAACTCGAACCTGTAGTCTCTGTGGCCACAGTTGCAAAGATTGCCCTGCCCATCCTCAACCTGGAAGCAAACCAAAATCTGGTGGCCAACACCAAAACAAAACCAAATGCTGCATCCACCTTGACCGTGAAGGGTGACTTCAACATTCCTGTGATTAGGGCTGTTGGGAAGGCAGAGGCAGACCACAAGCTGAAGCTGGAGGGAACCTTTGACTTTGTTTCCGTGGAGACATCCACAGCGGCAAGGCTGGATGGTACAGTGCTGGAAGACTACCTTCTTCTGGGAGTGGTTGATAATGAGGCCAATGTGTATCTCAACTCTGATGGTCTGCGATCCAACATTAAACTTATTGCTGATACCAAGCTTGAACAAGGAACTACCAAAATCATCGGCCTGGAGGTAAATGAAAATCTTGAGGTTGAAGCCTCCCTGAGCCGTGTGTATGCAGTGCTGAAGTTGGCGAGCACCAACGAAGCAAACTTGTTTGATTTTAGCACCAATGGAAAGCACACTGCCCAAGCAACAGTAGATCTTGTGCCAGCCGCTTCACTGACTGCTGATATTGAGATCGACCTGTCTCAGCCAACCAGCCTTGGTGACTTCACCATCTTTGATAAAACTGTTGCTGACGTGACAGCTGCTAAGCAGAAGATTTCCACAAACACCAAGATTGTCACCCCAGTGTACACCACCAACCTGGCAGCTGAGGTCGAAGGAGAGGCACCTGTCTTGAAAGTTGCCCTCAAGTCTTCTGCCACCTCTGTGGTTGTGCTCTTGGAATATGACTTGGATGGTGAGTTTATCAAAACATCTAAACCTGTTTTTTTTTATTCTGTGGGCAATGTTAAGCACTTAATCTGATAGAGATATTTTCATTTCACAGCCTCAAGCGTTGCAAGCCTTGCAAGTGAAGATCTGAGCTGGAACAGCAAGGTGGTCCTGACACATGCTGACGTGACCCTTGATGCAACCCATGCCTTGGGGTAAAATCCTATTTGATCAATAATGTGAAATGTGTCCCCATTTTTCTTCACAATTTAGGAGTGAATACTAAAATACTATAAACAATAATCATCATTGACTTTTGTGAGCATTTACTGAATTCCTTTCGCTGAATATCAGGTTAAAGGCTTTTTCTTTTTCAGTACCCTGAGTGTGGACATCACCAGCCCTACTTTCACTGATGTGAGTGTGCGTTGGGCTGCCTCCGGAGATGGCATTGGTGCTTCAGTTTCTATCCCATCTGCTGGCTTGCTCGGTTGGCAGATAGTCCCAGCTGAGCTCAATGCAAGAGTCTATGGCCGTTATCCTGTGAGTATTAACAACAAATATTTGAAACAAAATACAATCATCTAGATAAAAGCTTAACTATCATTTGTATTTCCTCTGTCCAACAGTCTGCCCCAGAGGTCGATGTTGATGTCTTGATCATTAAATCAGCTGCTCAGAGCCTGCAGGTTGCCTACAACATGGAGGCCCCCAAAGTGTTGCTCTCTGAAATCAAGGCGAGATTCCCTTCCATCATCTCTGCATTGACAGTGTTTGCTGACAAATATTATATCACAGGCACCATTGAGGATCTGAAGAACACAGTTGTTAACCGTGTCAGTGAGGCCTATGATGCTGCAGTTAACTATGACACCAGCTTGAGCCAGCTATCAATCTTCTTCAGAAACATCATTGTCCAGTACCAGCTTACCGTCCAGACTATCCTAGATACTATAATCAAGGTCCTCAGAGAGACCCAGTTCAAACTGCCTGGGTCTGATGAGATGACCACTCTCCCTGAGGTCCTGAAGAAGCTTACCAGCAGCATCGCTGCTATGCTAGATGCGACCATCCAGACTGTCTACCAGGCACTAGAGGTCAATCTGAACGCCTTTGTTGAGATGATCAGTAATGTGAAAGTACGCATGCCAGTAGGTGATGCAGTTTCTGTAGGTCAGGTCTTAGATCAGGTCAAAGCAGCTTACAAGGCCATCTTTGATGGACTGGTGGACTTTGTGAAAAATATGGAAAGTCTTGACACAATGCTTGAGAAGATAAATGAGACCCTGAAGGCTGTTGTGGATAAATCTCAGGAGCTTATTGACTCTGTCCAGTCTGACTATTTAGATGCAGTGTTCGTCAACATCAATATTGTCTATCGTAACCTTGTCTCCGTCCTGAAGACAGTTACTGACCAGATTTCTGCACTAAATATGGAGCAGCTGAACGGTTCACTCGAGTATATCATTGACGTAATCATTTCCGTTGTGGACCAGTTAAACAACACTGTCTATGGTTTACTGCAGCAGGCTTCAGAGGAGGCTCAGGCTATCATGAAAGTTAGTGAAGGTAGGCTTGAGATTGAACTCCCCCTCCAATAGTGAGGAACCCTCACAGACTGAGGCCTAAGTCCATATGAAACACTACCATCTGTTCAAAACACATGCTTGGAAAAAGTATGGACAATGAGCTCTTTAACCATATTTATAACAATGAGTTTAACAGCAGCCACTGTTGTCATTTTAATCTCAATGGTTTTTGTGTGCAAACATTGAAAATGTAAAGTCCTACTGAAAGTCATCTTCATGTAAAGGATGAAAAGCATCAATAAAATACATAAAATTATTTTTTCTTCTTCTGTCTTTCTTTGCTGTTTCAGTGATGTTTGGGGGAAATTAAACCTGATAATGCAAACTTAACATAAACTAGAGCATCAAAGTAAAAAGTCATCCACAAAAGAGAGAGATATGAGAGCAGCATAAGACAATATACACACACGTAAAACAAAAAGACAAGATCATCTCATTTGAAAGGGTTGAAACACATTGAAAAAGCTCCCAGAACAGGACATGAAACTCATGCACAGAGAGCCTAAAGCATTTACTTATTTCTCAATGTGGACCTTATGCATATTCATGACTAGAATATTAAGTTTAAAGAACTGCACATTAAAAATCACTTGGTGTAAACACATGGGCAGCATTAACAGGTCTGAACAGTGAAGCTAATAAACAGGTCACGCTCTTTCTTGGTGAGTTTGGCACACTGTGTAAAAGTCATGAAAATCCTCTGAAACAGAAAGAGTGCAAAGACATTATCTTCAATGTTAAAACTGAAAAAGGGTTATATAAAAAATGTAGGTGCTATAATGTACATGTCCATTTGATGGCAGACGGGTGCGCGTTCACCTTTGCTGGTGCGACATCAGTATGTTAACATGTAAGACCTAAGGAGACCACTTTCTAAGACCTCCCACTGGATTTGATTTGGGTCTCTTTTAAATTTCAGACCCTTTGACACTTTTCCACTTCCCCACAGTCCATCCTAGTAGGGTTGCTTTTGGCGGCCTGTTTTAATTTTAATTTTAGTCGAGTCTTTGTGTCAAACTGTCATTTTAGTTTTTATTAGTTTTAGTCATATTCAAACTCATTTTTGTTTAGTCTAGTTTTAGTCGACTAAAACTCTTGAGCATTTTAGTCTAGTTTTAGTCAATGGTTTTAATCTCTTTTTAGTAATGTAATCCTGTTTACATCACAAACTGTTCCAGTTAATATAGTATAATTACCTAGTATAGTATAGAACAGATAAAACCAATTTTTTCTTTTAGTCGAGTGGTTCTCAACTGGTCTCACTCTGGGACCCACACTTTTCGATGGTCCTTAAGTCGAGACCCACTTTTATAGAAAACCTTTTAAGACTCAAATCTTAAACACAAATACACCAGTTTTATTGGCCCTCATTTATCAAGCTTGCGCAGATCTGAGTGCAGGATTCATCGTACGATAGGACACTCGTGAGATTTATGAAAGGGTTCGTATCTGACCAATCCCAGCGTACGTGGTGGAAACTAACACGGATTTTCTCTTTGAAAGCATCAAAACTGGAATGAAAGCAGTCCAGAGAACTCCTGTCTGGAGCAGGATTATGGTGGCGCTGAACAGCGCTGCCGTGGAATAGCGGACAGTGGCTGAAGTTTAATTAAATAATTAATCAATAAGTTGCTCATGATGATAAATTGATATCTCATACATGCCTCATATTTGTTTATTGCCATGACATAGGGTACGCTGCTCCTATTACTGAAAGTATTTAGTTTTAATTTGTTGCCTCTTTGTGATGTAGAGCAGACTGGAGAGTCTGACAGAGGCTGAACAAAAATAATTATTAACCTCACCAAACAGTGTGTCGCTGCCCCTGAGGCACATTTTTATGGATTTCTATTGGATTTTTATCACTAATTAAATAGCAAGAGCACTTTCTAAACTTCTACTTCACATGTCAGAATCCATCAATAAGGTCCCGTCTCTTCAGTACAGCACCTTTGAGGAGTCTCTCCTCATTATTGTTCTCCGGGCATCGGGTCCTCACGTTGCACCGGCACAGCCAACGGCGCTCCATTCGCCACTGCAACATTGTGCAAAACTGAACTGGCTCAAATGATGTCCCACACCCTTTCAGGAGTGTACAACAACGTCCCCACTGCTGGGCCAAGACAGAGACACCTGCCTTTTAGGAGTCAAACGCAGCGCTCCACCGTGGTGTGAGTGATCAAATAGGCCTGTTCACTAAGGATATAACAACTTTATTTTGTTAAATGTAATTTATGTCTTAACCTTTATGAAATCTGGCTGATTGTGCTTAATGACAGGTTTGAGGTTTGTATATCAATGATTATGAGACAGACATTTGCTGCACCGCAGATGCACTGCAGATCTGACTCAAACTTGCGTACACAATGTCAGACCTGTCGTGAGATTTGGTCGTAGCGCACGCTCACGTGCAGATTGATAAATGCCGATCATCACGTCAAAATTTTCGTACGCAAGGTGTAACCTACACAAGTTTTCTGCAATACGCAAGCTTGATAAATGAGGGCCATTGAGTACAGTGCATTTCAGAGCAGATGAACTGAGGACGACAACTTCTAAAGTTGCATATACAGAAAATATCAAATAAATATCAAATTACACAAAAATAAGCTATTTTTCAAAATAAAAAGACATGACAAACATCAGATGCACATTAAATATTAACTTTTTTGACCAGCTGTTTCCGACCCATCCAGAACATGTCTGCGACCCACTTTTGGGTCGGGACCCACCAGTTGAGAACCACTGTTTTGGTCAAACCCATTTCACAAATCAAACATGGTTATCTTATTATCACATTATTGTTACCTTACAGACTCAAGAAAACATCCATTCAGACGTGGAAGATGATCTGAACAGACTGCTCACACACAAGTTAGACACACACACGCGCTAAGCTGGACACACGCTACACACGCGCGCTACACACACGCACGCGCACACACGCTAGTCTGGACAGTGTAAAATAGAAAGTGTCGTTATATCAGTGTCTTAACTTACCTCGACTTCAGCATCGAAGAGCTTCAGATGTCTGTTTTGATTCCTGCTGTTTTTCCCGGGTTTTTTACGGTCGCATTTCACTCTTTTTCTTCTCCACGACACATTCCGTTTGGTTTTTCCACTTGTTTGTAGCTCAAGTGTGTCCAGATATTATTTCTTATTTTTGTCCCCGACAACCTCGCCATGACTCCAACTCTCCCAAAACCGTCTTTGCCCACCGCATCCAAAAATACCGCGAATTAGGGGATTGAGGAAGTGACGTCACCTGCGTCTGAGCAGGGCGACGTCACATCAATAATGTTGCATTATATATTAATTAATCCTTATCGTCACAAGACCACCATTTACGTTTCGTCTCGTTTTCGTCACGTTATAAAGATTCGTTGATGACGATATTTCGTCATAATTTTCGTTGATGAAAGCAGCACTACATTTATGTTACAATGTCCATACAGTAAACCGACGTCCTCGTCTTCAGATTCACTCGTCCTGTTTGAAAAGAAAAATAGTTCAATGACGAAAGACTGAAGTAATTAAAAATAAAAAAATGAAACATTAAATTTAATAAATAAATTTTTAAAAAATTAAAACCTGATGAAACTCGTAACAGAACTGAAATCCAAAAGTCAAAATCAGAGGAAGATCAGTTATTAATGTTTGATGAGTTCAGACCGTTCAACAACAGTCTGCAGATATGATGGAGAGTCTACAGACACGGATGATGTTTCTGCTCAGCTGGTCTTCATGGAGGTTCATGATCACTGGAAACACATCAGCTCCCTCAGGCTTTGACATTTCTGTTTTTTAACATACTGGGTTATTTTCTGTGTTTGAAGCTTCTCGATCTCTCAGCTCTACATCAACACTGACTAAATTAAATGGACTCATACTTGACTGTCAAGATCTGTTCATGAATCTAGTCTTCCCTGTTTTTGGTTATCTGAGTTTATTTTTGATGTGAGTGTCTTTTGTTGGATTTTTGTTGGACATTTTTGGAAGAAAATTTTATTTTTAAATTAATAATTTTTTATTTTAATGTTGACAAAATAAAATAGGAAGCACAGGGAATCACCTATTACAAAATAAAATAGGAAACACAAGAAATCAACTACTACAAAATAAAACAGGAAATGCAAGGAATCAACTACTACAAAATAAAACAGGAAACACAAGAAATCAACGACTACAAAATAAAACAGGAAATACAAAGAATCAACTATTACAAAATAAAACAGGAAACACAATGAATAAACTATTACAAAATAAAACAGGAAACACAAGAAATCAATGACTACAAAATGAAACAGGAAACACAAGGAATCAACTACTACAAAATAAAACAGGAAATACACAAGGAATGATCTCCTCTAAAGTAAAACAGAAAACACAAAGAATCAATTCCTAAAAAAAAAAACACAAGGAATCATCTCCTCCAAAATAAAACAGCAAGCACAAAGAATCAACTCCTACAAAATAAAACACAAGGAATCAATGACTACAAAATAAAACAGGAAATACAAGGAATCAACTCCTACAAAACAAGACAGGACACAAAAAATCAATGACTACAAAATAAAACACAAGGAATTAGCTACTACAAAATAAAACAGGAAACACTGAAAACTGATATCAAGAATAAAACACAGAGAACATGAGGGAGACAGGGTTAGACACAAACAGAAAACTCACAAGACTGGACCACAGGGGAACTGGACTACAGGGGAACAGGACTACAGGGGAACATGAACACCAGGAAGAAACACACTGAAAATGAACTCAGATAACCAAAACTTGGGGGAAACTAAATACCAGAACATGTTATGACACTTGACAGTGAGTTAGTTTGTGTGTTTTACTCCAAAGAGAAAGATCATCTCCACAGAGTGCTCAGAGACTGTAGTCCAATGTTTCCATAACAAGAACTTGATAAGAAGCAGTTCAAGTTCAGTGTTACAGCTCCTTATCAAAGGTCAGAGGTCACCACTCCACAGTTTCTCTTCTGTACCTCTGAATAAGCATTTTAACTGATTATGCAACAAATGCTTTTTAACTTTAGCAAGCAGTGACAGGAAGTTCAGAGAGAGTTTGAAATCATCCAACGGGCTGGTTCAGAGTAAGCGCTAACGTTTGTAGAAAACCATGATAGAGTGAATCGGTTAGGAGCCTCCCGGAAAAGACAAGAAACTCTTATAAAAAATAAGACAAGAAACTCTAATTAAAAGTAAGACGTTGACATTTGCAGAGCACTTCATCCTCTGCAAATTCAGATTCACCGAGGAGACTTTCTAAAGACCTGAGAGTATGGAGACACTGAAATTACAGTAAATTACTGTGTAAGTGATATATGATGGTATCAATGTTCAGGTCTACTTGTACTGAATAAAGAGTGGGTGACGGGACCTGAAAGTCTCTGTTTAATCTCAGCATGTTGGTTTCCCCTCTGCAGTGATTTTTCAGAGATCTTTATGGAACCAGTTGCCTTTGTCCCTCCACACACACGTATAGCATGGACTTTGGAGCTGAGACGGTACAGTATGTAATCACCACCTACCTTACATTCACAGCAGCCTTGGTATAAAAGGCCAGCAAGGAGCTGAAGGCCTTAGTCTCATCTGAGTGCTCTCCAAAGGACCAGGATGGGGGACTCAAAGCTCTCTCTCTCCTTGCTTCTAACTGCTCTAACTCTGACCTGTGAGTATTGTGTCGTTAATACTAACTACCTCTGAATTCATCTTTCAACACGTGTTGCTTTTGATTGACGAAGACTTAGATTTTAAAGTGTTGGTCTGCTCTGACTGCCGTTACAGATGCCCAGGTGGAGCAGTCAACATGCTTGAGTAAGTTCCAGCACTTCCTAGTTTGGTAATATAACCTAAATGACAACCTTAATATCTGTGCAGCTCTTTAGAAGGATGTACATAACAGTTAAATGACATATGCAAGAATGTAAGGGTTGAATTTTCACTGAGGTTATATTTTAATTATACAGAAGAATTCCCCACAGATTCTTCATCAAGTTACACTCACAGAACCTAAAGTAGAAACACTATCTTCTCTGCCAGTGAACCCAAGATACAAGGCCTACCACAAGTATGAGTACCTGTATGAAGCTGAGTCTCTGAACGCCATCAATGGAGCCTCAAACCTTCAGAATGGACCCAAGGCAACTTGCAAGGTACCCGGTCAGATAAATCCTGAAAAAAAAGGAGGTACTATTGTTCCTTTTGACCACATGTTGAGAGTTAAACGCTTCCTCATCTGAAAAAACAGGTCGAAATTGAAGTTCCTCAGAGTTGCAGTTACATAGTGCGCACCACTGGCTGTAGCCTGAGTGAGGTGGTCAACATGGACGCAGAGGGCAACGCTGTGTTCGGTCCCGCTGCTGGCTCTGATGCCTTTGCTGCTGAAATGGAGAAGTATGTTCCTTCAGTGTGTTTTCAATAAGTGCTCAAATCCAGGGGCTGAAAACCGCCTTTGTTTCAGGATGAAATGATCACTTCTCCAATCTCCTGCAGATATCCTCTGAAGGTTGTGGTGGAGGGTGCATACGATGTGAAACTGTACCCTGAGGACGGTGAGACAACAAACATCCTGAACATTAAGAGAGGTATCATCTCCGCCCTGGCTGTGCCTCTGGTGGAAGAGGAGAAGAACAAGATCATGGTACATTCATTTACACAGAAAGGGATACTACCTAGTCCTATTTTTAGACCTTTTGTGGGCTCACCCCCAACCTTAACCATGATTTGTGCTTTAAACACAAGTGTCTAATTATCACTTACAGCCCACTATCCATGGCAAGTGCAAGACTTTTTACACCGTCAATGCCAGAGAAGACATCGCAACTGACATCAGCCTCTCCAGGGATCTGTCCGGATGTGCAAACTTTGTCCCAATCCGAACCCACACCAACCCCTTGGCACTTCTCCCCAGCATGGTAAGACCTCCAGACCTTAGTATCCACGGTGCTGACCTTTACAGGCAACAGCACTCAGGTTTATGGCAAATACAGTCCTTAACAGGTAACAGGTCTGAAGTGCAGGAAAGAGGTCTACGGTTGTGAAAGAGATGTTTTTGTTTGTTTTTATGTAAAGGGGTACAGATGAGGTCGGTATGAGTGTAGTAGCATCAGTATCAAAGGACTAAAGGGGATATCTCCTCCAGAAACTCAAACTCGGTGACATGAAGTCGGATTAAAATCCCTTTTCAGTGCTCTAAACTTAATGTGACTGACAAAGGATATCTTAAAAGTGCAGTGCTCTATTTTTAAATCTTGTTTCCAGTGAACCCACCATAATGTTGTGTTTTTCATCTGCAGCACTACCCTGTTTCTAAGCTGATCAAGAGCACACAGAGTTGCAATTACCAATTTGACAATGAGCAACAGCACATGACCTCTGGCTCCTGCACTGAGAAACACATCCTCATCCCCTTCTCACACAAGTAAGTCTTACCTTTACAGAACTGACGAACTGTCCCTTTAAATCTGCACGTCTCTTAATATGTTGTCCTCTTACAGGGGAGAATACGGAGTTACCAACGTTGGAAAGCAAAAGCTGACCCTGGGGGCAGTTACTCCTCACAACGAGAGAGTCTTTGAAACAAGTATGTCCTTTAATTCAGCAGCGTTGGTTTGGTTGATGGAGGATTTGTCCCAGGAAGCAACGCTGACTCCTTTTGTCCATGCTGTATCGTAGGTAACATTGTCAAGGGTCTTCACATGGAGACTGTGGAGGACAAGAGTGTCATCCAGGATAAAGATGCAGGTCTGAGCCTCCTGGGAGAACTGGCCGCTCTGCCTTTGAACGAGGGTGACAGGAGAGCTGACCTCTTCCACAAGCTTGTCGCCATGGTCCGTGGAATGAAGGCCGAGACCTTGAGTCCCGCCATTCCCGAAGCTCTTGCTGTGTCCAAAGTCCTGACCTACCAGGTCCTAGCCCAGTGTGGAACCCCTGAGTGCAGCAGTGCCATCATGCAGATCTTCAGGACCCTTGATACCTCCTCACTTGAAGTTGATGCTGGAGTTTTTGCTTTGGGACTTGTGTCCAATCCTTCTCCCCTGCTGATCAACGACATGCTGGAGATGGCCCAGTACAAGCCCAGCAAACCCATCTTGTATGCCCTGAGCAATGTGGTCAAGAGGTGAGTGACTTTCAGAACTCTGGTCCAGGTTTAGAGTCATATTTCAACATGTCTCCTCCTTTCTTCTACATCCTCCTCCAAAGGCCTGAATTGTAAATCAGTATTTTCTCTGTCACAGATACTACAAAGCTGAAGGGAAACTGATCCCTGAGATCCATGCTGTTGCTAGGTTTATGGCTGGACAGTTGGGTGACTGCTCTGGTGACGCAGAAACCACTTTCATGACTTTGAGGGTAGGTACCTTTTCCAACAATCCAACATTGAACGTATGAGGAGCACACGTATCAAACTTACATGAACATAAAGAAACAGTAGAAATGCAAAACTGTCTCTCAACTTTCAAAGCCGTTTTCTGGTTTAGGAACGATTCATTATATTTAGAGATGGGGCAGATAAATCAAAGATTCAGTACCTTGGACACTGTTAGGGCCCCTCAAGACAAACAAGCTTTGGCTCCACTTTACCAGAACCGAACAACTGAAATCCACATATTTAGTTGTTGTTCAGCCTCATGTAGAGGTGGATTGAGGCATGTTTGAAAGTAAGAGACAGAAAGTTTGCTGCTCCAGATCTCCAATAAGTTACACCACTAGGCAGAAGAAGCATATTTCAGCGTCTGGATTTTGGTTCTTCTTATTGAACAATCATCTTTTTTAATACCAGGTCATTGGAAACATGGCTGCAGCTCTTGGACCTGCCAGTCCCGCACTCAGAGCCGCTGTGATCCAGTGTGTGAACCACCCTGAAGCTACCCTGCCTGTGCAGCAGGCTGCCATTCAAGCATACAGGCTCACCCCTGTCCCTGAAGAGGCAAGTGCAATTCCTACAACTGCTGAACCCATTACAGGACTGATGATCCAGACTGTGTCCTCATGTTGTTGATCTCTGTTGGTTACAGGGCAGAGAGGTTCTCATGCAGGTGCTTCTCGACAGTGAAAGCCCAATGCAAAAGCGTGTTGCTGCATACCTGGTTCTCATGAAGGACCCCCAGCCCTCTGAGCTGGCCCAGCTGGCAGCTGCCCTCCCCAATGAGCCAAACGACCAAGCCAAGAGCTTTGTGATCTCCCATGTGACCAACATCTTGTCCTCAACTGAGCCAGAGACCCAAGAGTACATGATAATCACTTACATTTGACTTTTTTAGTCAATCGTGTGCTTTGGTGGTCTTCAAAGTCTGTAGGTCAGTGGTTTAACTCTTAGATGTTTTCTTTTTTTAAACAGACTGAGACAGAAGATTCTGGATGCCCTGCAAGGTAATGAGGTTGGGCCCATCATGGACCCCACTAAATTTTCAAGCCACTTCAAGATTGGATCTGTGGAGGGCAACGTGGTCTTTGAGGGTACCAGCTACCTGCCAAAGGAGGTCATGCTTGACATGACTCTGAAGGCTTTTGGCTTTGATATCGACATGGTGGAGGTAAAAAAACGAGCTCTATAAATTCAAGCTGTGCTTTGAGGTCGTATTGATGTGAGCTCAGTAGTGAGTGAGAAAACTGTCCCTTTTTTCAGATTGGTATGGAGGGAAAAGGATTTGAGCCAACTGTTGAAGCCCTGTTTGGAGAGAACGGTTTCTTCCCCGACACAGTCCTGAAGGCCATGTACTTTGTCTCTGACAACATGCCACTGGGAGTCAGTGAGGTCCTGCAGAGCGTCATGCCCGCATTGAAAAGGGACAGGATGAAGAGACAGGTATGCAGAGCAGTCTGTTTGGTGCACATAACGTACGCTCACATCTCATCAAACAATGACCCTGTTACTGTAAAGGAAATCTTAAAGAACAAAAGTATACCTGTACTTTTAGGCAACCCAAAACCTGCTGAGAGACATCGGACGTAACCTCAACAAACTTGTGAGGGACCTGAAAACAACACCGTCTCCTGAGGCAATGGTTTATCTGAGACTTTTGGGTAATGAGCTGGGGTACCTGAAGACCAATGAAATGGAAGAGATGGTCTACTCAGCTGCCATGATGATTGACAGCTTGATGAAGATGTTCCCAGCCGATGTGAGGAGACTTTTTATATTGCGTTTGAAATAGAGACACTGATGATGAAACAGTCCTTTTATTTCCAGGATTAAAAAAAATAAAAAACACTTTTAACACTTTATTTACAACAGCTGCTGAAGGCGCTGATTTCCACCGCTGACAACGCAGTCTTTGCCCACTACATCTTCATGGACAATGAATTCTTCCTGCCCACTGCCACTGGTGTGCCTCTGAGGATTGCCCTGTCTGGTACTTTCACTCCTGGTGTCCAGGGTGGACTGAAGGTTGCTGCTGACCTGGTGAGTATGAAACGATCAATGCTGATTGTTTAAACTCAGATTGATCTTCAGGGTATTGAGGATATGTGTCAACTGTGTTTCTGTAGAGCGAGATTGTCTTCAAGCCTTCTGCTGCTGTCGAGTTCGACACTCGGATCGGTGCATTCCTCCCTGAATATGTCGACTCTGTATTAGAGATGCACACCAGCCTCTTCCATGAGAGTGGCATCGCTGCCAAAGTGTCCTTTGAAGGAAGCACAGCCAAGCTGACCATCCCTGCTCCAATGCATCCAGTGAAGGTCTTGAAAATAACGTAAGTTACAAGAACAAGTGAATAATAGTGAGCAAAGAAACATAAGGCAGCTGCACTGTGATAAGATAAGTAGCCTTAAGGCATTTTGAACAGGGGAAATCAAATGATAGCTGCAGGTTTTATGTGCTTTTATCAGTGCAGTTATGGCTTTATGGAGTGATAGGGGATACTGTTGTTTGTCTTTTGGAACAACAACTACTGAGCTACACTTGAAATCAGCTCATGTTATGTTTACACTTTTCTACATTTGAAATACAGAAACTATCTGGTAGCAGTGAGTGGATCAACTGTGTGGACCATCCCTCCTGTGGTGACTGACAAGGTTGATGTTAGTGAGTGCACACCTTTCTTTGCTGGAATAAAATACTGCAGTGCTCTGCAGTACACTGATGCTTCCTCCTCAGAGACAGCACCCTACTTCCCCTTCACTGGAGACAGCAAGTGAGTGAAATTGTCTGATCTGTAACAAAGACATGTTGTTTTATAATATGTTGTGCACTGATAAGTTGCTAATCTCTGAATCTCACTAAACAGATTTGCTGTGGAGCTCCATCCCACAGGTGAGGTCAGTGAGTACTCGGCTACTTTAGCGTATGAGCTGCTAAGAGAAGGAGAAGAAGGTCGGCAGAAGGTCGACTCTGTGAAGTTTGTTCTGAGGGCTGAAGGTAATGTGCAATTTAAAAATTATGATGAATACTCTATGGTTGTTGAAGATTCCAGTTTAGATGAATAATCTTACACTTTTGGGTTCAGGTGCAGAGCCCACTGAAGCCAGAGCGATTGTAAAATATAACAGAAGGAAGAATGTCCTCACAGCCGACCTCCAGATCCCAGACTACGACCTGGAGGCTGGGCTCAGGCTGGGTGTTGTTGATGGAAACACCAAGGGCAAAGGAACTCACTCCATCTCTCTTGACTTAATCCACAAGAACATCCCTCAGCTCTCCCTGGTCGGCCGTGCCAGGTAAGAAATCATCTCTAAAGGACTGTGACACAACTTTAACTTCACATTTATGATGGAGATGACTAAATAACCAATACATTTTCAGTCTGAAGGCTATGCAAGAAGGAATGCTGCAAGTCCAAGTCCTAGTCCCCTCCTTCAGTGCTGATGCCGCTCTGACAGCTAACCTGAAGCTTGAGGAAGACCTTCAGTTAGAGCTGGAAAGTAACATCAACCTTCAGGAAACCACTTCACGGCAGATAATTGCAATGAAATATGGTATGACATTATTCATTATTTCAGCATGATATCTTAGATGCTGGTAGAGTTTATACTGTAGTTGAGTTTATTTTGTATATATAGAGTTTATAGTGTAGTTGATGATCGGTTGGTCTGGATTCTGGCTTCTGAGGATTATCCGAGAAATCATGTCAAACATTTATTTACTCTTGTTTCTTTACAGGTACCGGCTCTATTGAGGTTGAGCTAAAGTCGGATGTAAAGTCTGATATCTTGAACAACCTTCCTTTCACTGACAACATTAAACAGTTTGGCAATGATGTTCTTGAGTTACCAGTGGGGAAAACTGACAAAACAGTCAGTCAACTCATCAAGACATTTGTGGAGGTAAGAATCCTGGATATACGTCTGTATTTTTCACAATCAGATTATCTTAGGCTGTATCTTGATGGGAGTAAAAATTGTTTTTCTAGGCAGCAAACGACCATCTGGAAGTGTATGGTGCTGATATCCCTTTCATTCAGAACCTCAGAGTGCCTGAAATCTCTGAGATTTCCCTACCAGAGACTCTGTTCCTAAATACGTAAGCCTGACATTACTGTGATCAATACATCACTTGGCATATCATTCAATTGTTCAATTTCTATTGACTTTAATGTTCTCCCTTCACAAAAGTGAGGCCAAGGCTGTCTACTACTTCAACGATGAGCACTTCACCATCTCCGTTCCTCTCCCTCTTGGAGGAAAGTCAACAGAGGAGCTGAACTTCCCCCCAGCTTTGACCACACCTCACATCTCCCTTTTAGGACTGAGCATCATGTCCACAGAGATCCCCATCCCAGAACTCTTTGTCCCTGAGAGTCTAACATGCAATATTCCTCTTTTTGGCAAAGCTGAAATTTCTGCTATGATGAAGAGCAACCTTTACAACATGGACGCCTTGATAGCTGTTGGCAAAGATGTGGTGGAGACCCCAAGCTTCTCAGCTAAGTTTGATGTGACAGGAAGCTCTCCCATTGACATCCTCTCAATAAAGATGGAAGGTATGTCGTAGTCCACAACTTTGGGGGGGCTTAGCACTCATTTTATTACATTTGCTGGATCCAGCACATCAACAAAGTGTTCATTGACAGAAAATGACAAAAATATATAATAATATTAGTAGTAATATTAAAGTACATTACATAAAAGGGACTAACATTCGTAATCAGTGTCACTTTCTGTTTCTCATAAATAACCAAGGAATGAACTTGCCACATTTGTCCAAGAGTCATTTCAGTATCTTTGTACCAGTGATCTTTTATTTTTTCATGTTTTGTCAAGGCTCTGGGATGTTGGCCATCACTGACGCCATCAAGGCCAACCTGAAAAGCTCTTTGGTCCATCAACTTATTGAGGCCAATGTTAATATTGTTGAGGAAGTCACCATCGCAGACAAAATTAGTGTAAAATCCAGCAGCAAGATTGAAGCTAACAGCCCCTTGGGTGTTAATATTGCACTAGAGCACACTGGTGTGGCAGGAGTCAGCACTGAAGAAATCTCTGCTGAAAGCAACCTTGAAGGAACGTGGGAAGCTGGACCACTGCGCGGAAAGGCCACAGCAACCCAGGCAGTAATCATCGCCCCATTCAAGCCAGAAGCAAAGATTGATTCTAATGTTCTGATTGACTCCAGGCTTATCAAGGCCCAGAATACCATTGCAGCAACCTTCAGTAACAGTGAGCTGTCACTGACCTCCGATACAAACGCCCTGGCTCTTGGTCTGAAGATCAACAACAAGGCCGAGGCCTCTGCTGGAGCAGGTGAAGTTGTCCTGAGAATTGAAACAAACACTGACCAGAGTGAAAACCGTGTTTACTCTCTGCTGACTGCTTCACTGGATGTCAATGGTCTGGCAGTAAACAGTGATGCCACCGTGAAGCTCCTTGAGAATGAGGCTATTCACAAGGCTGCTCTGAAAATGAGCAAAGATGGTTGGATCGCAAGTGGAACCACCACCCTCCAGAGCCCTCTCGCCCTGGAAAACACCTTCAGTGCTGAGCTTGCTGCTTCAAAGGCTTCTTTGACCATTAACAACAAGGCTGCCATCCAGGACATTAAGGTCGACAATGCCAACAATCTGATCATCACCCTGTCTAGCCTTGACTTCAACTCAAAGGCTGAAGCTGTCGTCAGTGAGTATGCCTCATACACACATGACATCACCATCGACCTCAAACCAGACACAGCTACTGCAAATGTAAACAACAACCTGAAACTTCTTGGGGCCGATGTCATTAATGAGGCGCACCTCAAAGCTGAGCTCTACAAGATTGATCTTACTGGAAACCTGAAAGCCATCTATGGTGAGGAGGAGGTCAAACACGCCTATGAGGTGAATTATGCTGATTTGGCAGCAAGCGCTAAGTGCAGCACGACTGGAAAGCTCTTAGGAACTCACATGAGCCAAAATACTGAGCTTGAAGTTATCGGTCTTGCAGCCAGGATCGCCAACGACGCCCGCTTCAACTCACAGCCAGTACGCTTTGACCAAACCATCCGCTGCAGCGTTGCACCTTTTGATCTCAATCTTGACGCCATCTTCAATGCTGATGGAGAAATTACCATGTATGGAAAGCACAGCGCCCAGCTCTATGGCAAGGTCCTCCTTAAAGCACAACCCTTGGCAATTGCAAGCTCACACGAGTGCCGAGCATCAGTGACCCAGCAGTTAGATAGTGGTCTTTCCATTGAGACAACATTGGACAACAAGATGGACAATGTTCTGTCACTTCAAGAGCAGAAGAGCAATTTAAGAATTAAGGCCAAAGTGAATGAGCATACCCTCAGCCAGGACTTAAGCATTTACAACACTGCTGAAAGAATTGGACTGGAGGCTTCTGCCACCATCCTCACAAACATCCTCAATGGCAACTCCGAAGAAAACCAGGAAGTCACCCTTTCAGGCTTCCTGAAGTATGACAAGAACACAGACAGCCACGCACTCCAAATCCCATTAGTTGAAAACTTGCCTGCCTTGCTTGAAAGCATCAAGGGCTTAGTCGTGTTGGTGGGAGAGACTCTGCAAGGTGTCATCAGCAATGAGGAGGTAAAAGCTGCAATTGAAGCTCTTCCACAGTATGCTGTTGACTTTGTTTCTCAGCTGAATCTAGAGGAGAAAATTAATCAAGTGAAGCAGTATTTGAGTGATTTAACTCAAGAGTACGCTATCTCCATGGAAGATGTTGAGGCCGTTTTAACAAGCTTGAAGGCAATTGTTGAAAAGCTCCTTTTCAAACTTCGTGTTCACATCCAAAGAGTTGTCGATATGATGAAGAATATTATAGTCACTATCCCTCAAACCTTCGTTGAGAAGACTCAGGAGCTGCTGGATGTCATTACCGAGGAATTTGACATCAGGGCGATGGTTATATACGTGATCGATACTGTCAGAGATATGATTGAGCGGTTCGACCTGGAAAAACTTGAGGGCAGCAGCATTGAATTCCTGAATGACATTGACACCACATATAAAATCAGGGCTAAACTGCAGATAATCATGAGTTTAATCAAAGACACAGTGGAGGTTTTTGACATGCAAGCGTTTGTTGGCAAGCTGACAAATTTCATTTCCTCTTTTAACTTTGAAGCTCGCATCGATGAACTTGTGAGTCTGATTCCCACAGAGATTTTTAGCAGTGTTGCAGATACTATCAAAGACTTTGTCAATGACTTTGATGTCCTAAATGAGATCAGTAATTTTTATGCTTACATAAGAGAACTGATAGTAAAGTTTGATGTCGAGGAAAAGTTTCAGGTCATCTTTGAAAAGGTTGTGAAGCTTATCAAACAGCTAAAACTCGATGAAACCGTCCAGGCTTTAGCAAAGATGTTGAATGATGCAGACATTTCAAGCAAATTGATTTACGTCTTCCAAGGAGCAATTGACTACTTAAAAGTGACTGAGGTTAAGGACATAATTGCAGAGTTGAATGGATATATTCACACTATTGAGCAGAGACTGGATTCAGTTGATTACAATGAATTTGTGGCCTACATAAATCCAGTGATCATTGAATTCACTGCTGTTGTGAATGACCTGATTGAGTCTCTTGAACTCCAACAGAAACTTGAGGCATTAAGGGACTTAGCCAACCTAGGCTTGTCTTTTATTCGGGGTACTTTGGCCCAACTGAGAGAAATAAGAATCACAGAAATTGTGCAAAATGTTAAAGATACCTTTAACCAAGTTGTCTTGGATAATCTGATGAAATTTGCAGAAAATATAAAGCGAGAAATTGGAAACCCAGATATAAAGATTAAAATTTCTTCCTATCTGCAGCTGGCTTCAGAGTATTACACCGAGTTCATAACTTTTGCATCAGATATATTTTCTAGTGTAGCTACGGTCGTTAAGAAGCCGAAAATTGTCCAAGAGGTGTTGCAGATCATTGAAGGGCTTATTGCTGGTCTACAGAAAGCTGAAATGAGCACCCCCACCTTCACTATTCCCCTCACTGACCTTATCGTGCCATCTATCAAATTCAGCATTGATATGCTTGACCAGTTTGAAGTCCCACAAGAGCTGCATGTCCCGGAGTTTACCATCTTGGGTTTCCACACTGTGAAAGCCACCACCATCACCATGGAAGACATTCAACAGGGATTCATTGACTTGGTTACCTATCTTTTCAACCTCCAGATGAAGCTCTTTGATTCAGTTGCTAGATTTGAAAGTCTGACCATGAGCTATATTCCCACTTTGCCAGAGTTTTCACTTCCAGGAATGACTATACCCCAGTTCTCCTTCCCCACTCTTCCTCAAGTTCAAGCAGAAAAACTAGTGACGACTCTTCAACTTCCACCATTCAAGCTGCCAAAAATTCCCACTGAGGTCACGATTCCAGCTCTTGGAAAAGTGAGTTATGAGATGAAAGTCATCACCCCCATCTACACTTTGATGAATGTTGCTGAAATCCAGAACTCTCTTGACTTGGACAGGACTCCTCAGCTGACAGCTTTTCTGACCTCCCAAAGTACATCGACCAGCTTTGAAGTCCTCAACTTTAACCTGGACTCTACTGCACGGATTGCCATTCCCACAGGGGGTTTGATTGCTGCAGAGACCTTTAAGTTCACTCACAGTCTAGTGATGGTGGACCACGATGTGTCACTGACATTTTCTGACTTCTCTGCCCAGGTCTCAGCTAAGACCACAGTTAAGTCCACCACAGAACCTTACAATGCTGAGTTTTTAAATGAAGCTTTTTTGGCTACCAATGGGGGTATCTCTGCCACCATGGACACTTCTTATAAACATGTGCTTGACCTACCTGTCGTGGGCCTTACAGGTGAGACTTCTGTAACACAGAAGGCTGTTGCTCGCCAAGAAGGTGCCTCTATCATGATTACTATAGGTAATCAGGGTACTGCTACTCTTAACTCGCTAGAAAATTCTCTCAAGAGTGACCTCCAAGTCTCAGTCAACCCTAGTCTGCATGACATGAAGCTTGAGCTGAAGGCAACCCAAAGCACAGATTTAACCGGTGTGGTCAATGGAGCCCTGAACAACGTGGTTGACATCACTCTTCGTCCCAGGGAGGTTTTGGTTAGCCTGCAGAATAAGGGAAACTCGAAGGTGGTTTTGCATGATGCCCTGACTGTCAAAATTGACCTGCAGAATGATTACTCTGCAGCCTTTAGGCCGGACACACAGCATGTGAACACTGTGGTTGTGGCTCGTCTAAATCAGTGCAAAGCATTCTGGAACTTCACTGTAGAGAACACAGAGAGTGAGGTCACCATCCTTGCTTTTGTCGAAGGAGAAGCAAACCTTGATTTCCTAACCAAGCCCATCACAATTCCCGAGATCACCATTCCTTTGGTTGATCTGCAAACCCCAGCTATAAGAGATCTGAACTTGTATGATCAAATTGGACTGAGATACATTTTGACTCCCACTGAGCAGACTGTGAATATGGGCGCCAAAATAATGTATCAGAAACGCCAAGATCCCGCCCATGTTGGGATGACCCAGCTTCCCCCTTTGGGTAACCTGATCACAGATGTAACTTTCAAGTCTGCCATCATTAACCTGAATGTCAATGCTGGGCTGTCCACTGAGGATGATATTGTTTTACGTCTGGGAGCCACCACAGCCTCTGTGTATGAAAGTCTAGAAGCTAAACTTGATGGTACTACAAGTCTCACAACTACAAGAGGAATCAAGCTGGCCAATTCCTTGTCCCTGGAAAATCCTCACATTCAAGGAACTCATGACAGCACCATCAGTTTGGGCACTGAGATGCTTGAACCTGTAGTCTCTGTGGCCACAGTTGCAAAGATTGCCCTGCCCATCCTCAACCTGGAAGCAAACCAAAATCTGGTGGCCAACACCAAAACAAAACCAAATGCTGCATCCACCTGGACTGTGAAGGGTGACTTCAACATTCCTGTGATTAGGGCTGTTGGGAAGGCAGAGGCAGACCACAAGCTGAAGCTGGAGGGAACCTTTGACTTTGTTTCCGTGGAGTCATCCACAGCGGCAAGGCTGGATGGTACAGTGCTGGAAGACTATCTTCTTCTGGGAGTGGTTGATAATGAGGCCAATGTGTATCTCAACTCTGATGGTCTGCGATCCAACATTAAACTTATTGCTGATACCAAGCTTGAACAAGGAACTACCAAAGTCATCGGCCTGGAGGTAAATGAAAATCTTGAGGTTGAAGCCTCCCTGAGTCGTGTGTATGCAGTGCTGAAGTTGGCGAGCACCAACGAAGCAAACTTGTTTGATTTTAGCACCAATGGAAAGCACACTGCCCAAGCAACAGTAGATCTTGTGCCAGCCGCTTCACTGACTGCTGATATTGAGATCGACCTGTCTCAGCCAACCAGCCTTGGTGACTTCACCATCTTTGAGAAAATAGTTGCTGAAGTGACAGCTGCCACTCAGAAGATATCTACAAACACCAAGTTCATCAGTCCAGTGTACACCACCAACCTCTCTGTAGAGTTTGATGGCAATGCTCCAGTATTCAGGGTCGACTTTAGGTCATCTGCCACCTCTGCCATTATCTTTTTGGAATATGACTTGGACAGTAAGTTTCCTTCTTAGTGCATACTACAGATTTTTATGTTAAATGTAAATATACATGTATATATATTTATATATTTTAACCAAAGTGCATGTCCTCAAACAGCTTCTGTTACCCTCAATCTTGAGGAGGATGCTGGAGTAAGACTGACTGGCAAAGGGCTTTTCACACACACTGATCTGACCATGGATTTTCAACACATCCTTTCCCACACACTGAGGTAAGTTTAGATATGCTCCGATCTTTCTGTGGTACGTTTGGTTTTCATAACTAAACTTGCTCCTCCACCAGAACACCTACTTTTTCAGGAAGAGGACAGACTTTGTTTTGTGTAATTATTCCATGTAAAATCATTTCCTGGCAAAAGTGACTGATGTCTTCCTTCTTCTACAGTGACTCCCGTCTCACCTTTAGTGTGGACATAACAAGCCCCGCCTTCACTGACATAAATGTGCGTCACGCTTTCCGCAAAGATGGAATTAGTTGCTCTATTTCGATCCCATCTACTGGCTTCCTCGGCCTTCAGCTCCATGGCAGGATCCCAACTCAGATGAATATCAGGCTTTATAGCCGTTATGCTGTGAGTGATTCACTGCAGTTTCTACATTTGCACATTGATAGTCATGTTAAGTTTTGTGTCTCATTTTATATTTTTTTCTGTTTGACAGTCTGATCCAGGAAAGGACGTTGAAATCATCAATGTTCGAGCTTCTGTCAAGGACACGTATAAAATGAATCTTAAGATGGTGATCAACATGGAGGTTCCTGACATTGTGCTCAGCGGACTTCAGGAAAGGCTTCCTGCTATGACCTCTAGCATGTCTAGCTTTAATGAGAAATACCATCTGTCCAGACATGCTGCTCAGCTGAACAACCATATCATCTACTACATTGAGGAGGCCCACAACATTGCATATGACCACGCCCCTGATCTGAGTCACGTGTCCATTCTCTTTAGGAACACTGTTGTTCAGTACCATGAGACTCTTCAGGTACTCCTGGACGCTACTATCAATTTCCTGAGAGAGACCCAGGTCCGGTTGCCTGGGTCCCAGGAGACGTCTCCTCTCATCGAGGTGCTCAACATGATGACCACCAGTATTACTACTTGGCTTGAGAAAACATTCAACTTCGTGGCTGTTAACACAGAATCTGCTTTCAATGTTGTCATTGACACTTTCAGTGAGATACAAGTCACAATGCCCACTGGTGAAGTGATGGCGAGCGCCAAAGTCATTGACAACATGAGGGAGAGGGTAGGGATTATGTTCGACCACATTCTGAGTCTTTTGAAAGACCCACAGAGTCTAGATCTGGTCCTGGAAAACTTGGGGGGCACGCTTAGACTTTATGTGGACAAATTTCAGGATCTTGTTGACAACACTCTGAGGTCTGATGCCCTCGATGCCCTCGCTGCCTTTATTAACGCTTTCTATAAGGAACACACGAGACTGATGAAAACAATCACCAAGTCTGTGAAGACAGCTCTGGACCCTGAGTTTATAAAGGCCACCATTGATTACATTATTGATATTTGCAGATCTACAGTCAATCAATTCAACCAAACCATTTCTGACTACCTCAACCAGGCCACAGCTCAGATCAAGTTTTACGTAAGAATGAAAGGAAACAAGCTGGAAATGAATTTCTGAGTCGATGTTCCCCGAGGAGACGCAGATTTAAATCACAACCTTTTCATTTTGAACAATTGTTAAGATCTGATAAGTTTTATGTTGTACTCTATTTAAAAATAAAATAAACTGTAATATTTATCAAGTCATTTCATGTGTTCTTTTAAGTCTGAATGTCTTTTTTTGTGCTTCAGTTTCTTTAAAAAGGACTGAGAGGAATCCTAATGTTCTCTTATGGACACTTTCTCACACACCAATGAGCTGACAACTATCATTAAGGTGCATTATCATATTAAAATATCAGTTATCAACAATAATAATCATAATAATTCTCACCATCAGATTTGTTCTCCTGAGAAATAAAAACCTTTCTGTGGAGATATCCCACCCACACACATATATCTAACTCCATCTGAAGTCCTCCAGGTCTCACTGCCAGTCTCCTCCTCTCTCCTCCTCTCTCCTCCTCTCTCCTCCTCCCTCCTCCTCTCTGGTCAAATCTTGGGTAATGACTGATATTCTTATTGACGGTCACCTCACAGAAAGATGCTTCTCTAATCTAAATGATTTGCCGTTTAGTACTGTGAGTCTAGAACGTAGTTTTGATATGATTGTGTTCTCTCTCCTGGTTCTGCAAGTAACATCAGTTTTCCTTTGTGTAGAACCTCCTCCTCCTTCTCTCCTCCTCCTCTCCTCCTTCTCTCCCGGTTCTCTTGTCTTCCCACATCCTTGACCACCTTCCCCTCACCCTTTTTTTCCTGGATTCTGTCTTTCTTTCCACATTTATCAACAGTTTCATTTCCTCTTATTCCAATATGAACAAACATTACTATCAGTCATATCAATCCATCAGTCTTTATTTGTATTTTATAAAAACCATGTAGCACAGTCCTTTACACAGCAGGAGAATAACAGAAACAGAAACTCTCTTTGTCTGTTTGTTGTTGGTTTCTCTCATGATTTGTTCTGGTATTTAGTTTTCCCTGGTTTTGTGATTTTCTGTGTATTTTCCCAAGCGTTTCTGTTCTGTTGTTGTAGTCGAGTCTTTGTCCAGTTTTCAGTTTGACCCTGTTTCCCTCCTGTTCTCAGTGTTTTATTCTTTAGATCAGTTTTCAGTGTTTCCTGTTTTATTTTGTAGGAGTTTCTTCTCTGTGTTTCTACTCTTGTTTTACTTCCTCACTTTTCCCTCCTCTCTAATTGTCCTCACCTGTGTCTGGGTTTTGGATTTTTTGTTGGAAGTAAGTTTTTGTTGTTTTTGTTCTTTTTTAAATAAATCCTTTTTGGGTCCTTTTTTTTGTTTCCCCTTGCAGGACCCTCCAGGTTTTGGCTTTATGTGGAATATAAACCTACATGCTGATATTTAAGTTAGACACACTTTAACAGAAAGCGGTCAGTGTGTAATATCTACATGAAGCCAGGTGGTGTCAGTGCAGCGTTTCACTTCTCATCCTGCTGTCAGAGTGATCATGGAAACAGGAGACTGTTATTGCAGCTCCGTGTCGTACATCTCTGTAGTCGTATCATTAAAACTACAGCTCATGTCATTAAAACTCATTTGTAAAGTAGTTTGTTCTAATCTGAACGTCTGTCCACTGGTCTGGTTTTACTTTTGAGCTGTCACAAATCAGCTGTGAATGACTGTACAAATGAAATAATGAAGGACTGTCAGACTTGAAGAAAACTGAAGTCTATTTTGGTTTTTGAGCTCCTTTAAGCCTCCTCTAAACACTCCTGATCAGTTTGTTGACTGATCTAATCTGTTCAGGGGCTCTGATAACGTCTCAGTAAAACCTCAAATGTCAACAGAAACCTGTCCTGAGTTTTTAGGTCTAAACGTACAATCTCTCTGAAGAAGACCCATAAAATCATTAAAAACACAGTCTGAACCTGCCGAGTATAGTCGAACACTCTGTTCATGGCCTTCGAGGAACACTCTGAGACCTTTGGAGACCTTTGAACCTTGACTGCAGGAACATGTTATCAAGAACCTCCTTCAGATATCAGAAGAAACAAACCACAAACAACGAGGCTAATGTTTCTGTCCTCTACACAACAGACGCACAACAGATAAAAAACATGGACCCAAGAGGACACACACACACACACACACACACACACACACACACACACTCATCACTGTGGGTGTGATCCAGGTCTGAGTTAATAATAAGGAAACACCAACACTGATGAGAGGACTCTTCACCCACAGATGAACCTGGTTTACACTCCTGTGAGTTTTCTAACCTCGACGCTGTTGAGAAGAAGAGTCAAGTTTACTAAAGTTCAAGTTCTTGTATGTGTTCATACACTCGGCCAATAAAGCTGATCCTGATTCTGATGTTATGGAAATGCTCAGACACACATCAATAAGGTCATATTTTAAAATAAAATGTTATTATTACAAACCTCATGTTTTCAGGGCCTCATTCAAACTCCTCACATAAACACAGTCATAAAGTCTGATCCACAGTCCGTTATAGAGGCGGGCTGAGGGTGAGGTGTCAACATGGATCCTCACAGGAGCTGCTATCAGTCCTGCCTTAAAGGGACATTCCAGTGTAATATAAATTTAGGGTCAAACACACCGTAACACCTAACTTCATCAACAGGACATATAGGGTCACAGACATAGTACTATATTCAGAGTTGTTCTAACTCCTAAGAAAACAAACTTAAGCGGGGGCGTTTCTCCACCTCTGTAGTCTATAAACTGGGCCAATAAACTTCTACTGTAGTAAAATGAAAAGGTAAAGGTGTTTTTATTGAGCCGAATTATCAATAAAATCATGATTTTGTTAACAGGTATGGATTTATGTGCTGTTGAGTTAATATATTTGAACAAGAGCACAGTAAAGTTAAATCAGCTAATTTTCCAATGAGGTTCTGTTACTGAACGGAACTACACCATGATCTACTGAGGTTAGTACATATAGGGTCACAGACATAGTACTAGACACCAAACATCTTTTTAACTTTGACTCATTTCTTTAGCAAAGAGACTAAACACAACTCACCTACTCTCTTCCAGCAGACGCTTGTTTGTAGAGAGACCTCAGGCCAGTCCATTACAGACTACAGCGGGGTGACGCAGCTCAAGGAAGAACATTTATGATCATTTCTTTATCATTTCCTTGAAGTAATAATCACCATATTAATCATTTTACAGACGCGGTAGTTCTTCTGTCTTAGCGTCTCGGTCTGATTGTATTTCCATGAAGAAATGATCATAAATGTTCTTCCTTGAGCTGCGTCACCCCGCTGTAGTCTGTAATGGACTGGCCTGAGGTCTCTCTACAAACAAGCGTCTGCTGGAAGAGAGTAGGTGAGTTGTGTTTAGTCTCTTTGCTAAAGAAATGAGTCAAAGTTAAAAAGATGTTTGGTGTCTAGTACTATGTCTGTGACCCTATATGTCCTGTTGATGAAGTTAGGTGCTGTTCTGAGCATTATTTGTGGCTATAGAGTGGCGTTTTGGTTGGGGGCGTGTCTCTCTGTATTTCTATCCTGCGGTCGTTACTAAAGTTGGTATAACTAGAGAAGGAAGCGGTCGACAACATTCATCTCTGGAGGGGGGGTCTAACTCGGTGTTATGGTGGGTTTGACCCTAAATTAATTTTACATCAGAATATCCCTTTAAACCTGGTCCTGTTGGGACACAGAAGAGAGGAAGAGAAAAGCCTGTCTGTGAAAGACACCGGTTCAGAGGTCTGAGGGGAGAGCAGAGCTCGAACCACATCACTGACTCTCTTCATAACTTCTCTGTGTTATTCAGTTTCAGGGGTTAGTCAGGAAGTTACATCATACACCAGGACTACACTGAAACTCCGACGCCAGCTGAGCAGTGAGAGAGGTTCGAGCCGACATTTCAGTTTTGTTTACCTGTGATTTGGACTAAAGCTCAGCAGGGACTCCAGGAAAGATCTGCAGAACCACCTTCAGTCCCTAATGACCCTGATCCACCGGATCCACCCAGAACTTCAGGCTGATACAGAGATCAGCTGTTCTTCTGAAGACAGTTAGAGAGTCTGAGCTGGGTCGGGTCACTGCTGCCCTCAGGTCACATGTGAATAGACTCTGTGGTTTAAACAGAGTTAAGTAATTCAGTCCACCACCAGGGGGCGACAGTGGACAAGAGTCTCAGGGTGACTGTGGGCCATGTTCCAGAGCTGAGTGGACCAGTGTCAGTGGAGGCTTTGTCTGTGTCCTAAATGGATCCCTAATCCTCTATAGGCGACCATGTGGGGGTCAGCGCCATTTTGAGGGCTGTCCCAAACCTCACTGATCAACTCCAGTGTCCTGTATAGGCGACTCAAAATTTCCCATAAAGCATTGCAAAATGTAGTGACCAATGATGGTCACTCACCAGTGGTGGGCATCCCATCATGCATTGCATCTTGCCATATAGTGTCTGAAACCTGTGGTGATTGAGTTTCACTACAGAGTCAGATATAGAGAGAAACCCCATATGGGGGTTAGGGGTTCATTTCAGACACAGACCTGGATCATGGAGTCCAGGTGGGCAGGAGCGGTTTTTGACGCTCCAGCTGAAAGTGCAGGGTGCAGCAGGACCAGATTTAGGTGTAAGACCAGGTCCGCTGCTGCGTTCTGGATCACCTGCAGATGTTAAACCAAGCAGACAGAGACAGAGGCCTGTATGTACGATATCACAAAAGCCTGAACCAGGATCTGTGCTGAGACAAGAACCAGGACCATGTGAGCCTGAAAGCTGTTCATCGATCATCACATCAAGATTTCAGTCCGAACAAAGACAACGTCAAACATGGACCAGGTCTCTGTGATGCTGCAGAGACCAGGTGTCAGCAGGTTTTCGTCCCATCAGCTTCATTTCTCCAGAAGTTTCCTGTGGAGTTTGAGAAGATGATCCTGAATGAGGCCGGAGTTTGATGAAGGTGTTTAAAGGGTTAAAGTGTTTGTTATTTCATTAATGAAAGGTGAGGGTTAACTAGACGACATGACACACACTCGGTTTATTACCCACTTTATACGTCTATATATGACCTTTGGTGATAAGACTATCTACCAAAACTGAAATCAAGGAAATAATCTTTTTATAGTCCAGACTTTGGTCTGACAGAATCTAGGACAGTTCTGGTCCGGACACTAACCTGGTGTGTCAGCAGCTGATCAGATCCCAGACACGTACAGGCAGGACATGGTCTTTCTTTCTGGTCCTGGACTCTCCACTCACTTATCAACCAGTCCACAGCTGGGCTCAGATGTGTGTCTCAAGGTGTGTTTTATTTTGAAAGGGCACACCTTTGGGCTGAAATATGTGTCAGCAGAAACTGAACTTGATTCATTTATATTTGAATTTTATTTGCTAAACTTGAATAATTGAATTAAAAACTGAATTTAAATCTCAGAACTTGAACTTTAAATCCAATAAAATTTGATCCTCACTGACAATCCAACTTTGTGTACATCTTCAAATTCAGTTTCAGTTTACTGTGACAGACGTCCGAGTACCTGAAGGAAGAACAGTTGAGCTCAGATACACAGGACTCCTCTTCAGCCAATCAGCACCTGTGTTTGTACATCCGCATCAAGTGAATTGAAACTGAATTTGAAGATTCTGTGATTGAAACTCAATTTTTCAAGTTTAGCAAATAAAAATTAAAATATAAATGATTCAAATTCAGTTTCTGCTGACACACATATTTCAGCACATACACACCATTCATCTGTTAGAAACGCAGCACTTTTGATTTTGTTCCATTTTTCATGAACTGAACTCAAAGATCGAAAACTTTGTCTCTGCACACAAACAAAAGTGTCTGAATCATCTGTGTTCGTGGACACTTCTCCTCTGCTGAGACCATCCATCCTCCTCACAGGTGTGACAAATCAAGAGGCCAATCAGACAGCATGATGACGGGACACAGGTGAGACTGACGAGACACAGGTGAGACTGACGAGACACAGGTGAGACTAACGAGACACAGGTGAGACTGACGAGTGATTAACGAAGGAGGGAAAACCAGGGAGGTCAAACAAGACAAGAAACACAAGGAATCAACTCCTACAAAGTAAAACACAAGGAATCAACTCCTACAAAGTAAAACACAAGGAATCAACTCCTACAAAATAAAACACAAGGAATCAACTCCTACAAAATAAAACACATGGAATCGACTCCTACAAAATAAAACATAAGGAATCAACCCCTACAAAATAAAACACAAGGAATCAACTCCTACAAAATAAAACATAAGGAATCAACTCCTACAAAATAAAACATAAGGAATCAACCCCTACAAAATAAAACACAAGGAATCAACTCCTACAAAATAAAACATAAGGAATCAACTTCTACAAAATAAAACAGGAAACACTGAAAACTGATCTAAAGAATAAAACACTGAGAACAGGAGGGAAACAGGGTCAAACTGAAAAATTACAAGACTGATCTTTTTCATCATTTATCGTCTCTCTGTATTTTAGTCTAAAAAGTCCGATCAAGTCCAGCTGAGAAAACATCGTGAATTTACGACACAGCTTTTACGGCAGACCTGAGGACCTTCTGAGTCATGATGAGTCCGGCTCCATCTGATCCTGACCTGAGGGGCCCCAGAAAATCAGACCCTGATAACAAAGAGGACCCAGCTGGACTCTGACTATAAATCACTACAGTCACTTTTAAAGGTGCTCATTGATTAAAAACAAAGTAATCACTAAGTTTTTAATATCTGTAACTTTAATTCAATCTTGTAAAATTATTATTAATAACTTTATTATAACTAATATTTATATATAATCAAATATCAACATATATTAAATATATTTATTATTATATTAAATATCAAAATATTAAATAAAGTTATTATTATATTAAAATCAAAAGATCTTAGATAAAGTTATATCAAATATTTAAATATATTAAATAAAGTTATCATATTAAATAAAAAAGATGTATAAAGTTATTATTGTATTAAATATCAAAATATACTAAATAAAGTTATATTTAATTAAAAATATATTAAATAAAGTTATATTAAATTAAAAATATATTAAATAAAATTATATAATTAAAAATATATTAAAAAATATATTAAATAAATTTATATTAAATTAAAAATATATTGAATAAAGTTATATTAAATTAAAAATATATTAAATAAAGTTATATTAAATTAAAAATATATTAAATAAAGTTATATTAAATTAAAAATATATTAAATAAAGTTATATTAAATTAAAAATATATTAAATAAAGTTATTGACGTGGTTTGGTTCCACTTCTCTTTAAAAACACGTAGACGTCCGTCTCTAAAGGTCCCTCCTTTCAGCGTCTCTTCTCATACATAAAGACCAGATTTGTCTCCAGTTAATCATGAAGCCCACATTGATCTGGATCATTGATCCTGATCATTGATCCGGTCTTTGATTTTTCTCCTTTAACTCGGAGTCACCATGTGACCTTTGACCCTCTGACTCAGGAGGAGGAAAAGTTAATCGGAGTTATTTTCAGTGATTTTAGGTTTTTATTTTTTGGATCTCATGGAGGGTTAAAGTTTTCCGGCTCTGTTTCCTGAAGTTGTCGGAGACTTTAACACGTAAACCATCCTCTGAATCCTCGGAGAAGATCAGGTAGAAGGTTTGAACGTGGACCTGTCTGCTTCTTGGAGTTATCTCAGGTGAACATTAAAAACCTCCTGAGCTGAGCTGATGTGAATAAGTGGGTTTTTAATTTCTAAAATGGTCTCTGGTCGTGTTTTTGAGGAAACAGCTGCAGTGTGAGATTTTCTTCATCATGTAATCATCATGTTCTCTCAGGGCCGACCTGACTCTTACGTAACGTCAGGCTGCCTTCCTCCTGATTAACTTATCTCGGGTTCACTTCTGTGATATACCTGATCAAACCGCCATCACAGGCTTTCTCAGTGGGGCAAAGGTGAGCCGTGAACACTCAGACAAAGGGTTTTTTTATGACTTTTAATCTCTCCTCTGATTGTTGCTGCTTTTCTTGATTCTCAGATTCGACACAAACATTAAGAGCAGCGCGTTTTTCACTGACATTTTCAGGGAGGTTTACCTTCAACAAATCCACATGGATCGGTCCTTCAGGTCCTAAAGGGTTAAACCATCCAGATGTAATCAGACTCAGATGGTCCAGGTCCAGGTGGATCAGTTTTAGTGGATCTCTGAGCTCCTTCGTATTTTCAGCGCTGACGGTCTGCAGCTGATTTCATGTGAAGTTGGAGGATTAATGTTATTAATGTAACTTTGACAGAAACGTACCCCTCTCTCAGTATCACCTACATGCTCGTACTGAAACAGAGATTTAGGTGCTTTTATATATTAGATATTAACTCATCATTAGATCGGCTTCTCTTCTTTATAACGTCGCTGTTCATCAGCGCTGAGCCGCCATGTTTGAACGTTGGCCTACTTTCCTGGTTCCCCTTCTTTATTTGGAAGAATCTGACAAACCTCAGTCTTCTGCAAACTCACACTCAGAGAGACGGAGGAAATCCATCCCTTCTCAAACTCTGGGAACGCTTTAGTTTTGTTCCTGAGACTCAACATCCTGACACTGCAGAGCTCGGACTGATAGAAAGGAGACGTCATTATTCAGGTTATTATCCTCCTGAGTGAAGTCCTGCTGTCACACAGCGATATTAAGAGAGGACAGAAACTTCAGGATGAGCCTGACACAGAGGTCAAAGGTTATAATAAGAGAACAGCTCTGATTCAACATCATTAGGGTTTATATGGCTCAGCAATCATCGGGCAAAGGTTTCCTGAAGAGACCTCCTGTATGTGTCGCACATTTAAAGAGACACTAACGTTCAAAAAAACATCCTGTGAAGACGTCAAATACGAGACGGTCCCCTGAACACAGACGGTCCCCTGAACAGAGACGGTCCCCTGAACTGAGACGGTCCCCTGAACAGAGACGTAGTATGCAGTAACGTCTTCCTCATTCACAGTATTTATGCCTCGGTTTTTGAACAAAAGTATCCAGTGATCAGAGTTGGTGAAACTTTAACTTCAGGTTGATCTGATTGTTATCGTCTCTGTCTTTAGAAAACTGTTCATCAGTTCATGTCTTTATAAGAAAAAAGGCTGAAAATCTGCTCATTTGTGTGAAAAACCACCTTAAATTACACTCTGAGGGAGAAAGAGAGAGAGGCTTTATCACACGGTGTCGTACCCCCCACCCTCCTCCTCCTCATGCTGACAGACAGTCTTAGTTTGTGAAACATTCGGACCTTTGGCCTGCCACAAGGACTGCTCAGACTTTGGAACCAGGGCAACACATTAGCAGGTAGTCAGATGGAGTAAGATTGGAGGAGTATAAAAGTGCGGGGAGCAGAGGCAGAGAATTAGTCTTCACTGAAAGAGGAGGACTCTCTCTACCTGAATCCTCCAGGAGCTTTACTAAAGCCCATCATGGGGGGTACCAAACTCTGCCTTCTGCTCCTGCTGGGCACTTACACCCTGGCCCGTAAGTAACAGCTTTTCTGTCTGTCCTCTGCTTAAAATCATAGTTTACTGTTTCAGCTGTCACTGTTTGAAACGATCACTATCTACATGAATATATCTATGATCTAAAATCAGAGATTTCATCTGTTTTAATGAAGGATCGACTCCTGAGGAATAATCATGTTCAGAAATAGAACTGCTTTGATCATGTTGGTTTTGTTTGGCTGGAGAGAGTCTCTGCTATTTCATTCTCATTTTTAATGTGTGTTTCTTTTTTTTTTTACAGAGCAAGATGTTGGAAATGTTGAAGAACAATCTCCAGTTTGTCTCTGTGAGTTTCTTTTTCTAAGACATTTATAAGATCTTTTATTTTTACTGAAACACAGATGAACCTGAAAATGAGATTTAGATGAATGTTTAAAGTTAAACTTTGTTCCCTCTGGATGGATTTTAAAAGCTTCATGAACCGGGCTCCTATTTTCTGGACGTTTTTCTAAAGTGGATCTTTGAAACTTTACAAACTTCCTATGAACAAAAAAAGTTTTACAGCGTTTTTAAAGTATTTTAAGTCCTTTTTAAAGTTCATTTTTGAAGTGTTTTATTTCTTTTTTTTAAGTTAGTATTTTTATATAGTGTTTACAGTCTTTTTTTAAAGTGTCATATCTTTTTCAAAATTTTGTTTATTGAAGTGTTTTCATGTCCTATTTAAAATTAGTTTTTTAAGTGTTTTAAGTCCACAGTTTTAAGTTTTAGTGTTTTATGTCTTTTTTAAAGTTCTTCTTCTTTAAAATAGTTTTTAAAAATGTTTTCATGTCTTTTTTAAAACCAGTTTTTAAACTGTCTCATGTCCTTTTTAAAGTTCATTTTTAAAGTGTTTTATGTCCTTTTTAAAGTTCATTTTTAAAGTGTTTTATATCTTCTTTAAAATAGTTTTTTTAATGTTTTCATGTCTTTTTTAAAATTAGTTTTTAAAGTGTCTCATGTCCTTTTTAAAGTTAATTTTTAAAGTGTTTTATTCCTTTTTCAGTGTCAAAAAGATTCAAGAACTTCAGGCGGTTTGTGTACGATTACGAAGCTGAGACCTTTAACGGCATCAGCGGCGCCACTGACAACAAGAGCGGCTCCAAAGTCTCCTGCAGAGTACGTCTCAGACCTCGAACTCTCTCTGACATGCTGTGACTCTCTGAATAAGAAGGCAGCATCCATCTTTAACATGTTTGATTCGCTCCACAGGTGGAGGTTGATGTTCCCCAGACATGCAGCTTCATCCTGCGCACCACCGAGTGTTCCCTGAACGAGATCTTCGATGTGGATGAGGACGGGAACTCACTGTACCGCCCTGCTGCCGGTGCTGAGGCCTTCAGAGATGCCATGGCCAAGTGAGTCAGCTGCAAAGTTTGAACATTTCTTCTAAACCTGAAATATGTTGATGGTCCCAGTAAGGAAGGTTCAACGGTCTGAATGGTTTAAATGGTGATCTGCTCACAGGAACCCCCTGAAGGTCACAGTTGAAGGAGAACTGGAGGTCAAACTCTACCCTGAGGATGACGAGCCCGTCAACATCCTGAACATCAAGAGGGGAATCGTCTCTTCTCTCATGGTCCCAGTGATGGAGGAAGAGAAGAACAAGAAAATGGTATCTAATCAGACCGCTCCTCGTACCTGGGTTCACTTTAGTCCGTTTTCACAGACGTTAGCGATCAATCAAGGACAGAGTGAAAAAGTGGATCCTGATTCTCATGCAGAGATAAACATGTTGCACAATAAGCAGATAAGCTGCCCCAGTCCCAGGTGATAAATCCTCCTGTAACATCATGTTCTTGGGATGATTATCTGCAGCTCCGGGTCAAAGTCTGAGATAAGTTTATCTCACTAATGACCTCACCTGCTTTCATAACAGTGAGGTCATCTTTCCGATCGATTGATAACTCAGAGGCCGCTTAAGGACACAAACATGTTTACCAACCAGGATCCTCAAACCCAGTCTAGTCCACTGTTATTAATGATGTCCCTCTTTGTCTTCAGTCCACCGTCCATGGAATCTGCCCCACCGACTTCACTGTCAACGCCAGAGAGGACATCGCCACTGACGTGACCGTCAGCAGAGATCTTTCCAAGTGTGACATGTTCTTCGCTCGCAGGCAGCACACCAGCCCTCTGGCCCTCATCACCGGCATGGTAAGAGACCGAGACTGAAGGTTGTTAGAACGTGGATGAGATCTGGAGACTCAGAGAAACAAAGTTTAATACAACAAGGTCAAACTCTTTTAACATCATGTTTCTCTGAACAGAACCTCCCCCTGTCCAAGATGATTGACAGCTCTCAGACCTGCAACTACAAGTTTGACAACCAGAAGAAGCACATGACCAGCGGCACCTGCACAGAGAAACACATCTTCCTGCCCCTGTCTCACAAGTGAGTTCACAGAATCATCGAAACCACGGAGGAGCGAATTAGTAAAGTGATTTCACTCCAAGAGGGTTTCAGAAGTCTCCAGTTTCAAAGTATACTGGTTTAAAAACTGGACTACATCCCACAAACACTTGAGCTCAAAGTTTGATGTGTCTCTAAAAGTGAATTCTCTCTGAGGTCTCTGAATGTCTCTCTGTCTTAAACAGGAATGAGTTCGGCGTTTCTTCTCTGGTGAAGCAGACTTTGACTCTCAGAGAGACCTCCAAGATCAACGACCGTGTCTTTGACCGCAGTAAGTCTTCAGGTTTTACTTAAGAAGAGTTCCTGTCTTAACATCGTCCTTGAACGTCTTTTAACCGTTTGTGGGTCTTGTTTTTTGCAGATGAAGATAACATCAAGCTCCTGCCCATGGATGTGGTTGAAGACAAGGCCCCCAAGCAGGACACTCAGGCTGTCATGACCACCCTGCAGAAGCTGAATACCCTATCTAAGACCACCCAGGGCGAGGAGCGCACCGCCCTCTTCCACACTCTGGTGAACGAGCTGCGCGGCCTGGATGCCGATACCGCCGTGTCTGCTGGTACTGAGATGATGGACGTATCCGAATCTCTGACGTTTCAAGCTCTGGCCCAGTGCGGCACCCCCGAGTGCACCAGCGCCATGCTGGGGGCTCTGCGGCTCTTCGACCAGGGCGCTCTGGAGGTTGATGCTGTTGTCTACGCTCTGGGGATGTTGCCTAACCCCTCTCGCCTCATGGTGAAGGACATGCTGGCTATGGCTCAGTACAAGCAGAGCAGACCCATCATGTACGCTCTGAGCAACGCCGTCAGGAAGTAAGTGCTCCAACACGTCCGATTCTCTGACTTTGTCAAGAGTGTTTTTGTTTTCCAATAAATCACGGATGTTGAATTTCCTCAGACTGTACCAGGCTGAAGGTGTCACCCCTGAGATCTCTGCTGTTTATGAGTACCTGGCCTCCATCCTGGGTGCAGACTGTCCCGGAGAGAAGGACCTGACCTTCCAGACCTTGAGAGTAGGTTACAGGCTGTAAAGTCGACCACTTTGAATCAAACTATTTGCAGGAGTCATTTTCTCATAAGTTGTATTTCTTTCCACCCAGGTTGTTGGAAACATGGGAGAAGCAATGGAGGCTGTAGACCCAACGATTAAGACCACCCTGCTCAAGTGCATGAGACAGCCTGCAACCACCCTGTCTGTGCAGCTCGCTGCCATCCAGGCCTTCAGACGCATGTCTGTGACAGACGAGGTGAGCCTCACTTTCAGGAGTCTCCAGCTTTATCACAGTTTCCTTGTTTTATCATCTGAGTAACCGTCTCTCTCCTGTTCTGCTCAGGTTCGCTCAAACCTCCAGAGAGTCAGCCAGTACCCCAAAGGTGCCGTGCAGAAACGCCTGGCAGCTTACCTGACCCTGATGAGGAACCCTCAGGACAGCGACATTGAGATGGTGAAGAAGCTGATCAAGCAGGAGCAGAACATGCAGATCAAGTCCTTCGTGACCTCCCACGTCTACAACATCATTTCCTCCACCGACCCAGAGATTCAGAAGTAAGAGGAGAGAATCTCTCACTGAACAGCACAGTGTCGGCCTGTCTGTCTATGATGCTGTTTTAACAACCAAAGTCCTGGTGTTTCCTCATTGTGTCAAACTTGATTGTTTCCCCAGGCTTGGCAGAAAGATCGTGGACGCCCTGGAGGACACTGAGGTCACTGCACACAGTGAATTCACCACCAAGTCTGGAAACTTCAAGCTGAGTGGCATTCAGGGTAACATCATCTTTGACCCCAGCAGCCAGATGCCAAGGGAGCTGCTGCTCGAGACAACCCTGAAGGCTTTTGGCTTCAACATGGATGTTTGGGAGGTATGCACCATAAACTGTACTTCATAGAAATCTTCCTTTCAGACCAACGAAGGAGAAAATATGCTTGGCTCACACACAGGAAACTAACCCTGCTTTTCTGACAGATCGGCATGGAAGGAAAGGGCTTTGAGCCAACCATGGATGCTTTGTTTGGAAAGAACGGCTTCTTCCCCGACACCCTGTCCAAGGCTCTGTACTGGGCCGATGACAAAATGCCACCAAAGGTCAGAGAGGTTCTGAGGAAATGGGTTCCTCCCATGGACAGCGAAGGAAACAAAGTAAAGATTTCTGCCACTAAAAAACTCTGATTAAAGTTAATCCCACCGATACCATCAACACTAACACAACTGTCCTTTCAAAGGTTGCTGAGAATCTGATGAGAGAAGTTGCCCGCAACTTCAACAAGCTGGTCAAGGATCTGCAGAGCCAGGAGTCCCCAGAGGCCATGGCCTACCTGAGGATCATGGGAGCTGAGCTGGGTTACATCAAGGGCAGTGAACTGAGGTTTTTGGCTGATAACGCCATCATGTATACAGATATCCTTCTGAGGATCATCCCCACCCAGGTACTGTTGGGCTCACATGCACCGACCCTTTTTCTCTTTCTCTCTGCCTCAAATATCAGGGATTTAAAACAACTCTTTTTATTTCATCAGGCCATCGCCAAGCTGATGTCCAGCACCAACAACGAGTTCTTCGCCCATTACATCTTCATGGACAACAAATTCATGATGCCAACAGCCACTGGTCTCCCCCTGACATTTGCTCTGTCCGGCACCTTTGCTCCCGGTGCGAAGGGAGGCCTTCACATGGCACCAAGCATGGTAAATGCTCTAAAACTAAAGGATGACACTATAGGTTTTTTTGTGACCATATTTATAGTTATAGTCATATATGTGAGAAAACATGACCTGTTGTGGTTTCACAGAAGGAGCTGGTGTTCATGCCCTCTGTTGGAGTTGAGTTCGTCACTAAGATGGGAGTCAACATCCCTGAATTTGTGGAGTCTGCGGTTGAAATGCACACCAACATGTACCATGAGAGCGCCCTCAATGCCAGGATCAGCATGGAGGAGGACCAGATCAAGCTGTCCATCCCCGCCCCTCAGGGCACCACTAAACTCTTCTCCATCAGGTATGAAGTAACTGCTCTGACTCTAGTGTCACATCCAGGTGTGTATCACTCTTGGTTTTCTGTGTCCTCAGAGACTAAACCTGAGTTTGTTCCCTCTCTTCCTTTTGAACAGAAACAAAGTGGAGATTGTGGGCGGTGGTCGCACTGTGGAGATCCCACACACAGAGGCTGACGTCACCTGTGGTAATCTCTTCTCTGGAGTCAAGTACTGCAGAGAAGTGACCTCTGTTGACACTCATGGACGGACTGATGTCCCGTACTTCCCCCTGACTGGAGACAGCAGGTGAGTCTTCCTTTGAAGAAAATAAAACTCATGATTTTGAAGTTTAGTGTCTCTGGGTTCAATTGAACAAATAATGTTTTAAGTCCCATGGATTATTCTATATTGTTTCAGTTTGAGGGCCACGTATTGATCAGCATCAATTATTCAGCTTCAGGAAGTGTGAACTTTTACTTCTTATTTTCCAGCAGTTCGTTTTAAAACGTTTCTCTTTCTTGTGTGAGAAACATTGTTTGGTTTTTTTGCTGCCTGAAAATGTGAAGGAAAACTCAACAGAGATGTTTTCTTTCCGTAGCTTTGCTCTGACGATCAAGCCCACCGGCGAAGTCTCTGAGTACACCGCCACCATCGCTTACCAGCTCCTCAGTGAGGGAAAGGATGGCCGCCAGAAGGTTGATTCTCTGACGTTGGCCCTGAGAGCCGAAGGTACGAGCCTCCTTCTTAGAAAAAGAAAATGATAAATATCTTGTCTAACTTTAACCAGTCTATCTTCCTTCCCTTTTTTGTTTCATACATAACTCAATCGATCTTTTCCTAACGTTGTGCCTTTAGGTGCTCAGCCCTCTGAAGCTACAGCCACCATGAAATACAACAGGAACAGGAACGTCTTCACATCTCAAATCCAGATCCCAGACTTTGATGTTGAGGCCGGCGTTAAGGTTGGAATGAGTGACAGCAGCGCCAAAGGCAAATCCATTATTCTTGAGCTCTCCAACAAGAACGTGCCTCAGATCTCTTTGACTGGCCGAGCCAAGTGAGTCAGCTCAGACACGAACATCTCACCTGAAGGACCTCATCTGAGAAGTCTCTCTGTGCATACAAGCTTGATTCGTTGACTTGATTGTTTGTTATCTGACTGCTTACAGGCTTCAAGCCATGACTGATGGCATGCTGCAGGTTCAGCTGTTGGTGCCCTCACTTAAGACAGACGCCTCCGTCACCACCACCATGAGCTCAGCTGATGGACTCACCATGGAGATCAAGAGTGATGTGAAGCTCTCTGAATCCTCTTCCATCCAGGCCGTGATCATCAAATACGGTACGTTTGTTTTATTACACAGAATAAAATAATATCTGGATTTTAGGGACGGTCACAAATGAAATGTTAAAACTCCTTTTTGTCTCAGGCGACGACAAGGCTGAGGTCCAGCTGCTGTCCAACGTGAACGCTGATACCAGGATCATTGTGCCCTACACTGAAGCCCTCAAGCTCTGGCTCATGCAGTTTGTAGATGATGTGATGGACCAGCAGGTGGTCAAGACTGACATGAAACTGCGTCATATCCTGAACAAGGCAGTCAAGGTACGAGAAATGATGGTAGTTTTGTCTTTTTACGCAGACTTTGATCATCCAGTTCCTCCAGAGTAGAGCATGAACAAATGTGGGGTTTTTTTATGCTCAACAGGCTAGCAATATCTGGATGGACAAGATCACAGCTGATGTCCCCTACGTCGAGACTCTCAGGAGCAAACTGGAAAATGTTGAAATGCCTGAAATGCCTGAAATGCCTGAGAACCTTTTCATGAACATGTAAGCGATCCCTGCATTAAGTTATTCAGGTTAAGAAAAACTGCAGCCAAATAATCACGGAGAACACTCGTGTTTTCTTACTCGATAAATCTGACGCATGATCCTTTATGTTTCTTCCACCAGTGAACACACCTTCAAATATGAGTTCAACCAGGAACAACTGAGCATCACTTTCCCTCTGCCTCTTGGTGGCAAGTCATCCGAGGAGCTCCAGATTCCTGCTGTGGTTACCTCCCCACAAATCTCCCTGCCTCAGCTGGGCGTGGAGGTTGCCTCAAAGGAGATCAGCATCCCCACATTCACCATCCCGTCTGAGTATGATCTAACCCTGCCTCTGATGGGAATGATGGAAATGACTTCCAAGGTCAACACAAACTTCTATAACTGGGAGGCAACTGTGTCTGCTGGAAACAACACTGTGGAGTCTCCAAGCTATCTGGCCAAGTTCAATCTGATGTCTGAAAGTCCAATCAAAGTTCTTGCCTTTGCAACAGAGGGTAATTTGATCTCTTCTCTTGTCATCAGTTGAATGATGAAATGGATGCTCTTGTTGTAGTTGATTAATATCTTACTGTTTTGTCTGTCTTACAGGAACAGCAAAAATCACTGATACAGCAGAGGAAACCATGAAAATGGCCATCGATGGTTCTCTGACTCATATGTTCATGAACACTGGTTTCAGTGTACTGGAAACCATCGCTGTCACAGACAACGTGATGTCAACAGGAAGGTACAATGTGTACGCTGCCTCCCCTGTGGGTCTGGACACCTCTCTGACCATTACCACCCAGCTCGGCCTTGACGCCAACCTGATCTCTGGAGATATCAACACAGATGGAAGCGTGACTATTGGACCCATGACTGCTAGCACCACTTATCTCCACACCTTCTCCATTGAGCCAGCAAAGAAAGAAGCAAGACTGGAGAGCACACTGCGTGTGACCTCTGAAATCCTGAAGGTTATGAACAAAGTGAAGGCATCATATGCAGATGAGGAGCTTCTGATTGAGTCCAACACCAACATGAACACTGAGCCCATCAAGCACACCACCAAAATGGGCCTAAGCTACAAGGATGCCAAGCTAACTGCCCACACTGACTCTGTGACCAAGGCCAATGAGCGAATGCTCCGTAGTCAGGTCGAGTTCTCTGCCTCTGAGGGACAGGCTGTCCTCAGGATTGAAAACCAGGCTGATGACACAGTAAACCGGGCCTACTCTTTGCTCACTGGCTCCATGGACCCATCTGGCCTGGAAATCAACGCTGATGCATCCTTGAACATCTTCTCAAGCCTTGCTGCTCACAAAGCAACCCTGAACCTGAACACAAACGGTTTGACCACCAGCTGTACCACAACAGCTCAGTACAGTCCAATGACCTTTGAGAATGTTTTCCACGGTGGCGTTGACTCTAATGGTGCCACCATGTCTCTCACCACCAAGGGAGCCATCAAAGAAAATACAGCTGAGCTTAATGTGGAGGGAAAGATGGCAACTACAGAAGTATATTTCAACGGCATCTTGAAGGGCAACGCCTTTGACATCAACACCAGAAACCGAGTGAATCTGAGACTGAACGAAGATGGTCTGGTCCTTTCCAACAACATTGTCGGATCCTTCAGTGAAATGAGGACAGAAAACACCCACTCCCTGTCTCTTACTCTGAGATCCCTCGCCCTCACATCCAAGATGGACAACTTCCTGAACAACAAGAACTCCTACATGCACGACATCGCAGTTAACATGGAGCCATACGCTGTCTCAGTCATGGTGAAAAACGACCTGAAGGTCATGGAGGTTAACTTTGTGAATGATGCGCAGTTCAAGGCTGAGCCCTACACCATGGAGCTGACAGGAGCAATGACGGGAGTCTTTGCAGAGGAAGAACTCAAGCACTCCTATGAAGTCAAATTTGTGGACATGGTCCTCTCTGCCAAATGCAATACCAATGGGAAGCTCCTGGGCACTCACATGGCACATACCACTGATATGGAGGTTGCTGGTCTGACCATGAAGTTCAGCAATGCTGCCAACTTCAACTCACCATCTCTGCGCCTGGACAGCACAGTCAACGCTGTCGCCGCACCCTTCACTCTGAATATTGACGCCATTTTCAACTCCGATGGCTCAGTGTATCTGTACGGACAGCAGAGTGGTGAACTGTACGGCAAATTCCTCCTGAAAGCAGAGCCCATGGTGTTCACACACTCCTTGGAGTGCAGAGCCTCATCAACCCATGAACTGGAGGGCAGACCAGCTATCAAGACCATTATGGAAAACAAGTTCAATAGCATCCTGAGCTTCCCAGAGCAAAGTGTATCCCTGAAGGTTACAGCTAAAGCCAACGAGCACACTCTCAGTCAAGAAATGAACGCCTATAACAACGCAGAGAAACTGGGTATTGAGATGACAGGAGAGGTCTCAACTCCCCTCTTTGGTGAGACCAGTGAAAATTATGCAGTCTCTGGATTTGTGAAATATGACAAAAATAGCGAGAGCCACTTCCTCCAGATCCCCTTCATTGAGCATGTTCCCATCTTCGTTGAAAACGTGAAGGTCGCAATGATGAACCTGATGGATCAAAGCATTGAGATGCTGAGAAACATCAACACCGAGTATGAGATCAGCACCAAGTTCCAGAACAAAGTGTCAGAGCTGAAGGAGGTCATCAACAACTTTGACTTCAACCTCTTTGTCCAAGACCTGAAAAAGTTCCTCACCTCAATTGAAAACATGTTGACCAACCTGACAGCCAAGTTGCCCACAGAGCAGGTAATGAATATGTTGAGATCTGTAAAGGAAACTGCCATCACCTGGATCAGGAATTATAACATCCCAAACAAGTTCAATGAGGTCTATGCCAAGATTGAAGAGATCCTCTCCAGCTATGAGGTTGAGAAGATCATTGGAGCCATCATGGATGAGATTGTTAAGATCATGAAGCAGTATCAGGTGAGGGAGAAGATCCAGGCTGCATTTGCTGCTATTAAGTCCATTGACATCCAGCCTTTGCTCAAAAGAGTGATGGCACCTGTTCAGGAGATTGTCAACGAAGTGTACTCCTTTGACTTTAAGCAGCTGATCGATGACATGAGTGACTACTTTGTGAGGATGGTTCAGAAAATCAGATCTTTCGATTATGACACATTCACAATGGAGCTGAAAGAGACAGTGGTGGAAATGAGCAAGATTCCCTGTTTTGGAAAACTCTCCGGTGAGTTCAGAGTCACCTCACCTCACTACACACTCAGGACCTCCGCAGACCTGGAGAACACCACCACGACATCTGTCACACCTGAGTTCAAGCTGAACCTCAACTCCCAGGCTTTCTCCACCCTGAAGGTCCTTGACCACACTGTGGATGCCAGTGCTCATTTTGCAGCACCAAAGATGAGTCGTGTGTCCATCTCTGAGGACATCAAAGTTGACCACTCCAGTTTAACACTTGCCCACAAGGGAACAATCAATCTTTACGGCCTGTCTGCCCAAGCTTCTGCTGAAACTACCGCAAAGGTTGACACTGAGCTCTATGTTGCTGAACTTGTCAATAATGTCTTCATTGCCATGGAAAATGGAGTTTCTGCCAACATGGACACAACCTACTCACATGACATCAGGCGCCTTGGTAAAGCATCACTGAACCAGAAAGCAGTTTTTGTGATTGAAGCTGGCACTGTCACCCTGACCATCAACAATCTGGCCAATGAACAGATTGCAGTCCTGGACTTCTCAGATGAGGTAACCCACAAGAGTGATATTGAGATAGTCATGGATCTCCACACAGCTAAAGTCACCATCACCGGAGAGACAGGAAGCAGCGACCTGAAAATGAATCAGAATGTGGTTGCAGATATTTGCATCTTCCGTCACATCACTTTTGATGCCAGATTTGAGACCGAGACACCTTTCATGAAGGGCAGTGTTGCAGCTGTCAAATTCCAGGCTAAAGCTGAAGACATGAAAATTGATTTCACCGCCTCTCACACTGCAGAACTCACTGGAAGTGTTGACGGTACTCTCTCAAGCTCTGCTCTTGCTTTGATCACACCCAGCGAGCTCATGTTTGATACCAAGAACAAGGGAAATACCAAGATTACCCTTCCATTTGGGCTAGCTGGAAAGATGGATCTTCAGAATGACATCTCTTTCACCCTGAACCCTGAGGTGCAGCAAGCTAGCTGGACGGGTCTGGCTAGATTCAACCAGTACAAGTACTCCCATTACTTCAGTATGGATAATGGTGAGAAAGAAATCAATGTCTTTTCTCAGATTGCTGGAGAAGCAAATCTGGATGTACTGAAGGAGCCATTCACCATCCCTGAAATCACTGTGCCATTTGTTGGCTTCAATACACCAAGAGTGGAAGACTACTCACTGTGGGAGGACACCTTCCTGAGTAACATCCTGATCACAACCGAGCAGACATTTGACATGAACATGAAGCTGAAGTGCCTGAAGAACCCTGAGATGATTCCCATTAACATGGATCCAATAATCGATGCCATCAATGCCAATGTCAAGACTCTGCACAGGAACATGCTCATCGGCAAGGATGCAGCTGTCGACCTTCTGGCTACATCCTACGACAAAGCCAGGTCAGAATATGAGAAGTACGAGCTCAGTCTCATCACCATGCCAGCTCTTGAGGTTCCATCTGCCCTCAGAAAGCTCACACTTCCAAGAATCACTCTGCCCAAAATCCATCACATCTGGATCCCTAAGATGGGTGATCTGACATACGAGTTTGCCTTGAAATCAGCTATGATCACTCTCAGAACTGACGCCAGTATCCTGAACCAGGAAAGCATCATTGTTAAACTTGATGCATCCTCATCCTCTGAATGTGAGCACCTGAATGGAAAGATCGAAGGCACCGTCAACATCGAAACAGTTGGAGGACTCAAGATGGCTTCCGCCTTGTCTGTACAACACATGATGCTGGAGGGCAACCACCAGGGCACCATCATCCTCAGCTATGAAACAGTTGATACCTCCATCACCAATTCAGCAAAGGTTAATCTTCCCTCCCTGACTATGGAAGTCTCCCAGGAGATCACAGGAAATCCAGAACAAGGCCTTGTTATGTCCCTGTCCACTCCATCTGCTGGACTCATCGCTCTTCAAATGCAGACCAAGCGCCCAGTTCAGGTTAAAGCCAGACTGTATGGCCGTTACCCGGTAAGACCACGTTTGCTCTCAGATGATCAGTGATTTTCAATCTTCATGCCTTTGACACTGAAGTAATATTTATTTTCTTTTTATGTTTCATGCAGTCTGAGCCATCAACAGACATCGATATCTTGGGTGTGAAGATGTCCGTGGTGAACTCTGAGAAGCTGACCCTTCAGACAACCTGGAACATGGAGATACCATATGAGATGATGCTGCAAGTGAAGGAACAGGTTCCCACAGTAATGGAGATGGTGTCTGATCCTGCTGCCAGGACCTATGAGGCCGTCTACAGGCATGCTAGAAGTCTTGAGGGTTCTTTTGAACAGGCTAAAGAGCAGGGTAAAGAGATGTTGAAGAGAGCTGTTGACAACCTCGCAAGTGTTAATCCTTCCAGCTTTATGACAACTGTCACAGATAAGACCATCTTTGTCCTGAGAAGGTACCAGAGGAGAGTTGAAATGGTTCTTGATGCTGTTGTTAAATTCTTGAGGGAGACAAGGTTCCAGATCCCTGGCTATGAGGAGAGGCTGTCTGGGCTGGAGGTGTATGAGAAGTTTAGCGCCTTTGTAGCTGATGTTTCTGAGGAGGCTGTTGAGAAGATTCCAGAGTACCTGACCAACATGTTTACTGCAGTTCTTGATTATTTCAGAGCCATTGAATTCGTCTTCCCAGGTTCTACCCAGGTTGTCACTGGAGGAGAGATTCTTGATGATCTGTTTGTAACTTTGAAGAAAATTCAGGATCAGGTGATTGTCACTGTTAGAAAACTGGGCTCTATCCAGCTGGAAGATATTATCAACAAATTCTCTGAATTCGTTCAGTTTAGCACCGAACAGGGTGAGAGGTTCCTCCTCACACTCAGATCTCAGAATGTAGAGAAGCTCTCCACCTTTGTGGCCGACGTCTACACTGATGCCATCAACTCTCAAATTATGAATGATGTTTCCATGCAAGTAGAAGAGGCCCGCAGAATCGTGATCGAGTATATCGCAGTTGTGAAAGCTAAACTCCAGAGTATCCTGGCTGACATGTCCACTGAACAGCTTCAGGCCGATATCCAGTCCTGGATTGATTTGATGTTAAAACGTATGAATACTTTCCAAAACAATGTTATCAAGATGCTGAAAGAGAAAAGCAGAAATGTTGAACCCTTTGTCAGAGTCGGTGACAGACAGGTGGAGGTCGATATTCCTTTTCCATTTGTTGCCACAGCCAACTAAGTGACCTGACAGTGTTAATAGTTTAAAATATGAAGTAACTGTTAATCTCTTCTCCCCAAAAGGACTGAAATGTGAAGAAATGCTCTGTAACCATGATGTGTGTCTCTCTATTGTGTCATTCCAAATTCTAACTGTGTATTTCACAGTGGACTCCCAGTTGTTTTGACCCTTCTGTGCATCTTTGTGACTTGTGCTATTTAAAAATGATAATATGTGGCCTTCAATAAAGACACTTTGTACTGCAGACATCTCTGAGCATCTCCTGTGTTATTTCATACCTGAGATCATAACCTCTAGGTGAGATTGTTGGAGGTCAAATGTAAGAAAAAACAAGAATAAAAATGTTACTCAGAATGAACATCCCTACACGACGGTATGAAGGTGTTTGAATTGCACCTTCCCGACATGAGAACATTATGTCCTTCTTCAAATTCCCAAGTGACTTACAGAAAAAAAACCACAGTTTTCTGGTTAAAGCATGGTACGATTTTAAAAAGCCTGATCCATCTCTGTCATCGAGCCGTGAGTCACTTTTATCCTCGGGGTCTAAATTTAGCAGAGACACAAATAGCGTCTCTGACACCACCGCTCTTTTATCGTAAAACAAAGCGAATCAGCTCCGCAGCAGCAGCTCTGCTTTGACATTTGTGAACAAAACCAAGTCTTGAAATGTGCACAAGCTTCTGGAAACACAAACACTGTCAGGATGTGGCTGTGTGTGATCATCAGAAGTGACAGAATAATTATTCACATACTTCAATAACATCTAAGCAGCAACTGAACCACCCACCCAAAAACTCCATCACAAGAGCGATGAAGAGTTTACAGAACCAACTTTGCTCATTGTTTCATCCAAATGTACCAACAGTATTAAATTCAAACAGAACTGCCTCATGCATATTTATTATCAAGACACATAATTTTAGACAGGCCGACACAGACTGACCACTTTTATCTGAAACTTTGGTTGTGTTGACTTTACTGTTTTACTAATGTGTCATTTTGATTATCCTGTAAAGTATCACTGAGTGCCCTGAAAGGTGCCTATGAATAAAAATTATTATTACTATATCAGACTAGAGTTTCTGTCTACAAATACCTGGGATTTCACTTGGAAGAAAATTTGTCCTTTAGGCACCATATTGAGTGTCTTACAAAGAAACTCTGGGTGAAACTGGGTTTCTTCTATAGAAACAAGGGTTGTTTCTCCTTTGGTGCAAGAAAAAGGCTTATACAGGCAACGTTTTTATCGTTTTTATGCATACAAATCTCTCTTCTTTAAAAATACTGGACTCAGTGTATCATGCAGCATTAAGATTTATAACTGGCTTAGATTTTCGTCGTCATCACTGCAGCTTATATGAGAGTGCTGGTTGGTCCTCTCTGCAAAATCGTAGATTGGAACATTGGTATATCTTTCTTTACAAGGCCATTCTAGGTGACTTGCCCTCTTACCTATGTTCCCTCTTAACTCCCAAAATCACCAACAGGAGTAATCTCCGGTCTGATGGACAGATCATGTTCGCTATTCCTCAGACAAGAACGGTTTTTGGCGAAAACGCTTTCAAGGCTTTTGCCCCCTCCTCCTGGTGTAAATTACAGGGTTATTTTAAATTGGATTATCTGCCAAGTACGGCACATTTTAAAACTAGAATTAAGGAGTTTTTGAGTACTGAATGCACATCTTCTTACTGAACGCTGATTTATTGTTGTGTTTTGCATACTGTAACTGTTTTGTGTTTCTGTTTGTGTGTTCTTCTTTTCTTTATGTGGAACTTCTTGTGCTGCTATCCTGGCCAGGACTCCCTTGTAAAAGAGATTCTAAATCCCAATGGGTTTATTTCCTGGTTAAATAAAGGTTACTAACTAACTAACTATAACTGATGGACTGATGCTTCAGTGTAGCGTACTGATGAAGGGCTGGCTCGGATCTATTGAACATATAAATCCGTCTATCTCACACCCTCACTCAGGGACATGACCTTGGCTGCTGGAAACATGGAGTTAGAAAGCACAGTAATTTTATACTATCAAACAATGGGAATCCTCCACTAACATACAAATACTCCAGACTGTGTTCAGTATGCTAAACAAGACGGACTGTCCACTGCTGATACTGAGACCCCTGAGTGAGGGTCACTGTCCCATAAAAAGGTCACAGATAGAAGAGACGATGAAATCCTCAAAACAGAGGAATGGTATAAAAGACGTCACTTTAACTCTCCTACCTGTGTGTGTGTGTGTGTGTGTGTTTCTCTGGTGTGAGAAAATGAGGCAGACAATGAGGCAGTAGAGATGGTGACACACTGATTCTTTTATTGACTCTCCCAAACAGTACCGCTTCTCCTCTTACATTCTCGGTTTTCCTCACAAATGTTACCGTTCTTCTTCACGTTTACCCACCAACCCTCAGACTCTGACGTTACATAAACGTGGTCATCACATCCTCTCATATTTGGCAAAGTGTCCGCTTCTGCTGCTCTGCAACTTTAACGTGTTGACTTCCTTTTTAATGAAGGAATAAAGAAAAGGATGAAAACTGTCCAGACTGACGAGTGAAAAAAGGGGGGGGCCCAGAACACTGCAAATCAGAGGCACATAAGGGGTGGGAGTGGGGGGGCAGTGTGGGAAAATTAACCAGTCCAGGACAATGCATTCCTGTGCTGTAAGTCAGCAGAAAACCCAGCAACAGCAGGCCGGGAGGAATGTGACTTTTAGGCTGTTGTAACTCTTGCTGGATTTACAGAGAATACTCGGTGAATCTCGCGTTTATCTGAACATGATCTTAAACAGTGATTTTCTAATCATAACCACTGAAAAATACTTGCAAAAAGGGCTCCGGTCAGGTCTTATTGAGGACTCCCGGTGTAGCAGCAGTCTCTGTTATCTGTCACTGAAGCATGAGTGAGACTAAAACAACTCTGTGCTGGAGAAATCCACCAACGAGGAGCTGGGTTTATGACGTGTTTCAGAGAAATACGGCTCAGGTTCAAAGTTCAAAGCTTTAACGATGACTTTGAGAAAAGTGGAGATACATTCACCGTCATTATGGAAGACCTAAAGTGTATTCTCGTGTCTCTCAACCAATCACGATTGACGTTCATGGTAAACAAACTTCTACACTTGAGAAAAACGATCTTTGATGAAGTTTGTCTTCAGAGTTTAAAGCTCTTTCTTTAGTGTTTTGTGGTCATGAATCATGATATCTGAACCTGCTGTAGTAGTTTGATCTCACACATGAATGTGCTGCTTCACAGACTCTGAATAAGACCCCCCCCCCCCTCTCTCTTTTTCATGACACTTGAGGAAAATGTGTTCGATAGAGAAAAACACTCACATGCTCGACCCGCTCACATGCTCGCTCCCCTCTTTGAAAAATATGAACCACATTATTTAACTGGAGAACAGTTCAGAGAGAATGATGAGCATTTCTGGACTGCAGAGGTCTGAAGGAAACATGTGCTTCAAGTTACTTTTCTCCAGTGAGCCAAAGAAACATGGAAAAAAGATCACTTCCCTGTCCTCCACCTGCTGCTCCTCTTTTTTCCTTTCATTGTTTAATTGTTAAGAAGCAGCTGTTTCCTTCCACTGCAGACAGAGGAGAGCGTTGCATTTTGGGTAGAAGCATACTCATCTAAAGAAAAGGATTATTTTCTTTATGCTCTTCACTGTCATGAAACGCCAACCTGAAAATCTGCAAAACGACACGGGACAATGTGAGAAGCCCTTTACAAGACTGGACACATGTAAAGTCTCTTGGACATGTGTGGAGTTGCATTGAAAGAGTGAACTGTGTAGGCGAGTATAAAAACAACAACACTGTGGTTCAGAACAAAGATTTCAGACCTCAAACGGACTCTTTCAAAGACATGATCATAAGCTTCCTTTTTCAGATTAACTGTAGTGCCCCAGGTGCTGTGCAATTTCCCAATCATAACTACTTTACAATACAAAGTGGACATAAATAACGAGTGCAATTCTTTGACTGCTTTGCTCTTCACAAAGTTGAACCTTGGCAGTGAGGCGGAGGCCTCTGCAAACACTTGAGACACAAAAAGTGAAGATCTGAAATCTTGGCTTGTAAGCATTTCTTCAGCCAGGCCCGACACTCGTGGGAGTGGATAATAAGGCTCCTATACTGACATGTAGCCTTTGTCCTCCCCCACCCCTCCACCTGTCAGACTGGCACCATGTGACCCAAAAAGAACATGCCCTAAGCAGTGCATTTCACACATACACACCCAGATATAAAGCCATCGAGTGATTATGTTCAAAACAGCGAGTTCGCAGTCAGTGGTTCGTGTCGGACCTGGGTCGTCTGATCACACGGGAGGATCCAAACCATGGTCACTCCCCTGACATGTTCAGACACAGCTCCCAGCGGCGTAAACGTCTCGTCTGTGCGTCACGGCTCTCCAGACAGACCGCCTCAGTTCACATCAGAACACAGCATTTCAGACAGCTTTCGGATGGAGTTGTTCGTTTTTGTAGAGCTGCTCTTGTCGCAGTCTCAAACACTTCCCAGATCCCCTCCTTCGTTTTGGCAGAACACTCCAGATAGTCATATGCGCCAATGCGCATGGCCATGGCGCGGCCATCCTCTGCCTTCACAGGCTCCAGCTTCAGCCGGGACAGCTCGTTCTTTACGTTCTCGTCGTTGCGCAGATCCTTCTTGTTGGCCACTAGTATAATCGGCACATTCGGACAGAAATGTTTCACTTCAGGAACCCACTTTTCGGGGATGTTTTCCAGCGAATCGGGGCTGTCCACGGAGAAACACATGAGAATGACATCGGTGTCCGGGTAGGAAAGAGGGCGCAGCCGGTCGTAGTCCTCCTGCCCGGCTGTGTCCCACAAGGCCAGCTGGACCTGCTTGTTGTCCACCTCGATGTCCGCCACATATGTCTCAAACACAGTGGGAACATACACTTCAGGAAACTCGTCTTTGCTGAACACAATCAGGAGACACGTCTTCCCACACGCGCCGTCCCCCACCACCACAAGTTTCTTGCGGATGTCTGCCATGTTCCTGCCGTGTCCTAACTCGCTCTCAGACGCCGCATCCAAAGACCAAGTGTCCGTCTGTCCAGCTCCTCTCACGGGCTTATATCGGTGCGAAAACCCGCCGGAGTTGTTCCGTAAGTCGACCTCCTTCTCCAACTCCGAACCCTTTTCTGGTAACCGCTGCGATCTCTTTATAAAGCGAAGGGTGGTTTCCTAAATATAGCAATCCAATCGGAAATGGGGAGGTGAGATCATGGTCTGGAGAGGAGGAGGTGATTGGATCTCAGAGGTTTTTCTCATGGAGAGGAGGGTCATGGACCACGAGGACCCACCCGACCCACGATCAGCCAAAAATTCACCCAAATGTTCCTGCAACACGATCTCGATTTTTTTAATGCTCATATAACCGACTGTAACTTTGGAGCTTCCGGTTATGGAAACCGATCCTAAAAACAGTGACACTGTCGGAACCAGAACCCCGAAACTGAGTCCAGAAAATGGAGGAATCCAGAACTGAATGAGTTCTCATTCAAACTAGGAGGCGTTTTTAAGTAAAGTCAGTAAAAAGAGCTTTTGTGAAGGTTTCTCTGACTTTGGTGTTATTTTATAAAAAAGGTTAAACTGAGGAGAATCAGAGCCTGACCTGCCCCCCCTCGAAAGACCTGACCCCCTCTGCAGATCCGACCCCCTCCATGTCAGACAAGGTGTATCAGGAAGGTAAATTCACGCTGACATTGTTACAGCATAGATATATAAATGAACACTAGATGTCTTACACACTGTTAGCAATAAGACCGACGTCCATCTTACTACAGGCAGCTCGCCCACTCCTAACATTTCAGTCTACAGTTCATGAATCATTTAAATAACCATAGATTGATTAATTTGTAACAAACCTCAGAGTTTTAGTTTTGATCCTGCATACTCCAGAATAATTTTAACCATGGATTTACATAAATAAACATTAAACAGGTAGGTAGAGGTAGATAGATAGATAGATAAGGCAGTTATATGAAATTATATATATATTTAAGCAATAACATATTAGTATATTATTACCAATATATTAGTAATATTTCTATTATAGGAATAACTATAAAAACGTATATCAATAGCATATATAAATATTTATTTTTAACACAAATTAACACAAACCAAACAGTTTAGAAATCATGTGTAACTTCAGTTATGTTGAATCTAAAGAGCATTTCTGCCTCTTTAACTGATGTAAAATTACTGGGTCAACTTTGTTATATGTACTTGGTCTCAGTCACAGCGAGTCTGTTAGCCAAGTTAGACAGCTGATAAACACAAACACATCCACAAAGACTGACACTTGGTTGTGGTCTCAGCCTTGACAAAGTTACTCAAAGTTAGTCCAAAGTGAAAAAAACTGTGCTTCATGATTAAGTCTTTATTTACTCAAAGTAAATCTGTCATTTTAATATGTCCAAACACCCTGACTCACAGCCACGTTATTAAGGTCTGTAATAAACAAAACTGTCTGTAAATCTGTCAAGAGGGCTTTAAATCATCACTACATTTGGGCTCACTTTGACAGCAATCTAATGAAATAATATTAGACCATAAACCATTTAAGGACTAATACAAATCAGAGGAATCAAACAAAATCTAGTTCGGCTTTGTCCATTTCCACTCACATTCAGACTTCCTTTGTTTTCTGCTGATCCATGGTCAGGGTGCAAGAGGAAGAGAAGGCCTGAGGGCGGGCTTTTATGATGTTGGGGGTGTGGCTTGGCCTTGAGTGACAGGGGAGTCAGGTATGGTGATGGTGAGGTGAGAATTTGGGATTTAACAGGTCAACTACCACAGAGCGAAGCAGAATGGTATACTGTAGTAAGATGGCCGCCGCTGAGTCCGCCTCATAGAGTCATCTGGCCTTTCTTGTAGACATCTATGTTGTTGTACAGCTGTCTGTGTAGTTCCCTGTGTTGACAGAGAGGGGCGCTGTAGTAGGTGAACTGTGAGCACGGACTCTCCAGCCCTGCTAAATCTGCGCTCTCTCTCCAAGGAACCTAAACCATCATCTCGATCTGGACTGACGGCGCGCACAGACCCTCTCCACACGACAGCGCGTGAGTATTTCTGCTCCCTCTGCTCACCTGGACAGGTGAGTGAGCTCGAGGCTGTGGTGCAGAGGCGCCCACCGTGGTCTGAGTGTGTCCCCCTTTTGTTTAGCGGTGGTCCAGGCCCCTGTGTTTGGGACCTGAAGGGGGGCCATGTTGTTTAGCCTCAGTCCTGGAACAGCAGCTAGCATCTTTAGCGTCTGTTAGCTCCTCACTCTGTGACTCGGTCTGTTATTCCGAACTCTTGTATCGTTGTAGACACTAAAACGTCGTTATTTCTTCTGATTTTGATAGTTTGGTGTCATTAATGAGACATTTATTCAGGTTTAAAGTTTAATAACAGATCAGGCCGTTAGCTGCTGCCGTTCGTTAGCTGCTGAGCTAACCTGTGCTAAAGCTCATCTCACTAAAGTAATGTTAGCAAACACGGATATCATGATCGATATCTGTCAATACCGATAGATCAAAAGACTTATAAACAGTTAGATATATCCTCCTCATGACCCTCTTTAGTGGACTTCTCACCGTTTCTTCTGGAGCTCCAGGATGTAGTCGGAGTCACTGATAGTTAGCACCCATGCTAACCAGCTTGTTGAACGGCTAAAGTGGGTTAAACTCGTAAAAACAGACATTTAGATTTTTAACTGCAGATATTTACGAGTTTTTCCTGTAAATTATGATGAAAAACGACAATAATCCTCAGTGTTTTAGTCCAACTGTTTATTAAATTAGAAGCTAAGGTTTCATCGGTGCTAGCTGAAGTTAGCTGAGAGAAGCTAACCGCTGCTGAGAACCATCAGAACCCTAAACACTGGTTCTGGCTCTGGTTCTGGTCTTAGTTTGTCTGTTTGGAGTCAATCAGACCCTGGTAATAAGAACCATTTCAGCAGAATAATCAGACTTTAGTATCTTTTATACATTTAATGCTTTTGGTTCGTTTAGTGTCTGAAGTTCCTTTAGTATCATCAGAACCTCTAATTTAGTTCCTTCATTAACTTTAGTTCCTTTAGTTACCTGAGTTCATTTAAGTCCTTTAGTATAATCAGAATCTTTAGTTCCTGTACTAACTTGAGTATCTTTAGTACCCTCAGTACCGTCTGTTCCTTTAATACCTGCTGCTGTAATTTTGGAATTTCCCCCTGTGGGACTATTACAGGAACATCTTATCTTGTCTTACATTGGTTCCTTTAGTATCTGAAGTTCCTTTAGTAACTTTCATACATTTAGTATCTTAAGTTCCTTTAGTAACTTTCATACATTTAGTACCTTTAGTTCCTTTAGTTTTTTGAGTATATTTAAGTCCTTTAGTATCTTTGTTACCCTTGGTTATTGTAGTAACTATAAGGAACACCTTTAACCAAACACTGTCGAACAAACCACCACTCTCTATATCTTCATGAATAAATCCAGTCATCTCCTGTCTGACCAGGTCAACAACAACTCAAATTTGAGGAACTTTGAGTTTGAGCAGCTGTATCTGACTTTATTGATAGATTGATGGGTATTTGATCGATCCTTATAATTGTTGGTGGGTGGGCGACGTTTGTTATCTTAGAGTGAAGCTGTAGTCTTCAGTCTGCTGAAACCATCCTGGAGGATTTGTTAACTTCAGTTTGTTTCTGTAAATTGTGGACCTTTTTAACTTTTCATCACGACTCTCTTTACTAACTAGATCTCTGTCTTGTGTTCGTCTAGGCTTTCCCCTGGAATGAGCGTTCCATGCAGCATCCTAGGTATGAATGACGTGGCTTGGCAGGAGACAAGAGGTGGGATGCTGCATGCAAATGGTGCTCCTGAGACTGGAGGTGTCAGAGTTCACGGTGGAGGGCCCTTAGCTACAGTCGCAGGGGCCGGGCAGGCTCCTGGAGGTCCACATTTACAGGGTATGGACAGGGTCGTCAACCCGACTCCGGGCACCCCGCAGCCCCCGCTGAGTGGACGATCTCAGGATGACGCCACAGTGGGATACTTCTTTCAGAGGCAGCCAGGGGAGCAGCTCGGAGGGTGCCCACCGAGCAAGCACCGGTGGCCAACTGGAGACGCAAACCATGTTGATCAGGTAAAGCTTTAGTTCCTGGTGTTGAAGATGAGCTGGTGACCATGGTGCAGTTATATGAAGAACATCTGAACAGTTTCATCACCAGGTGACCTGAAGATGGTGGGCAGCTTAGACATGGGTTTAAAGGACCGGTACTTATTGGTTCTGGTACTTGATTGGTAATTACAGAAAGTATTATTATTATAATAATTATTATTATTATCATAACCTTTATTTAACCAGGTTTGTCCCATTTAGATCCAAGATCTCTTTTGCAAGACTCACCTGACCAAGAATGTCAGCACATCCAGTTTCAACACAGAATCACATTAATCATATAGAATACAAAGAATACGGGATTACATACAAAGATTAATCAAACATTTTCATCCTGAAGCCGGGGTGTAATAGAAATGATCATGGATTAGAAAACATTCAGAGATACCAGACTTTGGAGTTTCAGGTCTGATTTGGACTCGGAGCAGAAAATCTACAAACTTTCCTCCCCATTTCTGACCTTAGGAACCGTGAAATAATAAAAGTCCTGGGAGCGGAGACTGAAGGTCCCATTATTCAGGATTAAAAGGGATAATAAATAAGATGGAGTCATCTGAAGAATAGCCTAATATTGAAATGTTCGGCAGAAAGCCCAGCGTTTAGATCCGTTAGAAGACTTCGGATATAAACGATTTCTGCTGAATTTGCAAAGTCAACTGCAGAATTTACGGCGTTCTGAATGAACGGCGCTTTGAAAAGTCCCGCAGCATGTGTTAGACGTCACCATCTACACATGGACCAATCAGGGGCTGCCTTTCCCTGTTGCCTGGGGAACAGTGGAAACACAGTCACTGATTGGCCCGGTTATTTTCTGATCGCTAATACACGCCCCCAATGGGCCGAAGTCCAGACTGTAGTGGGGAGGAACGGGAAGTGATTCACGCAACAGGATGGCCCAGCCAGGCTAAGAGTTATTATCATGACACACACATGTGATCTTGACCAGGTGCCCCCTTGTTATGGACTCTGGTATCTTGTTGCATTTAGGGGTGAGACCGTTCAATGTTGGCGATCAGAGAGGGGAGGAGGTGGATGCAGCTCTGCTGTGGATTTGCACGTTTTAATTAAAGACTTCTCTCCTCGTCCTCGTTTACATGCAGCTGAGAAAATCGAATTATTGACGTGAACGTGTCCTCCTCCCCAACACTAGGGGGCGATATGTGTCTTTTCAGCGGCGCTGTTTCCGACCCCATCCAACCGTCAACAACAACAGCAGGTCGGTGTCAGACGTCAGAAGTGTCTACAACTGCTGCTGGGCATTTTGGAGAAACAAGAAGATGGAGCATCGTACAGCGTTGTTTTTGTCCGACATGATGGACGCGCTACTTTTTCTAAAGAGGAGACCAACGCTACTCCTCTACTCTGGGGGTTTTGTTACGGGGTTACGGGGGCGTGGCACACATGTATTGTCCGATCATACTCCGACTACGCTGGTTACATGGTAGAGAAAATCGAATTCCAATCATATTATCTGCGTGTCTTAATCAGAGTTCTCAAACTCTGATTATAGTCGGACTAAGGTGTTTACTTCAACTTCAGTTGTTCGATCTTAATCGGAGTAAGGCGATAATTCAGATTTCTTGAGCGTCATGGAAACTCACTGAGTGACTCATCCACACCATCAAAGTCAGTCCAGTCAGAGTTCTACTTTGGGGACTAAAGGAGGAGCAGGAACTCTCGTTGATCCTTCTGGCAGCTTTGGTTCCCGTCGATGTGACGCTCCTCGTCTTCACTGAAGGCCGACGTGAAGGAGAGCGTAGGATGGTTTTTGGGCTCTGGGTGGAACAAACGTACGCTGGTTTGATGTCTAAGCTTCTCTTTTCTTCTTCCTTCTCGTCTCTCAGGTTCGAGCCGTGGATGAGATGAACTACGACTTCCAAGCTCTGGCTTTGGAGTCGAGGGGAATGGGAGAGGTAAGGAGTCCGTCATCACAACATCCTTTTAAAGTCCCAGAAAAACCCAAAATGAAGTTCTGAGTTTCTTCTGTCTCGGCTTCAACAACATGTTCATGTCGATCAGTTAGAAAAAAGACGAAGCTCTCCGCAGGAACGTTTACACTTGGTTTGAAAATATGTCTCTGGGATCAGAGTCCAGACCAGTTTTTCACAGACTCCCCCCAAACTGAAACACAGAAGTCTGGTCTTCCTCAGGTTTTCCTCGGACGTCGCGGCTCCAGGGTGCATCAGTATTTTCAAAATAAGAGCTCTGTGCTCAGATGCTTCCCAGGTGAACTCAGGTTGAAGTTAAATGAAATTTATCATCGCTGGAGTTCGATCTGATCAAGTTTGACTTTTCAAACTGAGTGTAAACAGGAGCGGACAAACTCTGAGGTACTCATGTTATAAAGTGGTTTAGTTTTAGTCTTTGTGTCAAACTGTCATTTTAGTTTTTATTAGTTTTAGTCAGAATAACCCCTGACAATAATTTTAGTCTCTTTTTAGTAATTTAATTCAGTTTAACCCAGTTAATACAGTATCATTACCTCGGATAGTATAGAATAGATCAAACCACATTTTTCACAAATCAAACATGGTTATCTTATTATTGTAACAATTTCATCTCGTCTCATTTTAGTTCATGAAAATAAAGAGACATTTTATCAGAGTTTTGATTTAGTGAACCACATTTAGTCTCGTTTTTATTCATCAACAATATGCATCAATGCATTATATATTTAGTCATAGTTATCGTCACATGACCACCGTTTACGTTTCGTCTCGTTTTCGTCACATGATAAAGGTTCGTTGATGACGATATTTCGTCATATTATTAGACTATTAGAAGGTGTTAAACTCTCCATCAGACTTCAGACGGAGCGATCACCAAATGTCAGACGGACGTTCGCTTGATTTTACGATTTTTTTCTTTCAGCTTCTGCCGGCGAAAAAACTCTGGGACTCAGACGAGCTCGCCAAGGAGGGGAGGAAAGGGATGCTGCTGGGAGAGGAGTGGAGAGACAACGCCTGGGGATCATCTCGTGAGTTCCCTCTGCTTCTCTGTGTGTGTGTGTGTGTGTGTGTGTGTGTGTGTGTGTGTGTGTGTGTGTGTGTGTGTGTGTGTGTGTGTGTGTGTGTGTGTGTGTGTGTGTGCGTGCGTGTCCATCCATCACTCTCACAGATGGAGCAGCAGTTCTGCTCTCGTTTGGGTTCAGTCTAACCTCTGACATAGATCGTCTGTGTGACCCTAACCCGGCTCTAGTTCAATAAGCGACCATTTAGACATTGGCTTCTCATTCAGATCATTCAGTGTCTCAGCCAATCATGGTGCAGCGACGACCAGGCCAGAGTTTCCATGGGAATGGTGATGCCAATTCTGTGCTTTCACCTCGCTCAGAAGGTGGAGGCCTGGGGGTGAGCATGGTGGAGTACGTCCTGAGCTCCTCGCCGGGAGACAAGATGGACAGTCGCTACAGGAACGGTGGTTATGTAAGTGGGCGCCGTCTCTCATTTTAAACTGGAGGTCTTCTTTTACCTCTGGAGCTGATGGTCTTACTTGATCTCCTGACAAACGCAGGGCGGAGGAGATGTCGACCAAGACGGGAGAGAGAAGAGCGATGGCCAAGAGAAGGTGTCCCCCTTTGAGGAGGACAAGAGCGCAGAGCTGAAGGTGGGAGAGGAGAACGATCCATCCAAAGCCAACGGGAGAGGACTCCTCAACGGCATGGACAGAGACTGCAAAGACTTCAAGTAGGTTTGACTCCGAGACACTTAGAGCAGGACAGAGTTTGTCCTCCATCAGAGGAGGCTGAAGGTCCTCTGTGAAGTTCATGTCTCAGCGCAGGGGTCTCAAACTCAAATGAGCTGGGGGCCACTGCTGTCACTGTCATCTCAGTGGGGGGGCCGCTTCAGTGCTTCAGACGAGTATCAAACAAAAATCACAAATAAACTGAAAACGGTTTATTTTCAAATATTATGTGAAAATATTACAAAAGTATAAAATTCACAGGTAGTGTAAATAATTTGGCCTCATTCTTTAAGAACTTCTCAGAACTCTTCATGAACTTAAAGCACGTCTCTTCATACTGTCTTCATATTAAACACAATAAGAGCTTTAACTTCGTGTTCACATGTTCACAGTTAGAAACTTTTTACTTTGTTCCGTAACTCTTCAGAGATAAAACCACCAGCCTCTGCCTCAGTGTTTGTTAAACAAACTTTTAATATCAGCAGCTTGTAGCACGCCGTCCTTCAGAAACTGTCCCTCGGTAAATGGCTTTCCCGCTTTGGCGATTAATTCCCTGACCACGGCAGCATCGCTGTCCTGAGCAGCTCTGTGGAAACGTTCTCGCTGCGATAACAGTCGTCTTTGTCACCGCTCGGCTCGCCTTTTCCTGTCATCTCCGCTCTATTTCTCAGACTGCTCTCCGTGTTTAGTCGAGTAATGACGCTTGAGATTATATTCCCAAAGAACGGAAAGTTTCTCGGGTGGCGTTTCTACCGAACTCAACAAAAAATACGGTAACGTCCGTCTCTCTTGGAGTTGTCTGTGTTCGTCATCCTTTTTCCGTCTACGTTTGGAGAGCGACATCTTTACCTTCTTCTTCTGCGCCTCTCTCTCATGTCGTCAGAACTTCACATGAAATCATTTTGGATTTATTTATTATTAGATTTTGAAAAATAATAAAATTTCATGCAAAATTATTCCTTTAATTGTGTAAATAAAAATAAACTCAACAGGCTAAATTACATTGAAATGTTTGCGTCAAGATGCGGGCCGGATGTAGGGGGCCTGCGGGCCGGGAGTTTGAGACCCCTGTCTTAGTGGTCTTCCTTCTCTGATCTTCGTTTCCTCCCTCAGTCCCACTCCTGGAAGTCGTCAAGCTTCTCCCACTGAGGCGGTGGAGAGGATGGGTCCCAGTCAGACCGGTTTGGAGATGCTCGGACAGCATCACCCTCACGCCCTTCAACAACACAACCCGGCCCAAAACAAGGCCCCGACGGATGACTTTCAGAACCAGGAGGCCCAGAACATGGGGGGCATGGAGCAGCAGGCCGGCGTGGAGTCCCTCCAGTTTGACTATGCTGGGAACCAGATCCAGGTGGACTCCTCGGGAACTCCAGTGGGACTGTTCGACTACAACTCTCAGCAGCAGGTGTGTGTGAAGACCCAGAACCCTCCTCTGAAGGGGTCCAGGTCTGAGCGGACTGAGATCTTGACTCTCTGTTCTTGTTTGCAGCTGTTCCAGAGGTCGAACCCGCTGACGGTGCAGCAGCTCACCGCCGCTCAGCAGCAGCAGTACGCTCTGGCTGCAGCTCAGCAGCAACATCTCGGTCAGTCCTTCAGCTGATCGTCATCCTCTTCTCTGATTGGTTTTCACTCTCAGTTTGAAAATGACCAAATAAGGAGATACATGACTTCCTGTCTCTTCTTCCCTTCAGCCGGCCTCGCTCCTGCGTTCGTGCCAAACCCTTACATCATCAACGCCGCCCCTCCTGGAGCGGACCCCTACACCGCCGCGGGCCTGGCAGCAGCAGCCACGCTTGCAGGTGATCATAGAGCGCTCTTTAAAACCCGAACAGTCACGGTGGTCTTCTGAGTTCAGGTGAAGACCAGAACCTGTCTTTATAGGACCTCACCTTAGCGTCTCCTCCTCCTCCTCAGGCCCCACTGTGGTTCCTCCGCAGTACTACGGCGTTCCCTGGGGAGTCTATCCGGCCAACCTTTTCCAGCAACAGGCGGCATCAACTGCCAATCACACAGCGAATCAGCAAGCATCCAATCAGGGACCAGGACCGGGCCAACCACAGGTAGGGGGTTGGTTCTGGAATGAGGTTTAACCTTTTAACGTGTCTGATGACCTGAACCGTCTCATCTTCTGATAAAACACTGAATAAATCTGACCGCCCTCACGCCTCGGGCCCTCAGATTTACTTCTATCACCGCACTGAGAGAGACTTTGGGGCAAAGGTAAACGTCAGTCAGGGTCTAAATAATCGTTAGAAAACACGTTACCGTGGCAACCAGATTTCCACCTTTTAAATGATGCTGATCTGTTGTGATGTTACCCGGTCTGAATGTTCCCCGTCTGTAAAAATCACATTTCCAGAAGCTTCTCGAGCAGCTTTCCTGTCTGACAGAGTCTTCTTCTTCTTCTTCTTCTTCTTCTTCTTCTTCTTCTTCTTCTTCTTCTTCTTCTTCTTCTTCCTCTTCTTCTTCTTCTTCTTCTTCTTCTTCTTCTTCTTCTTCTTCTTCTTCCTCTTCTTCTTCCTCTTCTTCTTCTTCTTCTTCTTCTTCGTCGTCACCAGGTGATGCGCACAGGATCCAATCAGAGACCCCTAACACCTGGCCAAGGCCAGCAGAGTCAGCAGGAGAGTCTGGCTGCAGCAGCTGCAGCTAATCCTGCGCTGGCGTACGCAGGAATGTCAGGTAGGAGGATCAGTTCAGATCAGGGTTATACAGCCGTGTTAAACACATGTAACACACCCTTTATACACCTGTTGTACAGCGCCTGTCAATCAGATGAAGCTCCTCCCCTTTTCTGTTCCCTCTCCTGACTCAGATCCTCTGTGTTGACCGTTAAACCTGATCTGTTCTGTGTCTGATTTCTGACTCTGGTCTTGGTTCCTGAATCTCCAGGTTATCAGGTCTTGGCCCCTGCAGCCTACTATGACCAGACCGGGGCCTTGGTGATGGGCCCCGGTGCCAGGACTGGTTTAGGAGGTCCGGTTCGTCTGGTCCAGACTCCTCTCCTCATCAACCCAGCAGCAGCACAAGCCGGTAAATACAGGAGCAGGATACTCGATAGTTAAAGTCACGAGTTTAGACGAGTTTAAACAAGTTTAAACTCTGCCATAACAACTTGGAATAGCCTTCCCCCTGCAGTTGTTGGAGATATTACATCTTCTGGTGTTCACGCCTTCAAGAAGAGGCTGAACAAATACCTCCTCAGTATATGACTGTTATCCCTCACAAAGCTTCATGGACTTTTATCCATAAACATTCTGTTTTTATTTACCCCAGTCTGAGTAGCTGCAGATCATTGATAGGCTCTTTGATTTTCTCTCAAAGCCTGTATCTGCTCAAGCCAAATTAAAAAAAAAAAACGAGTTATCGTCTTGTAGTGAAAAATGTGAATTTAGTGCGCGTCCCTTTAATTTAGTGAGCGTCCCTTAAATCCAGGTAGTTTCTACTTGAACCCTTTAATAGACGTCGGGGTGTGTTAGCCGTTCTTCTGCACAGTCAGATCACGCAGATGAAGCGGCGGCGGCGAGCTTCAACTGTCTTCAGATTAACTGGTGACTTTTTCCGGGTCATGCCGACTCAGCAGGTCTTACCTGAACCCCGGCTCCCCTCCTAACTCTCTGTCTCCTCCCCAGCAGCAGCAGTGTCAGCGTCTGGTTCTGGTAACAACATGTCGGGCCCCCCAGCTAACGGGCTGTACCGCTCCATGCCTCAGCCTCAGCCCCAGCAGCAGCAGCAGGCCCCCCCGCCCTCCAGCGGCCTGCCCTCCAGCTCCTTCTACGGTTCTGGTTCGGTCCCCAACACCTCTCAGAGCTCCTCCCTCTTCTCACACACCTCTGCTGCTCCTCCTCCACCCAGCTCCTCCCTGGGCTTCAGCAGCACCGGCGGCTCCCTGGGTGTGGGTCTGGGTTCTGCTCTGGGAGGTTTCGGCTCCTCGGGTCGGTTCCTGTGATCAGAATAATATTATAATGAAGGTTCATGTAGATGTGAAGGTTCTGACCCTGGTGTTGTTGCTCCTCCTAGTGTCCAGCTCCACCAGTAGCAGCGTCTCTCGCAGGGACTCCCTGTTGGCGAGTTCAGATTTATACAAACGTGGCGGCAGCAGCTTGACTCCCATTGGTCAGCCTTTCTACAACAGCCTGGGTTACTCCTCCTCACCCAGCCCAATCGGACTCACACCAGGCCACTCCCCGCTCACTCCTCCGCCCTCCCTGCCCTCGTCTCACGGCTCCTCTTCTAGCCTTCATCTAGGTAAGCGTGGAGGTGAAGCGTGGAGATAAATGGGGGCGGGGTTTCAGGTGTGTTTGGTTTTTCTTACGGCGGTCCCTCTCTGTCTTAGGCGGCCTGACGAACGGCAGTGGGCGTTACATTTCCGCCGCTCCCGGCGCCGAGGCGAAGTACCGGAGCACCGGCGGGACGTCCAGTCTCTTCAACTCCAGCAGTCAGCTGTTTCCTCCGTCTCGGCCCCGCTACAGTCGCTCTGATGTCATGCCCTCCGGACGCAGCCGCCTTCTGGAGGACTTCAGGAACAACCGCTTCCCAAACCTGCAGCTCCGCGACCTGCCGGGACACATGGTGGAGTTCTCTCAGGACCAGCATGGATCCAGGTAAGGAGCTGGTTTCCCGGTTGACCTTCAGACGCCGTTTCAGACCTCACGCTGACGTCACCTCCACAAAGGTTCAGCAGAGGTTGTTCTTCTTGAGGAAGATGAGAACCTGTCCTGTTTCCTCTGAGATGATGACTCTCCTTCATAAAAGTTTAGATGAAACTGTTTTAAGTCTCGGTTTGGGAACCTGAACTGGTCCAACCAGATTCTCCCGGTGGGCCTCGTTAAAACGACAGACAGCGGTCTCGTTTATCTCGAACAGACAGGTCATGAAGAACGCTGAAGCTGTTCTGGATTATCTTAACCTCCCTCTGAACTACGACATCGAGCTTTTACCATCAGGGCGCCGTTATCGAGGTCCTCCGAGGAGGACGAACAGATCTCAGATCTCATTTATTCATTTACTGAAGGAGAATCAGGCCTCAGGTCGTCCGTGTTTCTCTCTGCAGTGTTTTCAGTTTCCTGAGGGGGCGCTCCGGTCCAGTTCTGTCTCTGGACTGATCGTGTTTTTATCTTCAGTGTTTCTTTTATTCTGTTTTTATCGTGTTAAACTTTTAGACTATTCTCACTGTTTGTCATCGTGGACCCGGTCTTTGTGTGTCTAATACTAACTTACCTTTTTGGACAGTAAAGAGATTCTGATCTGGTTCTGGTTCTGAACCCTGTTTGTAGATTTATTCAGCAGAAGTTGGAGAGGGCCACTCCAGCAGAGAGGCAGATGGTCTTCGGGGAGATCCTGCAGGCCGCCTACCAGCTGATGACGGACGTGTTTGGGAACTACGTGATCCAGAAGTTCTTTGAGGTCGGGTCCATTTCAGGTTTCTGACTCTGAACCTCTCAGTGTCGGCTCCAGCAGAGAGTCTGATGTTCATGTCGTTTGTTCACAGTTTGGAAGTGCAGACCAGAAGTTGGCTTTAGCCACACGGATCCGTGGACACGTCCTTCCCCTGGCCCTGCAGATGTACGGCTGCAGGGTCATCCAGAAGGCTCTGGAGTCCATCTCCTCAGACCAGCAGGTAATTGTAAGTGAGACTTGACTTCTTCAGAGCAAACATGGATCCATGGAGGTCTTTGTCCTCAGACTGACCCTCTCTGTCCTTCAGAGTGACATCGTCCGGGAGCTGGACGGACACGTGTTGAAGTGTGTCAAAGACCAGAACGGGAACCACGTGGTCCAGAAGTGTATCGAGTGTGTCCAGCCCCAGGCCCTCCAGTTCATCATCGACGCCTTCCAGGGACAGGTAAGGTCATGACCTCTGTGAGGGTCATTTCAGACAGGAGACCAGCTGGGCTCAAACCGAGTCATCCGACCCGGGATGTCAGACTTAGCTTTACCAGCTGTGCTCAGTCTTATCACGACCTTTGACCCTTTACTGCTGTGAAAAAATGGACGACACAAAAAAAACAAAATCAGAAACCTGTGAAGATGTTTGAGAACTGTGAAGGTGTCCCTCTGAGGTCTGTGATGAACCTGGTTCTGGACCTGACTCTAAAGTTCGACCACCTCGACCCTGACCACCTTCATTCTGAGCGTCCTCCTCGTCCTTTTTTATGATGGAGGATAAAAGTTTAATTTTCATGTTTCTGAATCCATTTTACTACGACAGAGAATCAGAGTTACATTCAGGAAAATTTAAGACTTCATAATTACTGATGGGAATAAAGTCGTAATAAAATCATTTCTTATGTAAATTAAGGCTGCAACAACGAATCGATTAAGTCGATTCGTCGTGACGAAAAAATTCGTTGCCAACTAATTCTGTAATCGATTTGTCGGGTCTTAATATATGTCCATGGACACCGGCGTGTAAACATCAGCAGGACGCACAGAAAAGAAACAGCCATGGCCGAGGCAGCGGCTGAGAAAAACATGGACACAACCCAACCCAAATCCCGACCTAAAACATCAGTGGTGTGGGAAAACTTCACCAAGACTGAAAAGGAAGGCGTTCAGTGCAACATTTGCAAAGACCGTTTTGCATGGCTCGGGAGTACATCGATGATGCGTGAGCACAGGGCTCTCAAGTCTCACGCATTCAGCGTATGACACACGCATTCCCACTCGTTCACACGCTGACACACCACACATTGTATTTCTCACGCATTTAAATGAACACGGTGATGTCCACCAAGTTGCACTTCTTTGACTATGGAACTGGGGGAAATCAGCTGAGTTTCTCCGAGAGTTCAGAAGTTGCGTGCCACGCACAAGCCAATCAAATAAAGTATATCTACTGAACAGCCAATCAAAAAGCAGCATTGTTGTATCTGGGTAGATTTTGATATCTTGCGGTTTAACTACAGAAGAAGACAGACACTCGCCGAAATAGAGCAGGTTTTTATAAGGACGAGAAAGACCCGATGATTACAGTAAGTCAGTAACCTACACATGCAGAGACCTCAACACCTCATGGCAGATAAACTCATATGATAAACTAAAGCCCTATGCTATTGCTATTTACAGCTGCATTGATGAATTTAGCCTGTTTATCCGATTAATCGATTAGTTATTAAAATAGTCGGCAGATTAATCGATTATCAAAATAATCGTTAGTTGCAGCCCTAATGTAAATAAAGTCGTAGCTCATATTCTGACCTGTTGTTCGTTGTTTGAGTGAGCGCTGTGGAGCATTTCCATGAATTAAACTTCATTAGCTGGTTTTACAAACAAGGAGACACTAAATCCTTCAGCGTTTCATCATCACATCATCGTCAGTATCAGGACATATGAAGAAATTCATCTTTTCTGCAGAAAGAACCAGGAGGACCTGTAGAGAATCTCTGTTTTTGAGGAGGAGGAATGTCTGTAAATGTCTGTAAATGTCTGTGCAGAGACTCAATCCCTCAGTGCAGACGTTCATAACAATAGTTTATATGTCTTTAGTTGATCGTATGAATCTTTACGCTGTAAGACTTTGGTGCTCATCAGAGCTCGACTCCCTCTGAATCGTGAATGTTGATCATCAGTTGGATTATTTCTGTAAAAACTCTCTGAATGATGAACCCACAGAGAACGTTTCCTCCTCCACTAAAGCAGATTTAAGACCAAAGTTTCTTTACCACTTTACTCTCATAAATAATGATGTGATTACGACTTTATTCTCGTTAGTCATGACTCTAATCTCAGAGTCTTAACTTTTTTGTCTTAATGTGGTCCTAACACTCCGTCGTATTTCACCGACCTCGTTCTCTAAAAACTCCAGTCTTATTTCATTTGATGGTCAGCGTTTTCACGTCACTGCTGGGAAAAGTATTTTCTGACGTCCCATCATTGGACGCCGCTGCGAAGCGACACGGAAATCTGGATCTTTAGCTCCTCGAGGTGACCAGGAATGTTCCTCTTAGTCCAGATAAAGGTGATGACAGCTGAGGGTCTTCAGGTAAAGAAGTTCCTGCAGTGGAAACAGAGAGGAAACGGAACAAGTCTGTAACCATGACCCTGAACTCACGCCTCTCTCTGTTCTCGTCCTCTTCTCTCTCTCTCTCTCTCTCTCTCTCCCTCTCTCTCTCTCTCTCTCTCTCCCTCTCTCTCTCTCTCTCTCTCTCTCTCTCTGTTCTCGTCCTCTTCTCTCTCTCTCTGTTCTCTTCCTCTCCCTCTCTCTCTCTCTCTCTCTCTCTCTCTCTCTCTCTCTCTCTCTCTCTCCCCCCCCCCCCTCTCTCTCTCTCTCTCCTCTCCCTCCCCCCCCCCCCCTCTCTCTCTCTCTCTCTCTCAGGTCTTCGTTCTGTCCACTCATCCGTACGGCTGCAGAGTCATCCAGAGGATCCTGGAGCACTGCACCCAGGAGCAGACTCTGCCCATCCTGGAGGAGCTCCATCAGCACTCTGAGCAGCTGGGCCAGGTCTGACCCCGCCCCCCTCTCTGTATTGATGAAGAGCGTGCTCGTCTGCTCTATTTGCATGTCTCCGCCATGTTTGAACATTTCATAATTCTCAGCAGCCTGTAAAGAAGAGAGTTTGTTTGTGTTCTGCTAAGTGTAAAGTGATGTTGAACTGTTAGCTGTCATGACATATTTATTTATTATTTATATCTGTGATTATTTGAACATCCACCCTACCCCCCCTCACTTATTCCATCTAGAAATATCAAGGCGTTTCATTGGAGATGACACCCAAAACATGTTATACAGTGTCCCGTGATGCGCTGTTCAAGGTCAGAGCAATTTGCCTCTCTCGCGGATGTCCCCGTGCTCCTCCTCTTCCTCCTCCTCTTCCTCTTTCTTTGTATTTCCTCCTTTTAAAGAATCTTATTTAACATTTAGCTCCCGACTTTTACAAACCCCTCTCCTCTTCCTAACCCACTGAGCCGCCTCCTCCTCCTCCTCCTCCTCCTCTTCCTCCACATGAAGCATCTCCTGATCAATCTGTTTTTCTCTCCTGATCAAACCTGGTCTCTAAAACCTCCTGGAGTGAGCAGCTCCTGGTCCAAACCCTTCAGTGATTCTTGTTAAAACAGATTGACAGGAAATGGATTCCTGATTAAAGGTGGAGGTCTTCTCACCCACCGACCCCACGACACCAGTCCCAGTGGTGGTCTCTGTTGTCTCTAAATTTACACCCATAACTGTCCATCACCCGTTTCTGAAGGGGCAAAGATGCTGCTGGACCCGTTTCCAGCAGCATCGCTCTTGTCTGACCTTCCGCAGTGATGACTTAAAGGGTTAATCCGTAGATTTCAGATGGGGGTGTCACTCATTTGTCTGTCGTCGTAGAGATGCATGATTCTTTCACTCCGATTCAGACCAGTGCTGAAGACTAGTGCATGAGTATCAATGATTATCAATGATTGATCGATGTGATCGGCTCAGACCTCCTGACCCTGACCCCCCCCTCGTCTCCATCAGGACCAGTACGGGAACTACGTCATCCAGCACGTGCTGGAGCACGGCAGACCGGAGGACAAGAGCAAAATCGTGGCAGAGGTCCGTGGGAAAGTCCTGGTCCTCAGCCAACACAAGTTTGCCAGGTAAGGTCGGTGTGAAGGTGCGAGGGGCGGAGAGTGGGCGGAGAGTGGGTGGAGTCCAAAACTGTCCTCTTGGTGTCTTAATGATCTGCTAAAGACGGCAGGATGTCCCCGTACAAAGGAACAAACACGCTCTCTGTTGAACCTCTGGGGCTGCCGGTCCACCTGTGACCCACCTGTGACCCACCTGAGCTGACGGAGTTCCTGCACCGACGTAAACACACTCTTCTCAGGGTGGTGTCAGTGTTTTTGATTCATAAAGTTGTTTTTAATTCTCTGACGCCGAGCCGCTGAAGGACGTTTGTCATGATTCAGTTTGAGGATCATAACGAGACTCTGACACCGCCGGTCTCTCCGGTTCTGGACCTGTTTCTCTCTCTGCTGAGTTCTTCACCCCTCTGTCTTTCTTTCTGTCTCTCCCTCTCCAGTAACGTCGTGGAGAAGTGTGTGATCCACTCCTCGCGCGCGGAGAGAGCCCTGCTGATCGATGAGGTGTGTTGTCAGAAAGACGGGCCCCACAGCGCCCTCTACACCATGATGAAGGACCAGTACGCCAACTACGTCGTCCAAAGAATGATTGACATGGCAGAACCCGCTCAGCGCAAAATCATCATGCACAAGGTGAGACGACGAGACGCTGCTGCTGAGAGGAGGACGGACTTCAGACCGCTCCTCTGTGGACTGAAGTCTGTCCTCACCTCAAACAGGTCTTCATTTAGTGTCCGTCCTCTTAGTTCCTGACAGGGTTCCAGTTTTAAAATTAGTGCAAATATGAGGTCACCCTAAAAATGTCTAACAAAGGTGTCTCCTCTGTTTCTATCAGCTGATTAGACCAGGTGACTTTGACCTCTGTGAACACTTGACCTGCTGACATGAACGCGTGTCCTCTCCTCTCTCCTCTGTCCTCTCCTCTCTCCTCCCTCCCCCCTCTGTCCTCTCCTCCCTCCCCCCTCTGTCCTCTCCTCTCTCCTCTGTCCTCTCCTCTCTCCTGTCCTCTCCTCTCCTCTGTCCTCTCCTCTCTCCTCTGTCCTCTCCTCTCCTCTGTCCTATCCTCTCTCCTCCCTCTCTCCTCTGTCCTCTCCTCTCTCCTCTGTCCTCTCCTCCCTCCCCCCTCTGTCCTCTCCTCTCTCCTCTGTCCTCTCCTCTCTCCTCTGTCCTCTCCTCTCTCCTCTGTCCTCTCCTCTCTCCTCCCTCCCCCCTCTGTCCTCTCTCTCTCCCCCTCTCTCCTCTCCTCTGCCCTCTCCTATCTCCTCTCTCCTCTCCTCTGTCCTCTCTCCTCTTCTCTGTCCTCTCCTCTCTCCTCTGTCCTCTCCTCTCTTCTCTGTCCTCTCCTCTCTCCTCTCTCCTCTCCTCTCCTCTCTCTCCTCTCCTCTCCTCTCCTCTCCTCTCTCTCCCCCGTCTCCTCCTCTGTCCTCTGTCCTCTCTCCTCTCCCCTCTCCCTCCTCTGTCCCTCTCCTCTCTCCTCTGTCCTCTCCCCTCTCCTCTCCTCTCTCCTCCCTCCCCCTCTCTCCTCTCTCCTCTCCTCTCCTCTGTCCTCTCCTCTCTCCTCTGTCCTCTCCTCTCCTCTCCTCTGTCCTCTCCCCTCATCTCCCCCCTCTCCCCTCTCTCTCCCCCTCCCCCCCGTGTCTCAGATCCGGCCCCACATCGCCACCCTCCGTAAGTACACGTACGGGAAGCACATCCTGGCCAAGCTGGAGAAGTATTACATGAAGAGCGGCTCTGAGCTGGGTCCTATCGGGGGTCCCACCAACGGCCTCATGTAGGCCCCCGGACTCTCTTGGTCCCCTAAAGATGAGGAAGAGAAGGAGCCCCCTCCTCCTGGGGTCAGCCTGCGACGCCCCCCGTCTGTCTGTCTGTCCGTCTGTCTGTCTGTCTGTCGCCCTTTTTTCGGGGGTCGTTACCAAAAAGAAGAAAATCACGAAACAGAAACTCCACCTAAGAACGCCGTGACCCCCACCGCCGCTCTGCGGGTCCCCCAGCTCCGCCCTGAGGGTGGGGGGGCGGGGCACAGCGGGAGGATCTGCTCTCTTGTTTTCCTGGTGTCCTGGGTAAAGCACACGCCCACTGTTGATGATGTAATAGATGATGTAATGACCTGTTTTCATATGATCTTGTACATGAAGTTTTTTTACCTGTAAATTCTCTGTAGAAAAAAAAAAACAAACAAACTAAAATTATTTCACATTTGCTGAAATTTACGATTCCTACTATTAACACCAGCAAGTGATTTTCTACGAGGGGGGCGGGGCTACGGCGAGCGATCCTTTTCAGAGAAACGAGTCCGTTTGTTTTTGTACCCAGAATCCTTCAGCCAATCAATCTTCTTCTTCTTCTGGTTTATTATCGGCGCTCCGTACTCGAGGGTCCTCACGCCAAAGCAGCTGCAGGATCAGGACTCTCTAAGACCGCTCTGAGGGGGGGGGGGGGTTAGGTGGTTTCTTTGAGGGCGGGGTCTCGGACGGCCGTGTTTACTCAGCAGCTCCACGTTTCGGTACGAAAAATCTCAGACTGACCAACCGGAGCTGCTGCTTCGACGAGCCCCCGTCTGGATCTGGAGTCCTCTTTGGGGGGGCGGGGTTTATGCAAGACAAGGAGACCCTCGTTAACGGGGGGGTGTGTCTGTACAGCGGGCGTTCAACCTTAACATAGTCGGGGGGCTTTTTGTGGGGATATGTGGGTGGGAGTGGGCTCTGTGTTGGCATGCTGTGATGATGATGATGATGATGATGATGATGATGATGAGAGGTTTTAATCCTTGGAATGATTTTTTTCTTTCTCATGTTTTTGTGTAACATCTCCTTCTTCTTCTTCTCCTTCTTCTTCTCCTTCTTCTGTCTCGTGGTTTGAGACGAACACTGCCCTAGAAGACGGTATCTCTTTATGTACTGAATAATCATCATCTCTTGCGTAGTCGTAGTTTAGAAACGTATAGCATCTTTATGTACGAGTATCTTGTTGCTTTTTGGGTTCGGGGGCTTGCAGCAGTGATGGGACCCCCACCGCCTGAAGGTCTGAGGGAGAGTAGATGTTGTCTGAGGAGACGCGGTCTGGTGGATGAATTTAAGACTAACTTTTTTTTTTTTTTTTTTAAATCGTTTTTTTTTTTTTTTTTTTTTTTTTTTTTTTTTTTTTTTTTTTTTTTTTTTTTTTTTTTTTTTGGGGGGGGGGTGAAAGTGCGGAGGTGGAGGTGGAGGTGGAGGTGGAGGCCGGTGGGTCCATCAAAAGCTATTCAACTCACCTGTACTGCTCGTAGTGATGGCTTCTTTGCTTCATATGAATAATTGTAGATTACATGTAGTATATGTGCAGTTAATAAGTGTAAGATTATTAGTTAAACTGAAGAAGAGACAAAAAGAAAAAAACATGTCTAGTCGTGGTGTTTGACAGGCCTTGCTCTAAATTTGTAGTGATGCTTTTATTTCGTCTGTACAGTTGTACATTTGTAAACGTTGATGCTGTAAATGGGATGTCTTTTACACTTTTTTGGGGAGAAAAAGGCAAAAATGTGCATTTTGATGTGTGTATATTCATCACTCCTTTCCCCCTTGAATATAATGTATACAGTTTTATTTGATCAAGTGTTATTTTAAAGGAAGAAAAAAAAGACTATGGCTTCACAATCTGGCATGGATTTCTTTTGTTTTTAATCTTTTTTCGCTTCGGGAAAGGCCAGCCTCTATTTGTACTGGAGCTGTTTCATCCACTGTTGATAGTCTTTCTGATGTGTGACAGTTTAAAAAAGAAGAAAACACAAAAACACTCTCCACTCTAAACCGAGGCTGCATTTAAAGTCCTCTCTGCTACCATGGAAACTTCACAGGATTATGACCAGAATTATTTTTGTACAGAAGAGTGCTGTATTTTGGAACAGCTACCACCTTGTAAGCAAAAGCAATGTAAAATATTGTCAATTATATAAATATGAACATATGAGTTTTGTCACACTGTCAAAGTCATGTACATTTTCAGGTGGCCTTATGTACATTTCCAGATGTTAGATGAAGAAATCAAACTCATTTTTGGAAGCAGAATTGTGACGATGTATGATTAAACTGTTCTTCTAACATTTGAGCGGGTTGCTGCTGCTGCTTTCTCTCCTTCATCGTGTTTGTTTAGTTTTCCCTCTGTTAGCGCCGGGCGATACGTCCACTAATCAATATCACCATATATTGATCAGTTCACCTCCATAACGATAAATCCACAAGCTGCTCAGCCCCTCCCACATTAACTCCGTCTACTTCAGTCTCCGTCCTCCATCTCCTCACCTGTCTTTCTCTCTTTGTTACAGACTGGATGGGGCGGAGTCACGTCTCCGTCATAGGACAGCGTCTTAAAGGGACATGAGACCTTAGCCTACCTACACACATCCAAAAACAACTTTGATTATTATTTTTCATACTGAATATACCGATACGGGCAAAATGGTCTTAATCGGAATAAGGCGATAATTCGGTTTTCTTGTGTGTCATGGAAACAAACTGACTAAGGAGCACTTGGTGAGCGCCCCCTTCTGGACAAAACAACAAAAAGCCACAATGGAAGTTAACGACATACAAAAAATACAAAAAAAAAAACAAGGTTACTCACTGCGAAAATAAAAGGATGTTAATAAGTTTAAAAAGCCACAACAGAAGTGAGCGGCCGGGGACCAATAATAAAAAAAAAAATTGAGAAGTCTGCGTTCTTTTTTCTCGGAGTAAAGCAACCGAACTCGATTCTGTTTTCGGGGCGTAGTGGGTTTCCCATGTTAGCCGAAGTTAACTCTGCACCGACATCCTCCAGTTTAACTTCATATGGACTCAGGCGCTACATGGTCTAACCACATGACTCGTTAAAACGATTACAAAGTGAAATTAAACAACATTTCCACAAACTTCTTTTCTCGTCTTCTGTGCCGAGATCATGAAACACCGGTGCATCATCATTATTGGTCCCCGACAGCTCACTTCGGTTGTGGCTTTTTTTCATTTGCATCCTTTTATCTTTGCAGTAAGAAACTTTTTTTTTTTTGCAGCAGTGGCAGTTCTTGACCACCGTATATTTCTCTCTGGTAAATATCAATAAAAGTTTGTTTTTCTCTCTTCTGCAGTAAAACATCAAATCAAACTTTTCTCTTCAACATGTGGAGCAGACTGTTGTTGAAGCAGGTTCAGTCAGTCTGTCTGTCAGTCACGCTCGTGTCGGTGGTTGTGGGCGTGGCTTCACACCCGGCGGAGCTCGAGCTTCAGTGAGATCACCTGAGGAGGTTCAGAGAGTCCGAGGGGGGCATCAGAGAGACCTGACCCGCATCATCTGGACCATGAGGACGTGTTTGTCGGTGGTTCTGGTGTCGGTCGTGGTTCTGAACTCTTGGGTGAGTCCGTCTGTTCAGGTGTTCCAGTCTGGACTCACCTTTCTCACTTCCTCATGCAGCCATGACTGACTCTGTTCGGGTCATGGAGGTGTGTGGATTTCAACACGAAACAAATCAGTTTAATTTTTCAACTCTGACCGATTTTATTTGAGTTTTAAAGTTTTTGTTTAATTCTCAGATTTAAAAATGAGAATTTAAAACACTTCGTTAATGTTTGTTAGTTTGTTGTCAGTCACGTCCTTTTAACACTGAAAACCTTTAAATAAATACTGTATCAGCAGCCTTACTGTCCACAGTAGAGAGTAAGTATGAGAAAATGTCAGGTGAACAGACTCAGAGGAACATAGATGTCTCTGTGTTTGACCAGAGGATCAGACTTCCTGATGATGATTTGACTCTTTTCTTCTTCTTCACTTTGACTCTTTCATACCTGAGGAGAAAATGGAGGTGTGAGCAGGTTCAACATGACACACCTGTTATTGTTGGCCTACTTTATTATTAAAGCGGTATGCTGTAGGTGTAATCTGATTACATGTAATCAGATTACTTTGACTATCACACTTTAAAGGCTTCAGAGTCATTTTAAAGAAAGTGTGGAGGTGTGTCAGGAGGGTAAAAACGTTACTTTTGACTCTCAGAGGATTTATATCTGAATTTCATTTATGATCATTTCTTCATGGAAAAACAATCAGACCGAGACGCTAAGACAGAAGAACTACCGCGTCTGTAAAATGATTAATATGGTGATTATTACCTCAAGGAAATGATAAAGAAATGATCATAAATGTTCTTCCTTGAGCTGCGGCACCCCGCTGTAGTCTGTAATGGACTGGCCTGAGGTCTCTACAAACAAGCGTCTGCTGGAAGAGAGTAGGTGAGTTGTGTTTAGTCTCTTTGCTAAAGAAATGAGTCAAAGTTATAAAGAACACAGTGTAGTTCTGTTCAGTAACAGAACCTCATTGGAAAATAATCTGATTTAACTTTACTGTGCTCTTGTTCAAATATATTAACTCGACAGCACATAAATCCATACCTGTTAACAAAATCATGATTATATTGATAATTCGTCTCAATAAAAACACCTTTACCTTTTCATTTTACTACAGTAGAAGTTTATTGGCCCAGATTATAGACTACAGAGGTGGAGAAACGCCCCCGCTTAAGTTTGTTTTCTTAGGAGTTACAACAACTCTGAATATAGTACTATGTCTGTGACCCTATATGTCCTGTTGATGAAGTTAGGTGCTGTTCTGAGCATTATTTGTGGCTATAGAGTGGCGTTTTGGTTGAGGGCGTGGCTCTCTGTATTTCTATCCTGCGGTCGTTACTAAAGTTGGTATAACTAGAGAAGGAAGCGGTCGACAACATTCATCTCTGGAGGCGGGGTCTAACTCGGGGTTACGGTGGGTTTGACCCTAAAATTTAACGAACATCCGCACCCCTCCACCGAGTCCTGACCCCTGACCTGTTCACTGTGAGTTCAGACTGTAGGAGGGTCTTCTTCTGCTCCACCCTCCAGAGGAAGGTGATGGTGTTACTGATGTTAGTGTTCTGGGGTTGAGGCAGAGATCTGAATGGTTTCAGGAGTGAAGGATCAGAGTTTTCTCCTCCTGACGGTCGTGGTTATCATATCTGACGTCTCGTTAAACTTTATTGGTGATAAAACTCGTGTCAGACAGAGAGTTGTTTCAGCCTGTGGGACTTTGTATCTGGGACATGATTCATATCTTCATGACCTTCTCCAGGAAACGACGGTCCTAAAACACGCCCTCAACCCTCTTTTCTTCCACGACAGATTTCTGCTTCTGCTGAAGACCTGGAAGGACCTGGAACTGACCTGGAAGGACCTGGAACTGACCTGGAGAGTTCAGGCTCTGGTTCAGGGGACTGGTCAGAACAAGGTAACGCTGAAGATCATGAAGGAAAACTTCAGGCTGTGTCTGTTTTTCAAACGTTACCCATGATCCTCCATTGTCTCTGTTTTCTAACAGATGAGGATGAAGATTTCTGGGAGGTCTGGACTTCAGAAAACACAGAAGAAGACTCCAAGAGTCCTCCTTCTCATGTATGTCCCTCATGTTCACAGTTGTGGAGAACTCAGCAGTGTTTGGTGACGCCTCTCCTTCTTTCTCTTCAGGAACCTTCTGGAACCTTTGACGAGCAGCAGTGGCCGTCCAGAGACAGCTACGTGATCCTGGCCAACAGGAAGACCTTCCTGGAGAATAAAGAAGTCCTGGATGGTACTTTTGTTAGTTTGTGTTCTCTCTGATTCAAGAGGAAGAGCTTTTGTTTCTGACTCTGTGTTTTTATATTTACAGGAGTGATCGCAGGAGGAGTCACAGGAGTCATCCTCGCCGCTACAGTGGCGGCCATATTGATCTACAAATGGCAGAAAGAAGATGCTGACTGTCATCGGAGGTCACGTGTCCCTTCAGAGGAGGATGATCGGCGGCGCTGCAGAGACGAGGTTCTCGTTGTTTAATTTTATACACTTTAAAAAAGGTGAAGTTGGGAAAAGCACCGACTACAGCAGTTATTGTAGCACTTCATCCAAACTGTTGTTGGTCATTAAGAAGGTTTTTATTCCTCCAATAATCTGGAATAATTTCAGATGAAATGACAGTGAAGTCTGGACAGGATGGAGGTCAGTCTGTTTGAACGGAGAACAGAAACACACACACACACTCGATGATATTTGACCTGCTGTGTGACTGTCTGTAAAATCTCAGTGTTTGACTTTTATTACAGATTTAATGATCATGTGATTGAAGAATGAAGGAGAACTCATCTGAGGCTGTTTATTAGATATTCTGTGTTTTATGATGAGAAGCAGCTGCAGTGAAGTTGTGAAGACGTGTCATGAAGTTTGATCCACTGTTTTATTTTTATTTTGTAAACAGATGATCCTCTAGTTTTATGTGAAGATGCATATTTTTGATACTGTCTGATCTAAATGAAGTGTAAAAATGAGCTGCTGTTATACTTGTTATCACACGATACCTTTGACTCCTGATGAAATGTTGTGACCTGTTATTACAGTGAATTCTGACTCCATTAAATCTTTAAATTACACCGGATCAGATTTTTAGTTCAAACTTAAATCAAATACAAAGTTATCAGGTTAAAACAGTGAAAACACAATATAATGTGGAATAACAATAATGTAAACGGGCGAACTCAGACCTGATTAAGTTTGTCTTTGTGTTTTAGTTATGTGCTGCTGAAATGTTGGTTCACCACAAAGTCTGTAAATAGTTCAATTACCACAATCCAGCTGTCACCTGTGAACACAGGACCTGGTGGAGGTCTGGAACCTCAGGGTAAATAACTGTAATTCCTATAGACTGTATATACTGTACTATACTGTACTCTGTATACAGTCTGTGGTTAATCCTATTTTGTGATGAAGTCCACTCTGGAAAATAAAAGTCTTTAATAAGAACAATCGTTGTTATGCTGCCTGATTTATTTGTTGGGGTCTCTACCAAGTCGCTCTTACTCGGCTTAAAGGGATATTCTGGTGTAAAATTAATTTAGGGTCAAACCATGACGCCGTCTGCCTCCTCCTCTCTGAGAACAGCGCCCTCTGGTGATGGGCTGCAGTATAGGTCCTAAACCCCGCCTCCTTATGGAGCTGTGGACAAACTTTATAAATGAATGACACAGAATATAAATGTTTCTCCCCCCTGGTTGTGATGTTGACATGTAGTTACTGTCAGACTGGTTTGTTTTGTGGTTCTCTGATCGTCTGAAAGTCTATTGGATGTTTTTGGAGTTCCTTCATTTTCATTGGTTCAAATTTCTGTCAATAACTATAAGCTCGTAGTCCCGCCCTTCTTGGATCGTCATCACGTTTGTTTTCATGCGTGACGTTCACGCAGGTCGTGGTGGTGGGGTGTTTGTGGGCGTGTCTCCGTATCTGTAGATGTTGAAGAAGTAGATCTCGCTCTCTCTCTCTGTCCTCCACTCTCAGATCCACAGATGTTTCTTCCCACGCTCGTGGAGGATATGCATCATTTTAAACCCACTCGGGACAGACTCTACACCACCAGGTGTTGTGGATGTTGTCACGTCCGGACCGGGACCATCATCCTCGGAACCTGGTACATGGTGAGTCCGGGATCAGGGAGCTAATGTCGGCTAATGCTGTCCGTCATCTGGGCTTCAGCGGCGGGTTACATAACCGGGGACAGCCTCCATATTCAGACAGAAACACACTGATAATGTTAGAGTTTACTCTCTCTATTCTCTTTACTGTTTTTTAACTGAAATCACACTGACCATCATCGCAGCTAGCATTAGCATTAGCGTTAGCAGTGATTTCAGGCTCCAAGTGTCCGCTGAGGTGTTCTGCCGTAAAATGCACCCCTGCATCCCCTCCACTCCCGGGCTTCTTAAAGTGGAAGGAAATGATCTTATATTTAAAAAAAACACGAGTTTTAGATCATGACAACACGATCAAATGGAGCAGCAAACTTTCCCTCTGTTTTTATGTGTCTGAAAAATCCACACACACATATATATGTAAGCGTACTCTGGTATATAAACTGTACAGTTAGCTGTTAAGGTCGAGAACATTAAATATTTTCCGGACAGTAAATATTCCGATGTAGAGGACTATCGTTTTCGGCTTATCTAAATAACCTGAATTAAATCATCAAAGTTAAACGCTTTTGAATCCATCATAAAGTAAGAAAAACTCTGATTATTTCTCCTTGTTATGGACTTTTACCCGCGCTCCCGTCAGGAGGGCATTCTACGGCAGGGGTGCATTTTACGGCATAACACCGGACCGAAAAAATTGGTCTAACCTTGAAAATTCAGACGGAAAACTCATCATGAAAGTCAGTAAAAGGAAAGTAAAACACTGAATAGAGACTGTAAGGTCTGAAATAATCAACATTTTGTCTGAACTTGTCGGATATTAGCATAAGTTAGCCAAACAGATGTCTCGGCTTCATCGGTGACCCTGGTAACCGGCGACTTTGAGCTGAATAATGCGGCACCAGTGGTGGTGGTCATATAGTTCGTAGAGAAGCTGTTGTAAACATCTATTCATGTCGTTTCTGTATTTGATTCATATGGAAAATATAGAACTAAAATAACCTCGAGTATTTGGCTCTCTGTGTGTTATATTCGCTGCTGTAACGCTGACAACCACTGACGCATTTGACTCCTGGTCTCCGTTTGACAGGGTCGCTGTTTTCATCGGAACACCTGCCGACATTGCGTTGACGTGCTAAGGTAACGGTTGTCAAACCACATCGAGCTGAGGCAAAAAGGAGCAAATGTCATAATTATGACCCCGTTTGTTTGATATTTGGTCTCATTTGGATTATAACAGTCAAAGTTTATGATCTTTATAATCCTGGTTCTTCGTTATAACTGAGGATTTGTTGTTGATTTCGGTTATTATCCGTCTAACTGTCCTCTGATCCCTGCAGTTTAAGGATTCAGATCACAGATACCTGAGAAAACTCAAACCTCTCCTTTCACCACATCACACAACAGATGAGTCTGGTTTTGGTTTTTGTGTTTCCTCTTAAATCTTCTGTGAAAAATTTGATCCTCAGATTTTCACAAAACGACCGTCCTCCAGAGAGAGACCCTAAAACCCCCAAAGAGATCCCTGAAGGTCTGGAAGAAGAACAGCTGAAGCTAGGGCTGGGCGATAAAACAATGATGATAATATCAAAAATTAATATCAATATCAAACACGATCAATATGCTTTTCGATAGTCGTCATTCTGCCATGTTTTGGTCGACTATACAAACAGCCAATGAAAAGGGGAGTTTCTGCGGGTCTGAACCAATCATGTTCTGAATTAGAACCAAGTATCAAACAGCTGTGTCGTAGCAGACAGCAGCTCCACCCAACCATAGCACTTTAACATCACAACGACAAAACGTCAAAGAGACACAAAGACCTCACAGATGCAGGAGATTATTGTGTTGGAAAAGACATGAGACCAATAAACACTGTTAGATTTTTATATCCTGATATTGATCGATATCAGCTGATATGATAATAATATATCCTGATAAACGTTTCCATATCGCCCAGCCCTGAAGCCAAGATCTGATGGAGATGAAAAGTTAAAGGTTTGTTTGTGCTCCACGTTAGTTCAAAGTTAAAGGCTCTAAAACATCTGCCTCCTCCGTCAGTCGAGGATCTTTTCTGTTTGTTAGATAATTGTGTCTTTTTGAGGTCCGAACACTCAGACAGTTTAACACCAGTTTACAAACCCTCTAAAATCAACCTTTAAGATCAGACACCTGCTGAAGTTCCAGCTGTGACCCTCAGGTTTGGACGGACCAGCTCAGGCGGTTCTGGAGTTGGAGAGTCAGAACTCTGAATGAGGTTCTGTTTGGAGGTCTTGGTTCCGTCTTGGTTTGGTCTGCTCCACTTTTCAGAATCTAGTTTCTTGTTTAAACCAAAGTCCTGGTGGTTTTAGGGTCACGGTCTTCAGGTTTTCATTAAAAGTATTAAATATGAAAGTGTGTGAGCTCTGTTTAAAATGAAGCTCTCTCTCTCTCTCTCTCTCTCTCTCTCTCTCTCTCTTCTCACTCTCTCTCTCTCTCTCTCTCTGTCTCTCTCTCTCTCTCTCTCTCTCTCTCTCTGTCTCTCTGTCTCTCTCTCTCTCTCTCTCTCTCTCTCTCTCTCTCTCTCTCTCTCTCTCTCTCTCTCTCTCTCTCTCTCTCTCTCTCTCTCTCTCTCTCTCTCTCTCTCTCTCTCTCTCTCTCTCTCTCTCTCTCTCTCTCTCTCTCTCTCTCTCTCTCTCTCTCCCTCTCTCTCTCTCTGTCTCTCTGTCTCTCTCCCTCTCTCTCTCCCTCTCTCTCTCTCTCTCTCTCTCTCTCTCTCTCTCTCTCTCTCTCTCTCTCTGTCTCTCTCTCTCTCTCTCTCTCTCTCTCTCTCTCTCTCTCTCTCTCTCTCTCTCTCTCTCCCTCTCTCTCTCTCTCTGTCTCTCTCTCTCTCTCTCTCTCTCTCTCTCTCTCTCTCTCTCTCTCTCTCTCTCCCTCTCTCTCTCTCTCTCTCCCTCTCTCTCTCTCTCTCTCTCCCTCTCTCTCTCTCTCTCAGGTGGTTAACCTGTTGATGGGAATCCTGCTGACCGTCGCTGTGACCCACCCGGAGAACGTTCCCACCATCGACCTGCAGTATGAGGTCATTGACCACTACTTTGCGTCTGACAGGATGTCCGGTAAGAAGTGAGACGCGGCCTCAGCGCACAGACCGCCGTGTTTTAGTTTACTCCTGTTTTTACTCCTGCTGTTACTCCTGCTTTTTCTGAAACCATGACTCAGCAGGAGAGGGAGGGAACCAGCTGGGGTGGGTTGACCTTCCCCCGGCGGGCCGACACCAGAACTCAGTGGATCAGGAGTTTTTCACACCTGCAGAGACGACGTGAACAAATGAGATCTGCTCTCCTAACACACTCACAGAAACACTGAATCAGACTTTAGTCACTGTTCTCCTTCAGGAGCGCCGGGGTTCAGGTCCACCTGCATCTGTGACTCCTTCAACTATCAGTCAGAGTTTTAAAAAAGTCTTTTATTGGTCAAAAAAGGAAAGAAAACAGGCGGATCCAGGTCCAAAACCTGCTGAGATGAGGTTAAAACAGGACGAGTGAAAACGGTCAACAGAAGATTCTCAGAGTTTACCAAAAACCGTCTGACCACACCGGTGAGGATTAAAGAACCCACCAAACATCCCAAAACCATATACAATATCTCGATATCTACAATATATTTTGGCTTCTACACAGACATATAGAGTGAAAGTTAGCAGCAGATTCAACAAATGGTTTTTTTTGTAAATACGGCGGTGAAGTTAGTTTCAGGTTGGATATATTTTCCTGTAAATACGGCGGTGAAGTTAGTTTCAGGTTGGATATATTCTCCTGTAAATACGGCGGTGAAGTTAGTTTTAGGTTGGATATATTTTCCTGTAAATACGGCGGTGAAGTTAGTTTCAGGTTGGATATTTTTTCCTGTAAATACGGCGGTGAAGTTAGTTTTAGGTTGGATATATTTTCCTGTAAATACGGCGGTGAAGTTAGTTTCAGGTTGGATATTTTTTCCTGTAAATACGGCGGTGAAGTTAGTTTCAGGTTGGATATATTTTCCTGTAAATACGGCGGTGAAGTTAGTTTTAGGTTGGATATATTTTCCTGTAAATACGGCGGTGAAGTTAGTTTCAGGTTGGATATATTTTCCTGTAAATACGGCGGTGAAGTTAGTTTTAGGTTGGATATATTTTCCTGTAAATACGGCGGTGAAGTTAGTTTCAGGTTGGATATATTCTCCTGTAAATACGGCGGTGAAGTTAGTTTTAGGTTGGATATTTTTTCCTGTAAATACGGCGGTGAAGTTAGTTTCAGGTTGGATATATTCTCCTGTAAATACGGCGGTGAAGTTAGTTTCAGGTTGGATATTTTTTCCTGTAAATACGGCGGTGAAGTTAGTTTCAGGTTGGATATATTTTCCTGTAAATACGGCGGTGAAGTTAGTTTCAGGTTGGATATATTTTCCTGTAAATACGGCGGTGAAGTTAGTTTCAGGTTGGATATATTTCCCTGTAAATACGGCGGTGAAGTTAGTTTCAGGTTGGATATATTTTCCTGTAAATACAGCGGTGAAGTTAGTTTCAGGTTGGATATATATTTTCCTGTAAATACGGCGGTGAAGTTAGTTTTAGGTTGGATATATTTTCCTGTAAATACGGCGGTGAAGTTAGTTTCAGGTTGGATATATATTTTCCTTTAAATACGGCGGTGAAGTTAGTTTCAGGTTGGATATATATTTTCCTGTAAATACGGCGGTGAAGTTAGTTTCAGGTTGGATATATATTTTCCTGTAAATACGGCGGTGAAGTTAGTTTCAGGTTGGATATATTTTCCTGTAAATACGGCGGTGAAGTTAGTTTCAGGTTGGATATATTTTCCTGTAAATACGGCGGTGAAGTTAGTTTCAGGTTGGATATATTTTCCTGTAAATATGGCGGTGAAGTTAGTTTTAGGTTGGATATATTTTCCTGTAAATACGGCGGTGAAGTTAGTTTCAGGTTGGATATCTGACGGACATTCTCTGAGGATCTACCGGTGTCTTCTCTCTCTCCATAACCAGGAATAACAACAGCAGCGCGGTTAAATCTACTCGACACCCTCACTGTCAACGTCGGTGTTGAATAAGGGACCGTCAATAAATTACCGGTTGATGTTCTCAGAAAAGGCTGTTTTCCTTCAATAGCTTCACTGTCATGTGACCAAAAGACCTAAAATCGATTTCTGATAACAGTACTTGATCAGTTTATATTGATCCCCTAAAGTTCTTTGTGCTCCTTACTTTTATAACTCCTTGTCAGGCTCTGTGGACTCGGTCCTGCTGGAGCCTCAGAAACACTGAAGTCTCTGAGCTCTTGAACGGACGTCCGCTCTCCAACAGGAGGAAGTGAGAGTCCGAGTGATGGAAGAGGATCTGAAAGAGCTTTTAATGATCTCAGAGCGAGTTTGATTAGATCTTCACATACAGAGAGAGAGAGAGGCTGAACGCTCC